CGTTATTGATTTGCTTTTAGCTGTCATTTTAGTTCAACGGTATTTATTACGTATTTTCATCGTCAACTACCTTTTAAAAGAGAAGGCCGAACTTCAATTAGTAACTGGGATCTTCAATCGATACAAATCCCGTAGAAGATAAAAAGTTCCTCAAGATTCATAACGATTTTTAAACGCAAGCCATCTGGCTGTTTGATTATTATCGGCGGTAACTGCTACCCGGCAAAACAAAAGATGAACAGATGACATTATAGAATTAGCGGGGGAAAACTGGTTGAATGACGCTCAAGACAAAGAAAAATGGAAAAATATGGAGGAGGCTTTTACCATACAAGGACTAGACCACTAAAAAAGAAAAAAAGAAATTAACATAATTTTTTTTTAAATTCATACTAACATAACTAATACTAATATTAAGGAATGCAAACTAACCAATTGTTGTATGGATTAATAAAGCTTTAATAATAATAAAAATAATAACTGCTAGACGGCTTGCGAGTGCGTCGCAGGCCGAAACAAAGCCCTTTCCAAAATGGTTATAAAATTATAACAGAAAATCTACGACTCGTAGCAATTACGACTGATAAGCATATAGAATCCGGGCATATGAAACTTTTTACTTGTCAACGTTGTTGTCTACTTTTTGTCAACTTTACTCCAATTTATTCATACTAAAAACACACGACACACAACACACACACAAAGTAACAAACCAAAGAAATATTTAATTAGTTATTATAATATTCTTTTATAACACCGTGTACCATAAACAGGTGTAAATAAGATTTTACACTGATATAAGCCTGATTAAAATGATGTATTCCTAACAATCTAGTTATTAGTGAACATTAAGCGGTCCTTTGTTATATGAAAGCGTGGGCAAACCGCAGGGCCGATTCGAGCGTTGAACGGTCAACCGAAAATTAATTAACATACTTTGGTGCGCAGGACAGGTGACCACCCACCACCGTACGTGTATTATTTCTACATTTTCCCCCTGGTATTGGCCATTTTTGTTAATGCACTGAGGGGTTGAATTTGCCCTGCACAAATCTCCCTTGCGTATAAAAAGAGCTCAGTTCGGGACACGTGGTAACAACTACTTTGCTATAGACAGTATTGTCTGTACTCTCGGTAAGTAATACAACATTACATTGTTTGATAAACCTTAAGTATTTTTTTCTAATGAGACAAAAGCCACTATTAAGAACTGAAGCTAAAGAAATATTTCAAGTTGCACCACTAATAAATAAAAAAATAAAAAACACACTTGGGGTAACAAAATGCATATAAACCATGGTTGATTGTTAATCTGATAGGGTAATCAATGCAACCCCATGAAGTAACCTTTTTAGCGTAATAATAATGTTCTCCAAGCGGATTCTGCCACGGTACACAAATAATATAATGCTCGTCTGCAGACACAAGTTCATACTACGGAAGTCCGACGAATTAATAAACCAGTGGCGCTACAACCTTCTACGTCTGGGTCTGAGATATTTGTTTCGTGATTATTTGTTTTTTTTTATAGACCGGGGCCAAACGGGCAGGAGGCTCATCTGATGTTAAGTGATACCGCCGCCCATGGACACTCTCAATGCCAGAGGGCTCGCGAGTGCGTTGCCGGACTTTTAAGAATTGGTAATAGACAATTTTTCTAATAGGCAAGTTGCTGATGACACATGTCGACTTTTTAGGTTTAAATTCCGGTGTCCTCACGAAGTTTCCATCGTACGAGCGAATGTTGAAAGCACACAAAGAGAGACAGTCAAGTCAAAGCCATGGTTCGAAACGACCTCAGAAATGAGAGTCACACGTACAAGTCACAAGGCCAGCACTTCTCTTGACACAAATAATGCACTTAATAAAAGAGCTAATATGCCGAGCCTAGACTTGACTAATGTATGTTAAAATTCAATAGGTATTTGATATGCGTTGACGCGGGAGTCATACCCTTTGACGATTTATAACTTTACGCTTAAATGTCACAATTAAAGCTTATTAATCATGAATCCTACAAAAATGTCTGTATAGGATACCTAGTATGTAAAAGTTAAAACCTTGGCCCATTTTCGTTACATTTTTGTGTTACGTCGGCCTTCTACCAAATTCGGATTTACAATTAAAAACACATTTTTAAAATTATGGCCAAACAAGTTTAACAAATAAAATTTCTTTATTTAACAAAGGAGAGCGAGCTTTTAAACCAGTTAAAACAATTCGGTGGCGCAACAAAGTTGAATTGAGTTATTTTAGTTATATTTTTTAATTAATATCTACTCGATATAACGGACTGATGAAAGATGGCTACTGAGACTTCTACTATGGAGCAAAATTAGTATAACTACGCATGTTTGATTGGAAATAAAATGTACAATTTACACTTAAAATTACAAATAAATAACTCTTATTAACAAAAATTTATTCTAACTAAATTTAATATATAATTATGTATGTGCCTTCACATGTTAGGATAAAAATTTGGTATATTGCCCAACCACTTTGCCAAAACTGAAAGGAAACGCACCTGCAACTCCTTTTATGTCAGCTATTCATTGAAAACATGATCAGAGGACATTGTTTATACCGGACCAAATCTTAAGGCTATATCAAATAATAAAAGCCTTAACCTAACCTAGCCTAAACAGAGTTTCCATAATCACAGTGTTGATTGTCCTTAATGTTCCCTTAAAAAAAGAGTGGCGGTGAGTTTATTGCCAGTTCTTCTCTTCCGTTCTACGCCCTTGATTTGAGAACTGGCAGTAAACGTAAAATTAGAAGCATTTAATGTACATTTCTTTTTTGACGTTCATAAGTGTACATTGTGTTACCTTTATTAATAAATGATTTTTGACTATGAATTTAATAGATTTACTTTCGTACACTTCACTAATAAATTAAACGCCCTTATCATTTCTTATTTTTACCTTCATAGTTATATTTTTAAGCCCAGTGTGCAAAACATATTTTATACTAGTCTATACTTTACCGCCTATTATCATTTTATATTTACACCAGCCTTCATTGTGTGGCAGTGACCACCACAAACCACAACCTTTAATGTCAACGAACAACACGTAATTATTGTAATACATGTAGAGTATTATTTGCTTTGCCCTTAACAAGGTGTTGTTTTAACTATAAGTTCACCGACTTTTTAATAGTGCGTTTTACTACGCGGTTTATGAAACTATACTATAATACTTGTACGAGTATTGACCCCTGAGATAGAACTGTAAGTAAATGAGTAAATAGTCTCAATAAAACGGAAGATTTCATATGTATGTATCATTGTTATATATATATAGAGCAGTGTGGGCCTAGTGGCTTCAGCGTGCGACTCTCATACGTGAGGTCGTAGGTTCGATCACCGACTGTGCACCAATGGACTTACTTTCTATGTGCGCATTTAACATTTGCTCGAACGGTGAAAGAAAACATCGTTAGGAAACCGACATGTCTCAGACCCAAAAAGTCGACGGCGTGTGTCAGGCACTGGAGGCTGATGACCTACTTGCCTATTAGACTTAAAAATGATCATGAAACAGATTCAGAAATCTGAGGCCAAGACCTAAAGACGTTGTAGCGCCACTGATTTATTTTTTTATTTTTTTATTTATTGTATCATTGTTATACATACCTATACTTTACAATAGTGTAGTACAAAACTTGTTTCTGAAAATCTTTATTTATTTGTATCGAAATCATTAAGTTGGGCCAATGCATGTCCTTTTATTAACATAAGATTGATAAACTATTCAACGCTAGCATACAAGTTTACGTTGATATGGAAAAACTACAGCTTCTACAGGTTACGGACATAACAGATATTTTATAATCGTGTTTTAAAGGACGATATTTATGTTGGTTATTAATACTTTGCCAAACTCACAGTACATCTTATACTTTTAAAATGTTGAAGGCACTACAAACTAGTGATTTTTATAGTGACGGATCTCAATATAATATTTTTTCGAAAGATATCTATGGGCTACAAACAAATTTAGAAGGTTTTATGTTAGTAAATTTACAAAAAACACAACATTTAATTAAATTTTAATAGGATAATTCATGTAAACACAAGTCTAAAAGTCTTTTGGTCAATTAAAGGACAGTTATAGTGCATGCAAACAAAAACCTAGAATTGTAGCGATTTTTAAGTGTATTAAAAGCACATACGTCCTTCGTTTGAAACACGCGATTTAGTGGAATGCATTTAATACCAAACTACGGAATTATTCCGGTAATTTAGTGCCGTTTAGGCTATCGCGTGTGTTCGTAACGCTTTTTCAGCTTATCAATCTATACGCAATAAGGGGCCGTAATTTTTCATAACAATAGGTGTAAAAAATTCCTAAGATTCCACAAACTGTGATAATAAGTTTAATTTGAATTTATTTAATCCTATTTGCATCAGAAAACCATTAATCTGGTGGAAATATTCGGTTTTGGTACGGTTGGGTAAATCGTGAATCCAAATGCAAGGGGCAAACAGGCACGACATGGTACAAATTCCAGATGTAATAAGAAATATTCTTTTAATTATTAAAAAATAAATTCATTGTTAACTTGGTATTTACGTCTTTAAATATAATATTTGATGACGTATTTGATGTAGTGGGAGAGCAGTGTTGGGCTAGTGGCTTCAGCGTGTGACTCTTATACCTGAGGTCGTAGGTTCGATCCCCGGCTTGGATCCCCAATGGACTTTCTTTCTATGTGCGCATTTAACATTTGCTCGAACGGCGAAGGAAAACATCGTGAGGAAACCGACATGTCTTAGACCCAAAAAGTCGACGGCGTGTGTCAGGCACAGGAGGCTGATCACCTACTTGCCTATTAGATTTAAAAATGATCATAAAACAGATTCAGAAATCTGAGGCCCAGACCTAAAGAGGTTGTAGCGCCACTGTTTTTTTTTATTTGATGTAGTGGATTCGTCTAGGATTAATTAAAAATACCTTATCAAATCAGTATTAGATATTAACTCAGTTTAAACTATGCTATGGCAAATACAAGGGAATAGCGACTGGTCGGGTTTTGGACAAGGTCTATATCAAAAAGCATACAGATACTGAAGCACGGACGTTAAAATAGAAAATGTATTTGTAGCATCTAATATAAGGCTTTTGTTTATGTCAACTATACTTAACTCTTACTGAAGTCTACATAAGTCTAATGTTAGGACTAAGGGAGTGGCACTTTAGCTCGGTCAAAGGTACGTTTACTTGGCATTTCGACGATACCGAGTTAAACGTTTCATCACTTTATAAACTCCATATACTTAATACTATGTAGACATTGCTATAGTATCATAGTTATGATAATATATTCTTTAGTTGAGTATTAGATAGCTTTGTTTGTAGTCATCATAGTTTTGACATAGACATAGATCTATACGTTTGATGAGGTTTAAGTTTCTATTTAGTTATTGTTTTATTTTTATTTTGTGGTTTCTTGTTTAATTTTTTCCCTTGCTAGCTTGCTTATCTTCTATTATAATTGATGTGTATGTGTGTAAAATTATTGATGCCATATTTTCTTGTATAATTTTAGAACTTATAAAAAAAACCATTTTATAGATAAAAAATACAATGTTACCACGAAATTCGTTTTCTCTATAATTCTTAGAGCCTTAATGGGATTCGACATCTCCCTTCCATTTAGTAAGGCACAATTTTATTTGAAGATTTTATATTAGTAAGGCACCGCTGACGGCTGTCGTGCCGCACAAGGCTATATAAAAAACCCTGTGTAACTGAAATGTCTAATTTGATCTTGACTTTTCGTTACCAGCTTAAACGAACATTTATTGGCAATATTACCATCTGAGTTATAGCGAACTATTTGCTCCGCCCCCACTATTTCAACGCTCAAGTGTTCATTTAACTACAATCTCAAAGAATCCTTGATGCACAGTTTATTAATGGAATAAAGCTATGACGTCTTAGACACTACTAATCGAATTAATTCCTAAAGCTAGAACTGTCGCTGATTCTTATATTCGTAATGCCGTTTTATTTGCCTCATAAGTCCATTGCACATCAATGTATCCACAAACTTTGACATTATGCGTATTAGAAAAACTATATAAATTATATTCAATCAAATTTCGAAACTTTAATATGTTAATACATATAAAATCAAGTAGGTGGACTGACGACATCGACAAGTAGGTTGGCTCCCAGTGGATACATAGTGGGTATATAGTGAATAGGCCAGTGCAGGGCGTACTAGAGGAAATTTGAGGAACTTATTAGGTCTTTTCTGAACGTACCAAATAAAGAGGTTGATGATGATGCTGATAAAAGTAGTAAAATAGAGTTTAATAGGCCTGTCAGCTTCACATGGCGGAACTTCTTTTTTTCTATTTTGGAAATAAATATATCCTATGTTACAGAGATAATGTAAAGTTCTAACAAGTGTTTGAAATTGGTCCAGTCAAAACAAATAATCTCTTTATAATACTCGTATATAACGTCATAATGGTGGTCACATCAATAGTTTCTCGCTAATAATAGATATAATTTAATTAATTTCATCTAAATAAAATTCATAAGGGCTCAAACCGGCTACCCTTATTGGGGACACTTGTCATATCAGCATTCAGCAATGAGGGGGACGATGCTTTATTATTTTAATTATTGCAGCGCCCTTTGTCAGCCGCGTTCACGAATTACTCTCTCGATTGTACTAATTGAACGCACTCGAGCTTATAAGTCTCATAACTTGGCTTTGTATGCTATCATAATTGCATTTCACGGGATTCAGGCACTATTTATTTACAGAAACTATAGAATAGTTACCAGTGTTTAGACTGTTATCAAAGGTGAAGTTATATATAAGAACATTAAATTTAAGTAAAAATATATTTATTACAACAGTTGTCAATGGTTCCCAGTAGGATCTGACTTTAAAGATTCACTTTGCTAACTTCACAAAAATACTTTAAATTATTTTTGATTTAAAGAAAAAACTGTTTGCCCGGATTGAAGTTATGTATTATTATAAATTTACAACTATTTAACATAATTTTAAATTTATCCCTTAAAATTTTATTAAAATTTTATTTTTTTTGTCACCGTGACCACGCACGCTGTAAAGCACGCGAAACGTCGGATAAATTTAAAATTATGTTAAATAGATGTAAATTATAATAATACATAACTTCAATCCGGTCAAACAGTTTTTTCTTTAAATGTGTAAAGGTTATGTAAATCAAAGACAATATTATTTTTGATTGATAAAATAAATAACAAAATAAATAATTTAAATAATTGATAATTTTATAACGAAAATGCCTGTACTGTGACAGTTTTTTTAACTTATACACTGTAATATGAGTAGATAGGTGTATAAATTAAAAATGTAAGATTTACACTAAATGTTTTGCTGCACGCTGTCCGATTTCATACATAAAATCATACGTTTATCGAAAACAATCAATTGTTTATATTAAATAGATTTCCTCTCAAAGGCCCAATTACAATGTAGTTAACAAAGAAATTAATGCATTCCCATAAATGCACATTGATTCAATGAATAAACTTTACTATAAATGGTTATAATTGTATAACTCTAACAATAATTTATAAAAGCAATAAAGCATGAGCAATCGACAACGTTTTGAGTTGTTCCGTCAATACCGTGAGAAATATGATTGATTTATATTGTAAATAAATTAATACCTTAGAATAAATATTGTCATAAACTAAAAAAATCGTCATCCATACATTTGAATTATTAATAGCAGCAGAACTTGAATGCCTTTGGGTGAATTGCACAGGTATTTTTCACCAAGTTTAATATGATTTATAGTAATGATATACGTTTTCTAAATAAATTAATATTAACAAATATGGATAAGAACATAATAATAGATTATAATAACATTCATAAAATCTTAATAAAGGTTTGACTAGCAGTTCACAACGTCATAAAAGTTATAAGTTGACTTGCAGTGTAATGAATTTTGTTATCAGAGCTTTCAAATCGAAGTTGAGAGCTATAATAATAAGAATTTTAATTTATTATAAATATATTTTCGTACCTGTATAAAGACGAGAAATAAATCTAAAAAATCTAAAATATACAGGAAAATTTATCTTACGAGAGTGGGACACGGCGCGCCTCGTCGCGAGACTGCATACTTTTACTCTCTTCGCCGATCCGATCTTCATAACGAAATTCTTCGTTTTGATATTATATTTATATTGTTAACATTTCGTACCTGCATGTTTGTAACGGTAAATATGAAAATTTCAAGAATTCCTACGACCTCCAGGGTTCTTATTACAAAGCTTATTTATTTGGTATTAAGAAAATTTCGAATGGATATCCTTGAGCGTTTTCTTGGTTTATGGCCGGTAATAAAAGTCTGGAAAAACTGTAAATGAGCTGTACCTTTGATATATAGATTTACATTAAGATTTGATATCGTTCCAATTAAATGTCTTGGTTTTATTCCTGTTATTTAAAGGATTAAAGCGATCTTGAACAATGTTTTATCAAGTTCAACTGGTTTTGGACTCAAGATAAATACTTCCTATTATTTAATTTTCCTCTTTTGTTTACGGTAGCAGTTAAAGGGTTACAGAGTGTACGAGCCAAGTGTATATTATGCTCACGTAGGTTTTCTTAGTTTTGTAAGTGTGGTGCTTACCTAAATCATCGGAGTGTACACCGATACTATAGCCAAACGTAGCCACTGTCTTAACCATTGAATTAGCTTTTAATATATTTTCCAACCTCGATATTGTTCCCTTTGGAGTAGAGACTCTTGGGCCGTGGGGTTCAAGTGCACATGCGCTTATTAAAGATTTAAGTTGGCTCCTAGTAGATAGTACCGGTGACCCCAGAGCTGGCACTTTCCTGGCTCAAAGAATAAGTATCGCAATACAGCGAGGAAATGCTGCCAGCGTTCAAGGTACACTGCGACAGGAACCAAACTTTTGATGTGAAACATCTATAGCCGCACGTAAAATCGAATTCTGGCGTGGCGACGCGTCGCCACGCTATATGATGGTATATATATCCAGTCTATATGCAGTAGTGTGTACTTCGAAGTCACTGATTAAACGATTGTCTGGAAAAAAAATCGTAATATTTTATTTTATTATTATGACATATTTAGTTCCTATCACAATCTGTTCTTTTCTGCATAATATTTCATTTAAAAAATAATGCCGATGTTTCACATTTGCCAGGCGTCCCGAGACGGCTCACATTTTTTTAAATTTGTTTTGATTTTCCTTCTTTTACGTGAAGGGTTATATATTATATTATAGAAAGCATGTCCAGGAGCCGTGCAAATAGATCTCCCAACAATTGGTGATTTCCTATACGTTTTTTTAATATCTAAACAATGCTCCTGCACTTCCAGCAGCATTTACTATTATTAGTATGCCACAATACGCTCCAAAGTTTACAATGTGCATCCGAATTTGTAAACAGAGTTTGACGTCAATAGGGAACTGCTGTTATTACTTTCGACTACGTCTGTACTTTATTAGCATTCGATTAATGTCTTTAATTAAATTATGTAATGTTTATATATTTTTGAAAAAATTGTTAGTCACCGTAATTTTCATGTATATTAGCTTGTAACATACTGTAGAAAAAGTTTAAAAAAAACTTTAATAAATATATCTCATAGTACATTTGACGAAGATCTTGAATGAAGATATTGAATTTATACTTCTTTTGGCGCGTTATGGAAAAATTTTGAGAGTAAATTTTTACTTTGCGTGCGCACACCGTCACAAAAAACCGACACCCTGAAGTGTAGTCAACATTTTAGTTTTTTCTATTGTTAGGGTCGATTTTTCTACAAACGTAGATTTTTTTTGAAAAGATTTTTATCTTGTTACGCCAAAGAAGTATAACTTCCAACCCGTGTACATAAGTACACACACGTGTGTTTTTTTCATGCCCGACTTTTAATCTGTAAATTATTGGAATTGCATAAACTTGATTATGTTTCTATATTTAGGTTTTAAGGCACGTGTGCTACATTTCGTAAGTGTATGATTGATTTAAATCAGGTTTAAACTGGAGCAGTCCAAGTTTCAAAGTTGACAGAAGGAAAATAATGTTGACAGGCAGTTGAAGATTAATTTTGGTAATTTATTTTATTAATGTAATTTTTTCTGTTACAGCGAGCGGCGCGCTCGCGGCCGGCACCATTGCGTCTCCGTGGAGCGCGGCGGCCGGCGCGCCCGATACCAATGGCTCGGGCGGCGCCGACGCCAAGCACCTCGACGTCGGAGATGCCAGCGACGATGAAAAGGTAAAAATTCAATATATAGAAGACTAGTAGACTCGGCCAAGCGTTGCTGTGGCTAAGTTTTTTTGTTATATTACATAGTAGTAAACTATTCAAGAGAAACGGCAGGAGAACACCAATCCACCATGATTTTTTGGTGGTTATGCCATTAAATTGTAGCTTATGTGAAACGTTGGTATTTATTTTGATAGGGATCAATATCTAGGTACGAATAAAGAGCCTTTTCTAGCGGTGGTATTTTAAGAAAAAAATAATAATAAAAGGACGCTTATTGTGACGTGACTTTAAAAGATAGAGACATGCTGTCGCGACATTTTGTATAGATAGTGATGTGTCCTGAAAAATTGTAATCCATCATTTTGTTCTATCATTAATAGTTTTCGCAGCGCACACGATTGAAGGAAGTTTTTTGTTTATTTTTTTACACCTTGGGTTAGATCATTCAAGTTTTAGTAAGCATCCCTAATTTTTTGAAAATGAAACATAGCCTATGTCACTCGGGAATAGTGTAGCTTGCCAACGGTGAAAGAATTTTTGAAATCGGTCCAGTAGTTTCGGAGCCTATTCATTTCAAACAAACAAAAAATCAAACCTTTCCTCTTTATAATATTAGTATAGATTAACATTACACGCCGCATGAAGGAATAAAACTAAGTTGAGTGGATATTATTAGAGCCGGCGGAAAATAATAAATATATAGTCGAATACAAGTCTTTGCTCCAAATTTGAATTTGATCCCTTTGGAGTAGAGACTCTTGGGCCGTGGGGTTCAAGTGAACAGGCGCTAAATAACCCCATTAGGTGACCTCAGAGCTGGTGCTTTCCTCGCTCAACGAATAAATATCGCAATACAGCGAGAAATGCTTCCAGCATTAAAGGTACACTGCCACCATTTTCTATTTATTATTATTACTTTGTAAGTAAAGAATAATAAACATATTTGTGTGTTGGAAATTAATTATAGTTATACGTACATATGTCGGAATCTTACATCAGTTTATTGTCGCGTAATGTCCATATTTAACAGTTGAAGAGTTTTAATTAGCGTAATTATTGTTAGATTTTTTTAATGAATAGTAATTATGTTCTCGAAATTCATAACGCAACTTAATTTTTTTATAATTACTGTTTGATACAGGTTTGTAATATAAAACGTATTATTATGATTAGTGATAAAACTGTTGATAAAAGGATCTAATTATCTAGACCTTTCTTTTTGTCATGCATTAACCTTTATAAAATTCTTATAATACATATTTATATTGAATTTTAAAAATTATGTCATTATACACTTAAGATACTTATAATAGGATTTAGGAAGAAATTACTAGGAAATTGTTATCGAAACACAGTTCAAAACATAATGAAAAACTAAAGTTCAAATTCCAAATAAGTTTATAAATTTTCGAATTAACTATCAATGGCCCTGTAGGGTGTAGGTCCCACGTTGGGAAACACTGATCTACACCGTAAATGTATTGAAAGTCTTGGGAACGATATTCAACTACATATTTAGTTAGGTGTATTATAAAGAACAAGTAAGAACTCCATCCTTGATTAGACTTTTTATACATTGATATAAATACTTTTTGATAAAGTTTAATAATACACACACATTATAACATATTGCCGTTCTTTTACATGTAATTATGTTAAATTTTCATATTATAAAGCAACAAAGTGTAAATAAATGAATATACTGCAAAGTTGTGTATTCGTTTTAAATCTTATTTACGGGATGTTATTCAATTAATAAACGCAATATGGTATCGACTGTCGAGTGATTCTCAGTATCGTTGAATCACTGTATTTTGTTCAGACGCCAGCTGAAGTGTTATTTTTATTCTCTTCCGAATAGAGCTCATTAATTTAAATGACGCAGTTAACACGAAATAGAAGCAATTCGTGGAATATTGTTTAAGGAATTTATTATCTGTGCTAACATAAGATGAGAAAAGCTCTATAATCTGTATTAAGCGCAAATTCGGCCCCATATGGAGTACTGTACTTCAAGTAATGAGCGTACCAATTCGTAAAAATCCGGCAACGCAAATGCGAGCCCTCTGGCAATGTTAGTGTCTACATTAGATGAGCCGCCTGCCCATTTTCCTTCTGTTATATAAAAAAAGGAGAATTGAATTGTCGTCTTCGTTTTGGAAGTGGATTTATTAGGCATAGAACAGAGAACGTAATGTACAATCATTATTTACACACATAGACAATACCCAAACGCAAATTTCCTTTGTATTGTAGTATTTTTTATTTTAATTTATTTCAAGTAACAAAGTCTAATTTCAACGTAAAATTATTGCATTACATATGAATTATTTGTATTTAATTACATGAATCTAAACTGAAAATTAATTAAAACAAAATAAAGATTCTCAACATTAATAAGATAATCAAAATCAATTGATAAAGAGAACTCAGATGGCATTACACTAAAGTAAAATACTTGCTAGTATTGCATTTATATTTTTTTATTTTCATACAATATTTTTTCAAATAGCAAACCACAGCAGGGGCTGTATATACTAGTGTATAGAATACCAAATATTTGATTATGTAGATGTTTAAAGTTAATGTATGGTCACATACAAAAATGTATTTAGTGTATGTATATATTACCTTTGGTCAAATATATACATACACTAAATGTTATATTCACTTAAAAGCTGTAATACGCCATTAGAAGATGTAATAAATATGTTTTATTCACTGGTACATGAATAGTTCATAACATCTGTTTAATGTATAACGAAGTAACATAAGGGAATTTCCATAGTTATTTTTAAACCAATCTGGCTGAAGGTTATTTGAAATTGGAGTTTTCCGATGAAAGCTTCTGGTAGCGTTGTGATAGTTGACCTTTTATATATTGTATGTATAAACCGATTCGACTGTCTGAACGCACGAAACATATGTTGTAAAGAAACACTGTTTAGCAAGCCTATCTTAATATTTAACTGACTGGCCGAACCTATTTCTCATGAACTTACAAAGATTAGGAAAAAAAATCAAATTTGATTGAAAACATTATTAAGTATTATATAATTAACAAATGATTATAACGTATTAAATAATTAACAAAGTATTATTAAGTATTTAATAATTAACATATTGTTAAGTATTAAATAACAATATTTCTTATTTGTATTTATTGATATTGTATTACTAAGAGTATTAAACGAGAATTAATTTAAATATATACGGGATGTGAACGTCTAGTTAAAAGTTCGGTGAAGAGGAAAGAAAATGATTTATATAAACGCTGTTTTTCAATCTAAAATACAAATTGCAGATTTTTACTTTATCACCAAACGATATAGGCCGTAAATGTGTTTACCTAATCGCGAAATATTATAAACAAATTATAAATATGTAATCTAATCTTTTAAAGAGATTTACTACAGTCACGATGTTGTTTTAAAATTATTTTTACCTATATAAATTTACGCTATTATGTATAAAGAAATTGTGTAATATTTATTTATATAACCCGGAGATCCTAAGTTCGATTCCTGGTGAAAACAGTGTTGTTGGAACGCTACTTACGGAAGAAAGTTATTTATGACGCCAATGTATCTTTGAGAGCAGTGTTGGCCAGTGGCTTCAGCGTGCGACTCTCATACCTAAGGTTGTAGGTTCGATCCCCGGCTATGCACCAATTGACTTTCTTTCTGCGCATTTAACATTTGCTCGAACGGTGAAGGAAAACATCGTGAGGAAACCGACATGTCTTAGACCCAAAAAGTCAACGGCGTGTCAGGCACTGGAGGCTGATCACCTACTTGCCTATTACATTTAAAAATGATCATGAAACAGATTCAGAAATCTGAGGCCAAGACCTAAAGAGGTTGTAGCGCCATTGATTTATTTATTTTATGTATCTTTGACATACCCATATTTATATTTAAGGCAATTCGTAAAACAAGTTATACAATTTCGAAAATCTACAGAATTTTTATTCAAAGCTATTTGAATTATTTTATTCATAACATTAATTAATTTTAATTAATTACTTATTTTTTGGCACTTACAATATGAAATAATAATTGGCTAAAATATTTTAAACATCTGAACCTGATTGGCATGGTCGTTTTAAATTTATCTAGATGACCTAGATTTTTGTATAATTCTTTTTTACATACATTTTGTAATTAAATATACGGTAAGTTATTTATAGTCCGTGTCCTTAGCCAAAATTATTTTACTTATCAAATTGATTGGGACTTGCAAAATAGTTTTAGTAAACTATAAACCACAAATAGCTATCGACAATTTGGTACTTATTACTTTAGTTTCACTTAAAATAAATACAGTCAAAACCATTTTACGACGACATCGTTGAAAACAACATACGGGTTATATTGACCAAAATCAAAGGTCCTGGCTGAATTCTATTGTACTAGGTTCTTAAGAACGTCGGCTGTTACGACTATCGGCTTTTACGACCAAATATGAGTAGTCCCTTCGATGTCGTTATAACAGATTTTGACTGTAATAAATACGAAAAACGTATCTTAATTAATTGGGGTAGGTATCATTATCTATACTAATAATATAAAGCGAAAGAGTTTGTACAACTCTATTGTAAATACTTGCTGTCTTGGATAAATTATCGAGAAAGGCTTTAGGCCTGTAACATCAGGCTATGGCCGATGGCCAGCTTGTTCCTTTTGACCAAACTCAGCGAAGGGCTGGTCGTATTGTCAATGTATAACTGATCGGTTTCATTCTCTCTACGAGACATTGCATCTCTATGCGTTCTCAAAGTGTACTATGGAGAGTGTTCTGAAGAGTTGTTTTGGGTGATCCCTACTGCATCGTTTCACCGTACGAGCCGTATTAACTCAAAATTTCATCCGCATCATCTTGATGGCTGGAAGTCTTCCACGGTCCGTTTCAAATGACATTTTCTTTTGCGAACTGGCGAACTGTGAAATCGACACCAGGGGAGATCTTCTATCTTCCACTTCCAACTGCTTCAAAAGCCGGCAGATACTAAGATGGGTGTCAATGGACCTTTTTGGGCGTTCTGAAGGCCGCAAACTACTATGCAATAAAGAAAATACAACGCTGAAATTTTTCCCCCATATATAATAATGCAACGATTTCTTTAGTCTATATTACGGTACTGTTTATTATGTAATATGGACTTAATGCATGCAAATTACAATGTTGATTCATTTGTAACGATTTTGTAATTTCGTACTATGTTCTTGTTGTTTCCTTTCAAAACCTTGAACTTAACCAGTTAGTGAAAACTAGTATTCGCATGCAAATTGTAAAATATTGATTTTTATTAATTTAAACCGTGAAGTATGAATTATGTATTTAAATAAATAAACTATACATGTGTTCAATTAGTAGACTTGTCGAGTTTATATTTTATAACAGTACTAGCTGTTCCCCACTACGCTTCGCTGTTGCACATTGTGATTGAATGTTTGAGAAATGAGAAACAAAACAAAGAAAACATTTCATATAAGTTAAATTTTGCATATAGTGAAAAAGTAATGAAAAAAAAATAGATAAAAACAATCCTTGATGCGGATTACATATATATCATGCTAAAATTTCAGCTCGATCGGTGCAGAACTTTTTGAGTTTTTGAAGCGTACACAAACCAACATAACATTTTATATATATATATATAAATTAAATTAAATTTAATTATTATAAGTTTTAATTTTCGTGTCTGTCTCACACGTCATACAGAGTTGAGAAGCGAGATCCCCGAAGTGGGTGTCCCTAAGCAATTATTATTACCTGAAAGGCCGTAAAGTATTTATTTATTTACTCTTGCAAGAAATACAGTAGGTACAATTAAAAATTATTAAATAAAAATGAGGGCAACTGGCCTTATCGCTTTCGAGCGATCTCTTCCTCTTCCACTGTGAGGAAAAAAAATATAAAGTACTAAACTATATATGTAGGTACAATTACTTAGTCAAAAACAATTGAAACACGTAGAATATGAAAAGGACAATAAAAAACACACATGAAACACGATAATTTCAGTTAGATCAGTTAGTACGAAAGTTAGGGATACGATGTGGTCAGCTACTAGTACATTAGAGATAAAGTGAAATAGAGACGGACAGTACAGTACAGACAAACTAGTCCAGCAATTTAACAATATGCTTAAAAGGCCGGCAACGCACTCGCGAGCCTTCTGGCATTGAGTGCCGGGCAGCGGTATCACTTAACATCAGGTGAGCCTCCTGCCCGTTTGCCCCCAGTTCTTATAAAAAAAAATAGGAATAGTACAACAACCTTGCGACGCCGAGTTTCCTTTTCTACTGTTCTAACCTTAAACCCCCACAAAAACGGGAGAGACTGCATGAATTACAATCTAGTCTATACAATAATTATGGCCAATAAGTAATATTATTTTGACTTAATTTTAAACAAGTACAAAGCTTAAACTAAGATAATGTTCATTAACAGTCTTAGTGTTTGACAATGTGTACACTATATTCACTACACTAAGTTTTATTTCTCTTTCATTCTTAGTCAAAAGGTTTAATTTTTATTTATTTATTTATTTCGTAATCCTACAGCTAACATAAATTATATATAATAACAAACAGTTACACTGAAAATATAGCTAGAGATGGAATAGGTTCAAAAATGTACAAAAGGAAACAAACAATAAAAATTATTCAATACATTCAACTAAATAATACCTAATTTGGCTGTGTTGTGTGATGGTGTAAAAGTGAGGGTATGTTCATGATGCAAGTTTATTATCTTTGCCATCGTATCAAGAAGTTGGATTGACTTACGATAAAGCCGAGTTTCTTAAATGTATATTAACATTTCCAGGATATGTCAGCGGCAGATGCGGAGGGAGTATGGAGTCCAGATATCGAGCAGAGCTTTCAAGAGGCACTGGCGATATACCCACCTTGTGGAAGACGGAAGATCATTCTATCGGACGAGGGCAAGATGTACGGTGAGTTCGAGCATGCTAGATGACCAGCTCTCCAGAAGAGTACCAAGCAGTGTTGCTATGCGTCATATACGCCCAATATATAAGTCTTAAAGGGCAAAGCATAATGTTTACTAATGTTCCTTATAAACCTTTTTGCTGCCAGCGTCAACAAGGTCCCATATCCCGCTTACACTCGCAGCTTATTAGTTTTCTCGACTCTTCAGAGAACGACCTTTGTAAAGCGTATTTGGGGGATATAATTATTTAAAAATGTACTGGTAATTTTATAAAAATCACTTAATTGTATAATATCTATATATATATAAAATTATCTTGTCACAATGTTCGTTCCCATATTCCTCCCAAACGGCTCGACTGATTCTTATGATTTTTATGCATATTTAGTAAGTCTGAGAATCGGCTACTATCTTTCAAACTCCTAAGTGATTTTTTTGTTTTTATTTTTTTTATGATACAGCATACAAAAATAATCCTTAATTTTCATCTACACTCTACGATCAACCCCTATTTAATATTTGTTACTTTAGAACTTATAACTTGAACTCTGAGGTTTATATAGAGAACCCTAAAAATGTTTCTTTCTGGATAACCGAACCGGCTAGTCTCTGGGGTAGCATAGCAAAATGTTCCATGTTGGTATGTACTAAAAAGGTAGGTTAGGCATTAAGGAGAAACAAAGTTCGCGGGGTCAGGTAGTAGTTTTATAATATTTTTAGTTCAAATTTAGCCATACAAAAGCTGTAAATAAATAAATAAATCATCCTATTTTTGCCCAATTTTAATGGACTAGGTGCAAAGCCGGTTCAAAACATATATAATAACTGATGAAGCAAATAGTCTTGTCTAAGCAGCGATACATATATTAGGGAATCTCATTGAATATAGATAACGAAAAGGCCCACTTGGCCGATTCAAAATCGCATATGTCGATATCAAGGTTTCTAAACAGAACAATGGATGTGGCACGAGTGTCAAGACAAAAGGCATTGATGTGCCGACAAAGCTGTTTGCGCAATAGGATTCCACGGAAGCGAACCGACAATTATTATCTTCGGATCGGTTTCGAGGAACTCGTATCCGCTGAGTTTGCGAAAAATGTGTTCTGATTTCGTCAAAATCTGTGGAGATTTATGTCTTATTGTGATTTCTTTGGCTTTCGCACAATTTATGTTAATCATGCTAAATAAAATTGTATAAAATGTGACTTGACACGACGTTTATTTTATTATTTCTCTCAAAAACGTGTTAAAATGAGGATCAGATACTTATGAAAATATGTTATAGAAAGGATATACTCATGTGAAAATAAATACAAGCAGCAGCGCCTACCAGATCCATGCAACTTCCTCACAATTGAGTAGCCCGTATCACACACAACTCACGAGGGGACTCTTTGTATTGAAGAAGTTGCATGCGTCCGCCAATAAACCGCGAATAAATACATGATCATGTAAAAATAAAGAAAGTAATAGTAATAGCAAATAACTAACACAGCAAGATTTGTCGGCGTTGCTGAAAATGTCCAACGAGTCATTTTTCATCTCACGTCTATTGTAAATCTGACACAATCGAACTTAAACGATGATCACAAACGTGACACGGGCATGTAAAACTGACATTTGTTTACAGTCAACCGTATACTGTAGTTGATAGAGATTTTAGCAAGAAAATTCTTATGAATATTAATATTTACATATGAGATGAAAATATTAATGAAATATCTTATAAAGTTACACTGTTACTGTGTAAAACAAAAAACTGGGCGATTAAAAAGAGTAGCGGAGAGTTTATTGCCAGTTCTTTTCTTCCGTTCTACGCCCTTGATTTGAGAACTGGCAGTAAATGTAAAATTAGAAGCATTTAATATATATCTTTTTTGACGTTCATAAGTGTACATTGTGTTACCATCATGAATATATGATTTTTGAATTTGACTATATCCATTAAGTTTCTAACTACTATTGGCGATTAAAATTTTGCGGCGCACCACCACTATGTGGAACCAGCTGCCCACTGAAGTATTTCACCAATTCCACTTAGGTCCTTCAACAAAAGAGCGTACCAATTTTTGAAATGCCGTCAACCCACTTGCGAGCCTTCTGGCAATGTAAGTGTCCAAGGGTACTCAACATCGGGTGAGCCTGTTTACATACAATACAAAAATACAGAATTCGTACACATTGTTTATTAAAAAAATCCGCAACTACCCGTTGATTGGTATCCTGCAATAAAAACCAAATAAATTTCGTGCCTAATAAAAAATTAATGTATTTAGAATTAGTTCTAAAAGGGATGTCGTTTCGATGTGCCCTAATTTTCCTTGAAATCAGTTAATTGCTAAAGGAATCCTCTGAGACAAGAGGAATTTTTTCACGTTACAATGTTAAGTAAGGGAGCTCGTTAAGGCGACGTGACGATCGCTCTTCACTTCCAACAGCAAATTAACAACCAGAACAAATCTTTTTTATATTCAACAGTTAATTATGTCAGCTTTTCTTTTGTGAAAATTTCCAGTTTTTCACAATTTGTATAGAATTGCTTAAAATCGTAGATTACTCTAAGATTTCTAGCCTATTCTATAAATAGATGTGGGCTAAAATAGAATTCTAAGTGATATTAATGGAAGCACTTGTAGTGGTTAGGTGGAAATTTCTATCCGCTCTCGTGGCTAGCAGAGAGCCTGGCGTAAGTACTGATACCTTACCCAATATATATAGATATAATCAAAAATTAAGTTAAAATGATGTATCAATTGTTAAAATTCCATTAGTTTATTCAAAAAGCTTGTTATAATATTAGTTATATTTTGGAATAACATATGGAACATTTTGCAATGCTACCCCAAACAGGCTGTTCGTTTTTCCAAATTTTTCTCCTTTAAAACGTTCTGAGAGTTCAAGGAATAAATAAAAAAATACTCGGATACGTCCAGCTGTTTTGGAGTTTTGCGATTAGCAACATATTTTGCGATTCTAAAATTAAAAAATGCTAGTGTCAATGACAAAATAGTTCTACAGTCAAAACCGTTTACGACGACATCGTTTAAAACAACATACCGGTTATATTGACCCAAATCAAAGGTCCCGGCTGAATTCTATTGTATTAGATACTTAATAACGTTATCGGCTGTTACGACTATCGCTTTTTACGACCAAATATGAGTAGTCCCTTCGATGTCGTTATAACAGATTTAGACTGTATTAGAGCACGTGGTTCGACCAGACACGCTTTACAATTACTGCTCAAAAATTTACATAAAAGATTAAAGATGTGGCCGCAAAAATATCCTGAACGAGAAACTTGTAAATGGACATCTAAGATATCAACCCTCAAATAAAATAGGCATTTCCCTCTTCTACGTGCGTTGGGGTATAATTGACGCGTGGCATTAAAGGCCATTTCGCCGGACGTACATTAAGTTCTCTAGCTATAATACCCGCTTTTAATTAAAGGACTGCCCCTAGACGGAATTGCTAAACAAATCTACCGCAATGTGTCCACCTCAAGTGATTTAATAGACGGAAAGAAATGCGGAATTTAAATCTTATTACTCAGTAAATTGTTAAAATCAAATTATATTATGCGTTAACGGACTTTTAGTTGATTTTTACATAGTGTAAACATATTATAGTATTTTAATGTTGAGATAATTTACGCGTTTCAATACGAATTTGTTGTTAGTGATGCGTTTAGAGAACTTTTTCTCAAACTCAAAATAACTTATTCATACAGATAACCAAGTGCACTTATGAACGTCAACTGAAAAGATGTTAAATTGGTTCAAAATTTACATTTTCTACCAGTTCGCAAGTCAAGGGCGTAGATCGGGCAAGAAGAACTGACTAGAAACTCTCCGCCACTCTTTTTAATCGCCAAATTCGTCATACAAATTGTTTGAACTGGAGTAAACCAATCCCGAGGATTAGGATCATTTAAATAATCGTCAAATTTATTAAAAGTTTTATTGGTTAATTTACGATTAATGAGCGTTTTGAATTTATTCAGTGATAATTATCTAATTTGACTAGGGAGTTTGTTATAAAAACGAATACAGTTTCCATATAAGGAGTGGTTTATATGGAAATTGTATTTGTAGCAAAAATTGTTAAACCACTGTTTATCTTCTGGAGCCCGGTTGGTCGTACGCTTTGATTAGTTCTGTTTCGAGTATTATACTGATGAAAGTCACTATATGCTTTAAAATCGTTTACATTTTTTTGTACATCCAACAAGGCTTCATGAATATAATGAGCCGATAGTCTCATAATATTTAATCCCTTAAACTTATTCCGTATCTACTACCTTGGGGAAACACAACAAATACACAGTACTGATATAATATATTCTTGAAATGATCTTATAGATTCCTTTCTTAATGGGGACATAGATTAATTGCTATATAGATTGTGCACTAAAAACAGTGAAAATAGAACATTAAATTCAGTGGGAGATAACTTTTCGGGAAATGAATTTTCCAAAACGCAGTTGTCATATTGTCAAGATGAACATAATTGCGGGCGCTGGTCCAGACAATATATGAGAACATTACTCGCGGACGTGCTGGCCCGGCTTAATCTAGCATCGTCACGGGTCATCTAGGGCTGGTCCTATTCGAGGGAACTGGAGTTATACTAAAAGATGTTTGGCTTTACTTACTGGCCTTGTTTCTCTATTAAAGATACGACTATATTTCACAGCCGTTTCATAGACAAAATTGGAGATCAATATTAAAACCAAGCGTTACGATACCATCTTTACGGTTTGATTAGTGCTGTTCTATAACAGCCCTAAACAATCTCTCACTTGTACATACGAGTTAGGTGATAATCTAACTCCTTAAAAGGCAATATAACAGTGATGCCAACAATGTTTCCCCCCAAATTTAGGGGAAATTAAGATGTCGAGGAGTTTTTAGCCAGTACTTTATTTGCGAATATTTTTTTTTAACGCACGATTCTATACAATTTGTATTAAACCTCTTAAACCAACAACAACTTTTTTAGGGGTTCTAGGTCCATTCTGTGAGAGTTGGGATCACTTCTATATAAATAATTGATTTTTAATAGGTTAAATATATTCCAAAAAATATAGTTGCAGCGTGCTTTGCAAGTTCATAAATGAATCAATCCATTATTTAATTTACTCGGATCGTGACAGCCCTATATCCACCCCACAGTCCGTTCTCCGCACCCTCGAGACCTAATCTGAGCAACCGTCTTCACGTCACTCCACTAAGGTCTACACATGTCAACGAATTTGTCCGTTAATTTTTATAGTCTTACTATTTGTTGGGGATATATTCATGAAGCATTGTATAGATGTGCATAGTAAACAGCTAGCCAATACAGAGAAACCGCCATTAAAATGCAAATAGTTTAATTAAAATATTAATTAACATTACATTGTAAAGGTGGTATTAAAAATCGCTTTAAAAGACTTCAAAGTCTTCACTAATTACAATGTAATTAAAAAGTATTTCCAACTCACAAACAGAAAGCTTTGAGGCTGAAACAGCATAGTTGCCGAAATAAATTGTTACCGTATGACCGAAGCAGCGATGCACGTGAGCGGTAATTTAGCCGGCGAAATGTTGTGGCTAGTTGTTGGAAACAGTTCGGTTCAAAGCGTGCATCGGCGCCGCTGCAGGCACGTTCGTGAGTTAAGACATTCAAAACCGCTCAATATCCTCGCTGTATGAAAGTTTCGTCGGCGCACGGCTTCACGTGGTCCGGGGGAGGCCGGGGGTTCACGGGAGGGCTAAACTATGCGAAGAATGCGCAATTAGTGAGCGAGCGAGCGTGTAAGGGGCCCGGCCGCGCTAGGCGGCGAACGCAGTAAGAAAATATAAAGAAGGGGCGGGCTCCGCGCCCGTTGTTTAGCGCCCCGCCCGCCCTGGGCATAACTCCCGATTGTCTCCCGAGAAATCCTCCTTAGAACCGTCTCAACTCAACCCTTTAAGGATTCAGCTCGCATATCTCCTGTTTGGGTCAGCGTGAAATTCTGCCTCGACGCCAACGCTTGTCGCGCTAGCATTTATGTGTTTTTCCTTTGCCTACAGAAACTATCCATATATTACATATACATATTTTTGACGTATCACTAATTGAAAAAGTTGTTCTGCCGATAAAGCACCGGTTGACATACATCAACTCAGTACGCAACCGGACAGAAAACGCATTTATCTTTAAAATATCTTTGATCAAGTTTTTGTTTACAATTACGCCCAAGGCCTTTGAGACCCTTTTGAGTAACTTTTTACTGTCTTAAATTCGTTAAAGAAAATATTCTATGATGAGTTTACATGTTTAACAAAACGTTGCTAGAAACATATTTGCGGTAAAGCTTTTAAAAGGTCACGGCTGATAGATAGGTCGTTAATGTGTTTCTGATGGATCTTCGATAACTTCCCGCTGTAGAATAAATTATACCTGAAACACGATTCGTAAACCAATGCTTATTGCATTGAAAATATCGACGAGTATCGAGATTTAATTATTGGAGAGCGCCTCATTGATAAGATACGAAATGATTCATCCGTGGTTCTCGAAGAAACTGAATATTCATATGCGGCAGCTGCACGCCCGTGCACGCACAATTTCATCCAACTCGACTCGCGAGAGCGTAGCGTTGGCACTCGACCAAATTAGCCATCTAACGAACTAATAAATAATGATCACTTGTTTTTCTATTCGCTACGGAATAGAAACGTTCCGAGTTCATCCTGCACCCGCTATTTATAGAGGCGCACACGACGTTTCGGGTGAAAGCACTCTGATGCTGGATTGGCGCGATGTTACTCGCGAGTCGCGACACATCACACACTGGTTTATTCATGTTCACATCCATTTGAGTGACTACTAATTTTATCAAAAGAAATTCAACACTATGCTGAAATGTGAGCATTTCTTCTGTTAAGGACTTTTGCGTTATGGTTACACAAATCTTTGTATTTGCAACTATTAATAGGTGTTTATGATATTTTACGAGCGCTATAATATAGCTATAAATATATCTACGCACGTTTGCCTCAACGAGCAGTCAAGGGGTTAATTAAATTCGCACCAGCCGTCTCTCGACGCCATCGCATTCCCCGAATTCAATGAGATTTCAATTTACTTTGGCGATTCCCACTCGCTATATGCTGTCCACAAAATTAATACTTTATTGGCGCTGTTAAAATTGTTCTTCTATTACGCTTCCTACCTTTGACATTATTAGATCCGATAATTTTATCGGAATGCATCAATTATTTAAGTGAGTAATAAAAATATGCTTTGTGACATTTACGATAATATATTAGCGATTGAATAAAAAATAAAAGGCTTTAATGGAAACAAATAAATTGTTACTGAAAAATGTTATCTGCAACCTTGCCTTGGTTTTAATATCAAACAATAAAAAAATTTTGCTCGAAGTATGTTTATAAGTTGATTTTTATTTTAACACTACATTCAGTACAAACAAATAACATTTATCTTGTTTTAATCACTTCTTAAACACCTTGAAACATTTACGCCACCAAAATTTTCACGTTTAAATCGTTTCAGTTTAGTAAAAATAACTAAATACCAGAATTAATTTTTGAAATAAAGTTTGTTTATAAAACAAAATTTCAACCCCTGCCAATCGTCCGCATTCCGACTCGGCTGCAGTTTCAATAATTGAAAATAGCTATTCAAAATATTTTGAAAATTGTTTCATAACGATCTCGGTTGGTGCTGCCTGCCCGTCGCATTGTTGCCTGTTGGGGCGCGTACACTTGTGTATTCACTATTCAAAATATTTCGCGAATATCTCAATTGCCACTTTTCGTGTTACATTCTTTTTTGAATATGGAATTGACTTGTGAAGACTTAACAATAGACTTACCTTGTGGATCGTTTTATGTTTAATTCTAGCGTTGTATGCCTTGATGTGCAGAAAGTGTATCTTTCAGTAAACAAACTTCGAAATGCTATGTCAAAGGTAACACTCTCCCTTATAGAGACTTTCTTGCTCAAAGTCCTGCTATTTCTCTTTGATAAGTACACTGAAAGCCAAATAATTTCTGTAAAAGACCCCAAATATTTTTATTCTTATTCGCTTCTTACGAACCATCAGCAATTTTGTTATATTAAAAATCGTTTTAGATTAGTATTAAGTGATCCTTTCAACACCGTACGAGCCGTACGACCTCTAAATTTCACCAACATCATCTTGATGGTTGGAGGTCTTCCACAGTCCGTTTCACAAGGCATTTTCTTTTGCGAACTAGCGAATTGTGGAATCGATTCCCGGTGGGGGTCTTCCCTCAGAGATACGACCTCCAAATGTTTAAAAAGCGAGTGTACTCCTCCCTCAAAGGCCGGCAACGCACCCACCAAAAATGGGTGTCTATGGGCTGCGAAGACTGTCCTTTTTGGTCGTCCCGCAAGCTCGTTTGTCCCCCTATTATATAAAAAAAAATTTTTATGTAGCTTTAAGTATTGTGTATTTCGGAAGCTGGTATCGACAATATGTTTATAAATCGATATTACCAGCAATTGTAAGACTATGTCAAGATTATAGGGTTTTACACCTAATGATAATTATCAATTTTTATAATCGCTAACTTTATTTTCTCTGAATTACAGGTAGAAACGAACTTATAGCAAGATATATAAAATTAAGAACGGGGAAAACGCGAACAAGAAAACAAGTATCATCACACATACAGGTTCTAGCTAGGCGGAAACTTCGAGAGATACAAGCTAAACTCAAAGTGGTAAGTAAAAAATCTAACCAGACTTAAATATAGCAAATCACAGATCAGATTAATATATCAAGGGTGAAGTTAACGCTAGGAATGTTTGAGAATACACGCGTAAATAAAAACATACTTCGTTAAAACGTATATAAGTTTTATTTTACGGCCACATCTAAATAACGAGTCGTAATTGTTACGTGTTGATTTATTGTCAAATAAGGCTGTAGAATCTTCGCCGCATTACGATTTAGGTGAAAACTGACGTTTTACTTTAGACGAGAGCTGAAAAGTTTTTCTTCATTCATATCATACTCTGTATAAAAATTACCTTGTTTTCGTTTATTATTACAATAAAATTGCAAGAGATGTAGCAAGTTTAAAACGTGATAAATAATCTAGGACGGTGGTGTGATGAAAGAAAAGGCGATGCAGTCTATGAGCACACTATCTAGCGCTCAAATAGTGGCGGGTTTGCCACACCCGGCGTACCATCACACGGTACATTTTTCGAGGCATGCCTTTGTGTTAATTCACATGAAACTAGCCTTTATTGTGTTGCTTCTATCTAGGCATGTTGTGCACGCGAGGATATACAGAAATAACATCGATTGGCTTATAACTTGTGCTTGTATACCAAAACAAACTCAAAGTTTACAAGATTTAATCAATTTTTATAACATACCAAAGCTCGAAGCTTGAGATGTTTTGGAATACAGGCCTGAAGTACATTAAAGTCACTTTATAGACACTTAAGTTGACTCAAATACTGTAAAGTTTGTCCTAAGCTGTCTAAGTCATAACTGAAAGTCTAACTAAATTGTATCAAGCGCTTTTGTTTCTTCTACAAATGCTATTTTACCTATGCTATACTAAAACCGTTTCATCATAGAACTAATTACATATGTTACAGTTTAAACAAGAATCCCTCGTTTTTAAATAGATCCAGATTTTTTGGGCGCAAAAATAGCTAGAATAATTTATTATTATATTATGATTTATCATATTTTAGATGATGGCTTTAAAATTTACACAAAACTATCTGGGTTTTGTGAGAGAGAGAATTGTAATCTAAAAGCTTTACATATAAAGTGATTTCTAAAACGTGATAGCTGGTATCAGGCAACTTGAAGCCTAATTAACGCAATTTCTTAAAAATTTATGATTTGAATCCACAAAAAAAATTAGTAGGTATTAGAATTGATTTTTAATGTATATACTAGTATATTGCTCTGAACTAAACTTAATCGTTTGCTGAAAATTTGACAGTTTCGAAAACTCACGCGATTTTTACATAGAGGAAACTTTATAGATAGGTATATATTGAACAAAGCATTTTGTATTTTTGGCGTTTACTCCTTAAGAAACGATTTGAGGTACAAGGCCCGGTACGGAAATTTTATGAGGAGTAAAATCAAGTGTAACACGAAAAGTTGAGGCGTTATGTGTAACACGAAAAGTTGAGGCGTTATATAGAAAGAGACAAATGGATTGAACGTGTGTGTGATTGAAAATGAGATGGAATACATTACACAGACTTTTCTATTTTGAATTCACGTTACAACATTGTCAGTGTTGACAGGTGTAAAAAATAAAAGTAGATTGTCTAGCGTGCCATAGAGTTTTGTCAATAGTAATGGTCAGTGAAATGAAAACTAAAAAGATTGTTCATTCTTATTCTTCTCTTACTATAAAGGTAACTTTGGTCACAGAAAGAAAATCCTATTTGGACATAGATGATGTAGGTACGTTTTATTACTACTACAAACATTTATATTATAAAAACATATTCTTACCACCTTTAGTATGAAAATATGGTCGACAGCCACAGAACATTATCGCCATTTTAGCGTTCGTAAGGAGTAAACTCCAATCGTGCGTCGTAGCTGACACACACACACTTTTTTATAGTTAAAACGATTTAATTCTCAATGTACTAATATGTACATAAAAATATATCTTTAAAAATCTAATTTAGTATAGGTAAACTACTCTAAATAAATTAGACGTACTTTTTGTGATTTTTGATCAACGCGCTGGCCCTAATAATTTGTATGAACCTGCGCTAGAAATGTAAATGAAGTTAACTTTGGGAAATCATGAGATAAACTTATATGATTTCATGGTAGTCGTGTGCATTACCTAATAGAACAACCAAAATTCAAGTTCAAACAACTCATTTTATCATCAGCTTCTTAACAGTCAAAAGGCAATTTTTGTGCGCTTAATTTAAACCTAGTCGTTTTGCTGGTCTAACGAGATTCATCAAAAAACTTATGGCAAATTTTGTGCAAAAGTTGAATATTTTTGTTCATAATTATTATATTTGTTATATGTTTAAAATCGACTGCCAAGAGTTTTTTGAATAATTTCTTTTTCAATTACTAATACGTTTTTCTTTTGTTTTCAGCAATTCTGGCAACCCGGTCTACAAGCTGGCACGTCACAAGAGTAAGTAAACCAATGGGTGAAGTTCTCGGTACTACCGTGACTACTGAAGGTGACATAGATAAACATTAATTTTATCATTTTTATTACTTCGAGCAAAAAACATCGCGATTCCATTGTCTGCTGTTTGAGCTAAATGTTATTTTGAAACGTCTATTTTTTTTATTTACATCTAAGTGTGTTTCCTTAATGAATAAAATATACTAAAACTGTATGCGATATCTAGCTCTTGTATACGCAATGATATCACCACGAAATCAGTTGAGTGACAGTGTAAAACGATGACAATTGACTGAAATAGTCTATAGCATTTTTAGTCCAATCACACGTACGCGACACGACCCTTACCGTTTGACCATTCACAACCAAACCAAACACGTCATTTCGTTGTTCATTTCTGCGGTCTATCATTACTTCGAACCATTGATAGATTTTTAAATTGTATCATTCCGTACTTCGCTCACGACAGTGAACTTCCGTCCTGCCCTTCACGCGATTAACCAGCCCGCGACGTCCCAAGCCGAGGTTCGAATCTCGCAGGAGACGCCCTTGCGCTAGTCGCGGGAAAAGGTCCATTACGGCCGAGCTACGCTCACTAAAACAGCCCGAGCTGAGCTATAAAGGCCCTTAAGGCCAACAGCGAGATACCATTAAAAAATGTAACTCCCGTAGTAAATCCACAACTATGCTTCCGTTTAGTTCCAAATACAAGTCACGCACGTACGATTCGACTTAAAGTATTATTCGTGTGATATAAGTCTTTATGACGTTATCGTATTGTTAGTCTTTAAATAACAATATCCACTCAGAGACGTACAGATAGCTAAGTGGTAATTAATTAAACTGTAAATGATATAAAGAAACGTGTTGTTGCACCTGTCAACTTGTCGCTGGAATATTATTTTTTACACGTGTTTATTAATATCATGGATATTTCCAAAGACAAATAAATGATAAATTGTTTATTTATTTTTATCTGTAGAATCGATTTGGCTAAATTAATTGAAAAGCATAAACTCCGTTTACTGAAGATTTTAAGAGTGTGTTTTGCCTTTGGGACGGGTGGAAATGCGCATCAGGCTTATGTATCTGGTAATCAGAGACCTGGGTGGGAATATCCAATTTAACCGCCTCGGGTTCGACAAAAACTAAGGTCTCTTACTTACTCTTACTAGGAGCGGACACAGTTATTCTTTTCCGAGAATCTAAAGTAGTATGCCATGATAAAGGCAATTGAATCGAGTATGGACTGTTTAAAAGAATATTAATTTGATAAAAGGATAAAACACGTGTGTGTACTTATGTACACGCGTTAGAAGTTATACTTCTTTGGCGTAACAAGATAAAAATCTTTTCAAAAATATTATTCTACGTTTGTAGAAAAAACTACACTAACAATAGAAAAAAAATTACTCATCATTTTTCCCTAATGCGCCAAAAGAAGTATAACTTCAAAAAAACTAAAATGTTGACTATAGCAAACTTCAGGGTGTCGGTTTTTTGTGACGGTGTGCGCGCCTCATAAAAAATCACTTTCACATTTTTCCCTAACGCGCCAAAGAAGTATTACTAGAAAAATATTGTAATAACAATTGGCTATCTTTTTCAGTGTAAAACCTTTCCCCGGTGCGGGTTACAAAGGCGTTCCGGGCGTCGGCGGCGTAGTCCCCGGCGGGACGGATGTGGCTCCCCCTCCACCCTGGGAAGGAAGAGCCATAGCCACGCACAAACTGCGCCTAGTAGAGTTCTCAGCCTTTGTAGAACACCCTAGAGATCCTGATACGGTGAGATTTAATATATATTTTCTATGAAATGGGCATATTCTTGCATTCCCTTTTTTTAATGAGAAATAACATTTAAACATTCAAACATAATCCTTGAATAATCTTCGAAAGGGATTTAACCTCGTAACCTCAAGCATATGATAAAGAAAAATTAGAAAACAGAAGACAACTTCTCTGATATATGTCTTACAAACCGACTTTCCCTTTAATCTAGTTTCAATTTTTAATAATACGAAGAGACTGATGTAGTAGTGATAATAGGTGTTAATATTTATGTATGCAGTTGTTACACAGAAAATAATTAAATCCTCTTACAGTTTAACTGGCATTGAATTCTGCCTTAATTAGGGATGTTTATTATTTAAACAAAAATGTGTCTAGTCAAAATTAATATTTAGAATTATGCATTAAGCTAGTTCAATAATAAAAGGGAGATTCTAAATACGATAAAATATTGATTTTAGTAACGCCAAGAAGTGTGCAAAAGTTATAACAAAACAATAAATATTTCAGTATCCCCCGAGCACGGCGCCGGCGCAGCATCTCTTTGTACATATAGGTGGTACGGTCACGTATGCGGATCCCTTATTAGAGGTAAATAATATACTTTTTATATGTATTTATGAAGGTGTAACCTGGGTTTGTCATCTGATTTTTGTTGATATTTTTTTAGACAAGTCGCTGATCGGTCTTCTGTGCCTGATAGCCGTAATAGTATGTCGAAACTTGTAAAGTTTTTTCGTTGTGAATTTACTATAAGATTTTTTTTAAATTTAAAGTATAATAATATTAGTTTTATGTTTTTGATGAGCTACTAATAGATAATACTTGTTGCATTATAAGAATATAATGCAATAGGGAGCCTTTAATACCAATACTGTGATGAGAACATTTGAACAAAAAAATTGATCGTATAATGTTAGAATTGTCGCATTACAAATTTTACGAACTACTTTACCGACTCTGCTGTTAAGTAAAACTGCTTTATCGACAGACTCAAACTTAACTTATCGACTAGCGAACCGCTTTATCGAAACAATCACAGGTAGCCTCAATTGTAACATGAACTCAATAACACCATAGGCTACATTTTGGGACGTTTTTGTATGAATTAGTCAGAAAAAATACAACACGGCATAAATGGAGAAATAATACTTTTACAAGGCAGGAACTTGTATTAACATTGTCAGGAACAAAGTCGTAAAGCACTATTATGATTGTTTTAATGTTTTATCATTTTTGACTTCCTTGAGCTGTAATATTTTTAGGATTTTTGCAAAACATTTCATTTTAACAAAAGTCGAGGATGTCTTTATTCTACGGAAATTATTTTGTGCACAATGTTAGTAATACTCGTTTACCTAATTTTGCTTTCCTGCAATAGATAGCAACAATCATAAAGATAGTTTAAGTTTAGATTGTAATTTTACCAAATAATAAAAGTTAATGACAGTTTAAAAACAAAAAAAAGACTGGTAATATTTCACCAACGACAATAGAGTGGTAATAAATTATTACGTTTACGACATTCGTCAAAATGTTACATCGTAATGTTCGGTTACTGAGTTCGTAATTATGTGTAAAGAGTGAAACAATCGCAAAACTCTTTTGCTCTTCAGTCTAATTACATACATTATTGTAATATACATTTAGTTATTTTTTAACTGTTAACAGTGTTTAAATCGTCAAATAGGAAAAAAAAAAAACTTTATCCTAGTAGTAGCTTTACCTTCTTTTATTTTTCCCGAAATAAATAGATTTTGCTTGTACGACTTTGTTTCTCGGAGAAAATGTCTTCTTCATTTAAAACCCGAAAGACAAACTTATCAATAATTTGTACATTTTTTCAATATTTTACCTTAAAGATATAGAATTTGTATTAAAATGTATTTATCATTCCAGTCGGTAGACGTGCAACAAATTAATGATAAATTCCCGGAGAAAAAGGGCGGTTTAAAGGAGTTGTACGAGAAAGGTCCCCGAAATGCGTTCTTCCTCGTCAAGTTCTGGGCGGATCTCAATACAAACAATCTTGACGACCCTGCCGCATTCTATGGCGTCACTAGTGTGTGAGTATCTAGATTATAAAAAAAATATTTTCAAAGAAATTAGTTTCTTGAATATGGGAGCGTTCAAGTATTACGTAACGAATTTTGTGGGGGGGGTCCTTTTGTAAAACGTTACGATACGGGGCGGGGATTGAAATTACGCAAAAAACAAATTATTGTTAATATTATTTTCGACTTTCCAGTACTTTACACTACATAATAGTAACATGGTGGTCACGAAACGTTTTACTATACTTGGGTACAGAAAAACGTTACGGCGCGTTACATGGTGGGGGGGTCAATAATCTCCAAAAATTGAGAAAACTTAATACTTGAATGATCATTTTTTTTATGTGAAACATCTATAGCCACGGGTAAAACCAATTGTTGGGGTTCGCCACGCTATATAAATACATACATTATATATGAAATCAGAGGCAACACTGAATATAACTTACGAAATTCCACCTGTATCGTCGTCCGTCGTTCCACAACTGACCATGTGGAACCAGCTGCCCACTGAAGTATTTCCGAACCAATTCGACTTAGGGTCCTTAATGAAAAGAGCGTACCAATTCTTAATAGGCCGACAACGCACTTTCGACCTGTCTGGCATTGAGAGTGTCCACTCGTATCACTAACATTAGATGAGCCTCCTGCCCGTTTGCCTCCTTTTTATTAAAAAATCTTTTACCCAGGTCACTGATTAAAAGAATTGAGGTGTTCATCATTTTCTCGAATCATAATCAGGAATGTTTTTTTTTTCATTATTCCATGTCTAGTTCCTGTCGTAATTTGTTCTTTTATGCATATTATGATCTGCCAGGCATCACGTGACGGCTGAATCTTTTTGAAGTGAAACTTCTTTATCGAGGTTGGAAAAAAATTTAGTGTAACATTTTTTCGTTACGCGTCACATTTTTCGGTTACGCGCCATGTTGCTTTTTGAAGTCAAACTTCTTTATCGGCGTTGGAATGAAACTTCTTTATCGACGTATGGGAGAAATTTTGTAGCAAATCGTCACGTTTTTCAATGATAGTAATAATTCTATTACAATTAATGAAATTCTATAATAATCTTCGTAGTAATAAGGTAAAATGAAATATTTGTATTCATGTCTATGATAATAAAAGCCTTTTGTTAAACTTTATCTAATTTAACGAATTTCTGTAAAGTTGCATATAGTAGATCATTTTTCGAAAAATAAGATCATAAAGAAGTTTCACTTCTTACGTGTGTACACCTAGTACACGCACAATTTATTTATTTTATCAGCCTTTTGTGCCGGCCGAGTTTAGGCGTTTAGAGTTTTCCTTCACATGATGAGCGAGTTTTAAATGCGCACATAGAAAAGTCCAGTCACGTCTCAATTGAGAGACGCAATCCCCTAGATCAACACTGTATCTTTAAATATTGAACATCTTTCCAGTTATGAGAGCAACGAAAATATGACGATAACTTGCAGTACGAAAGTCTGTTCGTTTGGGAAACAAGTTGTTGAAAAAGTGGAGACTGAATACGCCCGGTTCGAGGGCGGGAGATTCGTATATCGCATACACCGTTCGCCCATGTGCGAATATATGGTCAATTTCATACACAAACTGAAACATTTACCTGAGAAATATATGATGAACAGCGTCTTGGAGAACTTTACAATACTACAGGTGAGGTTTTTGGATTTCATTAAAATATGTTTTGTACGAGATTTATATACATAAATAAAGCTCCTAAAAGCCGGCAACGAATCTATTAATGCGTATAGATTGTAGATGGGTTGCTTGCCTTTTATGGTTTTTTTAAATCTAACCATAGAGTATGGTTCTTACTAAAATATGATGGCCAATTTAAAAAAAATATATTTTTAACCTAAAAATTCCGCTGGATATTTACAAATATCTTTCTCTCTATCTGTTCGGTCATACTATTTATATCGCAATATTTCAATAGACTCGAAATGAAGATATATAAATTCTAGTTGCTTTAATAAGCGTTGAATTCAAATTTTATTGGGACCATAATACACTTTAGTAGAAACATATTTGCTTGCAAAGTGTATTTGCTAAAAAAACTAAATATCTTTGTATGAAAGCGAATACTGGTCAAATCCATTTAAAAAACTTATTCTACCATTTCCATGCCCTTGATTTTGTATGTTTTGATATATCTTTACTAATTTAAAAAAATACAATATTCAATCATTCTAAATCTATAATTTCCTAATCCACTTACAAATCAAATAGCAACACTGCAACGCAACTCATAAATTTCTTTGGTATTAAAAATATCGCATTTATTTTTAATATTACCATCCTTTTCTCTCAAAAAGTTATGGAATTCACTTTTACAATTGATTGGTATCAAAAAAAAATCTTTTAAAATCTTCGCTTCTCTTCAGATCTAAGCTTATTCTTCAGCTCATTAGTGAATTTTGATTGTGATTCATTAATTTTTTTTTTTTAAATTTAAGTTTGGTAATAGTTTAACTTTATTTCCATTTTTAATTTTATCTTTATTAACTAACTCACGCACTTTTCCCGTAGTATTTATTTACTTACTAGGGTTGCCTGGAGATCGCTTTTCTAGCCACTAAGCCCCTTATTTAACTTACCAATTTTTGTAGACACAGCGTCTACACACGGCCCAAAATCAGTAGCGATATCGGGACAATGATGGTGGGGATGAAATCGGCTCTTAGTTCGATTCGGCAGTAGCATACGGGTTAATAATAAAATTAGGGTACGATTTGCCTACACGAAGCGATCGAGGGGTTTTAGGGTTGTGTGTAGACACTTTTAAAGAAACTAAATTTTAATTAAATATAATAATTTCCAGGTGGTTTCAAATCGAGATACTCAAGAGACATTACTTTGCGCCGCGTTCGTCTTCGAAGTGTCGAACAGCGAACACGGCGCGCAACACCATATATACAGGCTGGTCAAAGACTGAACTTACCTATTTATGAGTCATAGACAACAAAAATTAATTGAAAACTCTCGCTAAGATAATTTGTAGTGAACTTGTCAATATTACTTTTTATTTGAAAAGGGTTTGACATTTTATTTACTCAATTTTTTTACTTCATCTTTTCTTTTGATATCTGATTCTCACTTTTTTATTGAAATATCTTGCCTGATGCGTTTTTTAAATATTGCCATTTTATATTGTTATTCCTACTTTATTCGGCGGGTTCGATTTTGTCTGGCATATTTATTAATTTGTTTTTTCAAACTTTTGGTTTCATTATTTTTAACGCATAATTTTGTTACGTTTATTTGGCAATTTTAAACGGCGTCGCCGTCAAGTGCAATAGAATGACAGTTGACAATTACCCTGCAAATGTCAAAAGATACTCATTTGTTTTTTTGTCGTCATTGTTTTTAGAACTAATATAAAAATATTTTTGTAAAATGAAACGAAAATTATTGTCTATTCTCAAGCGACAGCCTTCTATTATCTATGGGACTTAAGTGTAGTGGAGTTATCAATGGCTAGAGAAACTTTCGGAGTTGGGCTAAATAGAAGAACTTGTCTACTAGAAGTGTTTGTGAATAATTGAAATACACACAGTGCCTCTAATAATTATGTTACATTAACATAAATTTGAGCGTTTTTAATTTTTTCACTATTCCCAAGTTTAGTGAAAATTTTAAAACATAGTGTAAGACATAATAGCGGTAAGTGTAGCTTAAGAAAGTCTATTCACCAAGGGTGCAGTTTTATTTGCTATCTGTACAGTCGCTTTATATTTCCGAGAGGAATTTTTATACAGTTTTGAACACTGTTTAGAGTTTTATACGCAAAGTATCAATTATAGAATTTTTAAAATGACATTTATATGACAAATCTTTAATTGTTTTTAAATTTCAGTTTGTTTACATCAAAAAACTTGCCAATGTATATAGACCAATTCATTTTAATATCTTCAAATATTTCTTTACTGGTCACACTCGCCTATAAGTAAATTCTCAAAGAAATCGATTAATAATTGATACTTTGAATTATGGCGTCTGTACACACTCGCGCACGGTTCGTGATGTCTCAACGAGTGTGGATAGTCGCCATTATATTTCACTTATTTTGCCACAACAGTTTGCGTAATGTAAATATTAAGTGTTCAAATGTATTATACGAATAAGTATGTTTGAAACTGTACAGTAAATATGTATTTTCTTAATCTTATCTCGTGTGACAATAATCATCGGAGAACTGCGTGATTTTTCATGCTTTAAATTGGCAGCTTCATACCTTTAAGCACAAGGTACTGCTTTAAATGACTCAAATTTAATATTGTTTATGGTATTTATTATCTGTGTGACGCATTGTGTTCTCTATGGTATGTGTTTTCGCGCGTCTATATTTGTCTTGTCATAGTAGAGGGAAATTTTGTATGACAATTGACTTTGACGTCGCAAGTAACAATATGTCACAACTAAAGCTGGACACAGATATACATGACATAATCATAAATATCCAATGTCAAATGGCGAGAAGTTTAGGGTTTTTTAATCAAGAAACTTAGATACTTTTTAAAACTTTACCATTGTGGTATAATAATGAGTATCCAATTGGCGGTTTAAATATAACTTTTATTGTACGCTGTGCAATGCGTTGTCAATGAACATATTACATTTACCCATGAATAGGGAACATCTATACAATTCGAGATATATGAATGATAAATTATTTAAAAAAATAGTGGCTTAGTGCAATCAAAATTTTCTCCTTATTTACGTCTGAAGTACAAGCACGACGTAGCCCTCTCCATAACGTGGCAATGATTTGATCTCTCTTTTAGTCAAATGTAGCGTCGTAAACGCTCTTAATTTTAACAACGGTTACTGTGCATTAAATCTATGACTATAATTCTGACTAGACAAGTTATTCTGTTGAAAATATGGTTTATTCTCTGTCTTTAAACAAAAACCGTACTTTAGTACTGAAACTTCCGTTGAAAGTGAAACGAAAAAGCTTGTCTATAAGAATATATAGTCATAAATAGATTAAGTTCGACACGCGATAGGAAATTATATAAAATAAGAGATTTTTGTATTTATTACATAGATTTATATTAGGTAATTTGTAAAGTTAGTTAAGCACGGAGTTTTTCTTATATGGCGATGGTCGTACGGAAAGTAAGTTAGTACTTAAGTGTAACTTAATTTTTCATTTGCTTCGACTTGTCAATTTTTTCGGCGAGAGATCTGTAATGTTGTGATTTATTATGTACTCAAATGAGATTGTCTCTTGCTTTTAGTTTATGGCGAATAGATTAATTGTAAATATAAATTAGTGCATTTTTAGTTAGTGTTCTAAGTATTTTTTGCTTCTGAAAGTCTTTCATATCGACAATCCGCCATATCAATACGAAAATTTTATAGTCGGTAGCTTTGTGGTTGGTCATTTGTAATAGATTTTATCGTAGAAGAATTTTAGTTGATTGTTCTTCGAGTCCCTCCTCAAATGATCACCGAAAACTATCCGACATGTGTACAGTATTTTAAAGTTACGTTAAAGATTTGTATGAAAATTTAATTATATTGTCTTCTTAAAATTCTGTGTATTATTTATTTCGGGTGACCTAACTGGGTCACGTCAATCAGAGATCAGATTAGTAAATTTACTTATGATGGGGACTGCGGAAAGAAGCCATTTTTTTTGAGGCTAATTATAGCAAGCTTTTCTTATGTTAGCTAAATAAATAAATAAGAAGATCCCGGGAAAGTCCAAAGATTTTTTTTTATGTAATAGGAGGCAAATGGGCGGGAAACTCACCTGATGTTAAGTGATGCCGCCGCCCATGGACACTCACATTGCCACAAGGCTCGCAAGTGCGTTGCCGGCCTTTCAAGAATTGGTACGCTCTTTTAAAACGCTCAGTTGTGGAACGACGAACATCGAGGTGATAGGGATGGTATTTTATATTATGCCTTGACGTCCGATGGTGAAACTCATCTGCAGATCCTCTGAACTTCTCTGAACACACTCCATGGTAAATGCTGTAGAAGATGCAGAGAGACCCCATTATTTGGTTTGATTAGCACAGAAATATATAGGTTCTACAAAAACTATTTTTTTTAAATCATCTAGCTAGACACTATATATAACTTACCTTTTAAAATTTCGTTTGTTTGAACTACATTTTTCTAAAGGTCATTGCACACAGTTGATTCAAAAGTGTTAGGAAAAATACAATTTTGGCAATAAAAACGCAATTCATAAAATTTCTACGAACAAATATCATAAAATAACTAATTGTTTTATGAAGTAATAACAAATGATAATATGAAGCTCATATATTTTGGTCATTATCACTCACAAGTGTAACCTAATCTGACTATGATGGTGAATTGTATGAAAGTCTAAAGATGGCAATTACGAAAGTAATATATTTAGTGGCACTGTTTTGTTTAGTATTTGTGCTCGGCGAAGGTAAGTCAGTAATATATCTCTATATGTACAGACGAAGAGTGATGGTTATTCCTTAATAGAATATTTTTACATTACATTGATATTTATAGGTGAGTAAACTGCTGTTACTTATCCAAAATATTGTTTCTTTGGGAATCGGAATCCGACGTAATGCGTTTCCTAGACATGGAGTTACTTCTTAATTTGGTTTACAAAGTGGAAAATTTATCATGTATCCTGTTAATTTACTGGAATCACTAAAGATATTTTAAGTGTTTACAGACCACCAAGTGCATCTTACGATTTTTTTGAAGAAAAGTTGGAGGAAATTTTGTGTAAAGTTAGTTTTAAGAACAATAAGTATATTATTGTATGTGGTGACTTCAATATAAATTTATTAGAAAATACCTCCATTAGTAAAAAATTCAATCTGTTATTAAAATCTTACAATCTTGTTAACTTGTTTCTTGAGCCCACTAGAATTACAAGCTCCACTGCTACATGTATAGATAATGTATTTACAGATGCAGAGGCAATGCAAACCTCAATTACAACTGATCTTAGCTCAGATCATTGTGGACAGTTAGTGGCGCTAAAATGTAAAGTGGTGAAACAAGTAAATAAGAGCAGTGTGTTTGTTCCAGTGAATAAAAAGCGAATGGTGAGATTTAGACATAATATAGGTAAACGCCTACCTTTATTACCGGTAGGTACTACCGTTGATACACAATACAACAATCTAAGTGATTGTATTAATAAAGAGTTCAACACCATCTTTACCCCAAAGAAAGTCTCTCATTCGCAGTGTAAATCGTTTAGTGATTGGGCGACAGCGGGAATTTATAAAAGTAGACAACGGTTGTATGACCTTTACGCTGAAAAGTCATACAATCATAATGAAGAATTTATTCTTTATGTTCGAAATTATTCGAAATTATTTAAGAAAGTTTGTTACGCGGCCAAGTCCTTAAATATCAAAAACAAGATTAAAAATAGTACCAATAAAACTAAAATGACTTGGAAGATAATTGATAGTGAAACTGGAAGAGTCAGGGATCGCAATCAAGACATCGAACTATGTGTCGATAACACTATAATCAAATCTAACGAAGAGATAGCGATTGTTTTTGATAAGTACTTTTCTGACATTCCAATTTCGACTACTAAGTCTCTTCAATCATCTCCCGCCCTCGCCGAATCGCTGCTCAAAGATAATGTAAACGAGTGCAAGGTCAGTTTTTCATTCCGACCCATTGGTGCCGACGATATAGTGAGGATATTTAGAACCATAGATATTAAGAACACTACCGATCTTTGGGGTATTTCTGTAAAAATAATTAGTAGCATAATTGATGTAATTGCTCCCCATCTAGCTATAATTTTCAACAATTGTATTAAAAGTGGCGAGTTTCCCGATCTAATGAAACATAGTAAAGTTATTCCTTTATTTAAAGCAGGTAGTATGTCCGACCCCAGTAACTTTAGACCAATTTCCGTACTACCTACTTGTAGTAAAATATTTGAAAAAATTATATTAAATCAACTGGTAAGTCATTTTAACGTAAACAAATTATTACATAATAATCAGTTCGGTTTTACCAAGGGTCGCTCGACAGCCGATGCCGGTGTTGAGTTATATAGATATATAGTTAAGGCTTCGGAGGAGTCGCATGACGCTTTAGGTGTTTTCTGCGACTTATCCAAAGCATTTGATTGTGTCCAACACGAGACCTTAATCGGGAAACTCCGCCACTATGGCATCAAGAATACCGCACTGAATCTTCTGACTTCCTATTTACACGGAAGAACTCAGAAGGTTGAAGTGAATGGTAAGAGGTCCTCTGGGTCGGCAGTAGATATGGGGTACCACAGGGCTCAATTCTTGGCCCTTTCCTCTTTCTTGTTTATATAAATGATCTACCTTTCATGGTAGAGAGAAAACATCAGATAGTTTTGTTTGCTGATGACACGTCCTTGATTTTTAAAATCAAACGACAAATAACAAATTTTGACGATGTGAACAATGCTCTGTCTTCGATTGTCCATTGGTTTAGTATGAATAACCTTCTACTTAATGCAAAAAGACAAAATGCATTAAATTTTGTGCAAAAAATGCAAGGGTTATGGATACTAGACCAATTATAAACGGTGAGGAATTGAATCTGGATGATACAACTGTATTTCTCGGAATCACCATGGATTCAAAACTTCAGTGGTCCCCTCATATTAACGGATTGGCGAAGAGACTTAGTTCTGCAGCCTACGCGGTTAAAAAAATTCGCTCACTAACTGATGTCGATACAGCTAGACTTGTTTATTTTAGTTACTTTCATAGCTTAATGACTTATGGCTTATTATTATGGGGTCATGCTGCTGATGTCGAAACTATTTTCATCCTGCAGAAGAGGGCTATTCGTGCAATCTATAATTTAAAATGTAGGGAATCTCTTAGAGATAAATTCAAGGAAATTAATATACTTACCTTTCCCTCGCAATATATTTATGAAAATATTATGTATGTATACAAAAATATTGATAAGTTTACTAGAATAGAACATACGCACAATGTTAATACACGGAACAAACGCAGGCTGCAATTTCCCCGTACTAGACTATCTAAAGTTAGTAATTCTTTTTTGGGGAAAGGGATACTCTTCTTTAATAAAATCCCAGAGGCTCTTTTATCACTGCCTTTCAATAAATTTAAGAAATGTATTAAAGAAAAGCTGTGTAAAAAGGCTTACTATAAAGTCAACGATTATCTAGTTGATAAAAGGGCCTGGGACTAGTGCTAGACAGGCTACTTCTAATCAATTTGCGATATTTGTTTTAAATAAGTGTTGTTTGATGATTTGCTGTTTTAAAAGAGTACCGAGAGTTTTTTACGCCGGCTTTTTCTCTCGGCCTACACCCTCTGTCTTCTTTGCCGATGAGTAGGGATGCCTTCAAATTTAATGACGTGGAATAAGTGATACATGTATCTTATGTTCCATAATAAACATATTTTATTTTTATTTTATTTTTTATTTTATACAAATTTAATCTGCTATATATTTATACATTTGAAGACAATGGTTATCCAATATCCAGGGTGTAACTATTAGCAGAAGTATAAGTAGTCTAAATAGCTAATTATTTAAACGAAGATTTTGTATAAAGAAATTGCATTGAATTACTTTTGATAACACGCTTACTATACCTAAATACCTAAACGATCAAAATTGAATAAAATACCATAAATTCAAAAAAACCTTTTTAACAAACGTGTTAAATTATCAAATACCACAGCATTTTAATTTATTTTGGTTAATATATTTATTTTATTTATTTATTAACACTTCGTTGCATATACATTAATATAGTACAATTGACATAATTAAATAAAAGGAGAGCAACTGGCGGCCTTATCGCTTTCGAGCGATCTCTTCCAGGCAACCACTGTGAGAAAAAAAAAGTATTAAATTACATAAGATAGACAAGAAGTGCAAAAATGCATGTATTACATTTAGTTGTTTAGAAAAAGAAACTAAACAGGAACAAAGAATAAATGAAAAATCAGTTCTTTGAACTTAATAGTACACAACAATTATAAATTTAAGGTATATTAACTATCAATTAAAATTAAAAAAATGTTTTTTTAAACTTTGACAATTCTTAAAAAAAATTACCGTGGTAAATGTAGTGAGCCATATTTCCCTCCATAACAAAAATACAATAGTAAAATAGAAGAAATATAATAATAACTATTTTGCAGAAAAATTGTCTGTTTCCACTCCTGAGCATTCTTCATGAGCCCATAATTTGCAACATAAGCATTGATCGATTTTACGATGTTTATTCTTCGCATGAGTAAATATTAATTGGTACAAAAGATATCCATTGGTACAAAAGTGATTCTCGAACGCAGGACCAAAAGTGCATGACAGTTAATTAAATTTATATATGAAGTAGGTACGTCTACTATAAAATACGGGAAATATTTGTTAGAAATAATTAATAATCATTTAGTAAACTAAAAAAAATCATAAAGTAATTTATAGATTCTGCCGTTTGCCTCATGCATGAAAATATGTCTTAATTATACATTATTATTGTATAACTGTAACATTGAGTTTATTTTATACATACTTGTGATGTGCAAAGTCATATTTATTTATTGCCTTTATATATCACCAAGGATTATTGGTGATATCTTTCATAATTTAATTTAATTGATACAGATAAACAATGGCGATATATTATCTATTGTGCATTGAATAGCATAAAGCGATAACTCGGTGCAAGTATGTAACTTTTCAGCATTAGCGAGGTTATTTCTGTAGAGAAAAATGGGTTTCCTTTGACTAGTACGTCATCTTTATATATATAATTCTACTGTACGTGTGTAATTCACTGAACGACCCTTAAACGGCTGGACCGATTTGAATGAATTTTTTTGTATGCGGGTAACGCCCTCGATTGTTAACATTCACAAATCAGCCCGGCTGATAGGTTTTTCAGGTACGAGTCTCGCATAGCTTACCTGGTAGAGCTCTTGGCGCGTAACGTTCTGGGTTTGATTCCCAGTCTGACCCGTCCGATTTATTCTTTGAAAATGTGTTACGGTAGTTGGCTTTTATAGCCCACACACAGGCTTGTTTGTGTGTACTGTATTTGAGCGTAACATGGCTTCCGTGACCAATTGTTTTCACCAAAACCAGTTACTCTTTTAAAACTACACGCCCTAACTCTACAAGTCCTAACAAAATGTGTGGACACGCCATTTTGTAATTACAAAACTTCTGATAGATAGAGATCAAGGGATCTATAAAACTCTACGAGAAAAGATAGTGCCGTTACACTAACGGAGATTTAAATTTTTTTCAGTCGGGCAAAAGGTTGGAAAAATCAAATGGTACGATTGAAAGCTATTCTAACTTTGCTCAAGGGCAATCGGAAGAATGTGATATTTCTGACTTGTATAGTGCAATGGCATAGCACAGCAAGCCAGTAATCAAAACACATCTGGTGATGATGAATCCTGCGCAGGTAAGTCATACAGATAAAGATTTGATTACCTTAGATGTAGGCTTTCAGAGTAGAACTGGGGGGAGTCAGCTTGATCTGACGTGTAAAAGCAATTTTTAATTATTTTCTAGCATTAACTGTTTTTTGTTTTTAAAAAATAATGAATAATATGTATGTTTTACGATAAACATATTTTTAACCAACTTCAAAAAATGTTTATCTAATTGATATGTGATATTGTTACTTTGGATGATTTGAGTACGATGACCTATTAAGGCTTCCAAACACGAGTGCTAAACTTTTTATGTTTGTTTGTTCACAAATTTCTCGAAAACTACGTCATATTGAGATGACCCTTTAAATTTCATAAAGATTGGTTCAGTAGTTTTTAAGATGTGGGTAAATATATTTTCCTTTTAAACTGAGAGGTTTTTGGAAGTTATTTTTCAATTTTTTTAATTATTATTAGAATGGTTTTGGAGCAGTGTCTCGCTAGACTTACAAACGGACAACAGAGAGCAGTATGTCGAAGGCTTTGGAGGCTCTATAACGGATGCTGTGGCTTACAACTGGTATAAACTGTCAGAAGAAACTAGATCACGACTTATAAGGTACCGGTAATAATATCCAAGAATCCTCCCATCAAATACGGGATAGTCTAGTCGTAATTCAAACAAAAGGAGGCTTAATATTTCAGCTCAAGTTTTTTGGGCATGCGCCTCTCTTCGAGGTTGTAGTTTCGAAACCCGGCTGTACACCAATAGACTTTTCTTTCTATGTGTGCACAACACTGGTTCGGACGGTGAAGGAATCAACGTAAGGAAATCGTCATGCTTTAAACCCGAAAACTCGACGTGGTGATCATAGCACCATTAGCACGTAGCAATAGCTAATTTGCATATTAGAAAATAATGAACAAAACAGATACAGATCTGAGGACAAAACCAAGGATTGTAGCGCCACTGGTTTTTTTGTATATAGATTAATCGACTTCAAAAAACCGAGGTTCACATTTTGCTGTGATGATTTTAATTCTCTTGCAGTCATTACATTCATAGGTTTTGGGTATAATATTTTTAAATAAACTTTCGTAAATATTTAAAACTATCAATTTAAGCACATACTTTGGCGAGGATGGCTTGGGTTACAACATGATCCGGATACCTATCGGCGGCAGACTTCTCAAATCGCCCTTACACTTACAACGACTATCCTCTGGACGACGAAACTTTGTCAAACTTTACTTTAGCTGAAGAGGATACAGCGATGAAGGTAATTTCAATTTACCAGATTTACCTCTTGTCACATATGTGTTACATATGTATTAATTTCCAATTAACCTGGGCGAAATAGGATGTAAAAGATAAAACGATGACGCACCTCGCACGATTAATACTTGATTAAAATTTTTCGAGAATGCAACATTTTTATACAAACATGTGAATAATTGAATGTTTTATTTTTAGCTGTCTTTTAATAAACCTAAGTATTTATTATTATATTAAAAATATACTTAGTCTTAAATACGTTCAAAACTAATTTTGGCAAATGACGGGGGTGATGCGGGAATACCTTTTTTTTATATCCGTGGTGGAAAAGCATTTGCGCATTACCAAAGCCCCTATGACCTTAAAAGTTACAGAAGTGTGTGGGACTCGACCCATACTAGAATCTCTGCTATTCACAGTTCAGGGACTGGATGTATTTTTTATTGTATTCACATTCACAAGTATTTTTAAATTTTATAGGATCAACTGGTTGGGATTCTACTGCAATCAAAATCGGCTCTTGGGAACGGGCTGCGCGCTACATTCGTAGTATTATGGATCTAAAATTGTTTGATACAATTTCAAAATACACCAACACAATACGACACACTATAACTGAAATCTTTGTTGTAAAAAATATTTTTCACTCCAAGGCTCTGGATAAAACATCATCAATCGCGACAATCTTTTAATTTCTTTTTTTATATTATGTATTATTATGAATGTTTCAGAAGCTTTTATAATTTCATTCATACATGCTTGTAATGCATCGTACGTTATGTTCATTTTTATTCGTGTGATTTCATATATAATAAAATGATTATATAAAATAAACCACTGACATCAAGAAACTTATTCTCAGAGCACTGTTTTGCAGGACTTGAATCACCACTCAGTTGGATGGATGGATTTTAATCTATTTCTGGACAAAAATGGTGGTCCCAATTGGGCGGGAAATTATGTCGACGCACCAATACTAATATATCCCGATAAAGATGAATTTATTAAACAGCCAATGTTCTACGCTTTGGCACGTTTTACAAAATTTATACCGAAAGGTTCACAGAGAGTAACATTTGTTACCAAAAGTATTGTGGAGATCACAAATGTGTCTTTCGTTACACCTTAAGGAAATATCTTAATGATTCTTTACAGCTCGTAAGTATTTAATTTAGAAATAAAACGCTTTTAATATTTAATATATTAATCTACATACTTTAATTTGTAATTACAATTTTCTCAACCTACAAAGTAATAATAAAATTATTAAAAAGAAAATTAATACACTTTAAAAAAGTTTGATCCCTGTGGCAATGTACCTTTAACGCTGGCGGCATCAAGAAAAAAAGATACACCTTTTATAAAAATATAGGTATCGCTCACTTAGTAAACAAGGGCCTAAGTCAAATTTTTTGTAAAGTGAGATTTTAAATGCTTTATACTGTATATAAAAAAGTTAAAATATATCTGTAACGTACCTACATATTTTATTTATTAATGGCTAATATTCATTCATTCATTCAATTTTCCGTTTTTATTAATGGATCTAGATAATGTCGACGCATTTCACGGCTTTCTTTAAATTTAAAATGAAATTATTATTAATTAATTCAAACTTGTAGGGTATGTCTCAAACCGAAATAAGCGTTGAAATAAGATGTAAGTGATTAGGACTAAGGATTAACAACTATTTGGTGTCTATGATTAAGCGACATATTTTACCTATTTTCAGGAATTCCAGAACCGTCAGAGTCCACGTACGGTTAAGCAGCAAACGTTACATAGAAGTGAAGATTGAGAACGAGACGATCAAGACCATCGAGATTAATCCAAATGAATCGATTTTGTGTAAAGTACAATGTTAGAAAAAATAATAAAACATTCATCCAAGGTTCTTATTATTATTTAGACTTCTTTAGAAGCGCTTTGTTTACGCATAAAAATGGTTCGGCGTGGGAAAAGCAAGCTGTCATCGCCAAAATGAATTTCTACTTTTGTATAATCTTTAAATATAACATAAAATTTATATTATATATATACGGTATAATTATAAGAAATACTCTTTATTAAAAAACTATAACTAAGATCGCTATAAATAATATTATAAATTAATGTGTCACATTTATTTAAATGACATAACAGTTGAAGACACATGATCGAATAATGACACACAAGGAGCAGTATTTGAAGATTATTGTTAGTTTTTAAAAAAGCTACCGCAGAAACTCAAAAAAACAGTGGCGCTACAACCGTCTTCGCCTAAGAATTCTGTATCTGTTTCATGATATTTTTTTTAATACGCAAGATGGTTAGCTTTATGTGCATGCAGATGTAAAGCATGCCGATTTCCAAGCGATGTTTTCTTTGCGAGCAAGTGATCCGCACATAAGAAATGTCCATTGGTTTGAGCCGGTGATTGAACCTACGATTTAAGAGATGAGAATCGCTCGCCTAATTAAAGCTATAGTGGAAGAGATGTGGAATTTTAAAGGCACTTGCGAGTGCGAAGTTGTACTCTGATGATATCCCCGCTCAAACTCTATAAAGATTTTACTTAAACATTTTCATAGAACCTCCTGCAAATCAGCAATTGCTTTTATTGTTGGTTTGGCAAAATTTGACCTTGACATTCTGAAGGATAAGATAAATGTATTTTCTTTTATTATTTGTAAGTTCTTCTTATCATATCTTAACTGATATTCAATAATTACCATCATCAGTCAAATTCAGCAAAAGATATGATTCAAAAACACTAAATAGTTTAATAAAGCGAAATGCAGCAGTATTTTTATTTTTATTAGGTTTTTTGTTATTTATTTTACATAATAATATAATCTAAATTATGGTATGTTACATTTGATTACCACTGTGGTTTGTGTTAATGTAAAAATACCAGTCTGGTTTAGGAGCGCGACATTTTTGTTCTTTATTGGCTAATTGTGTAATAATTATTTTTATAATATTTTTTCTATAACTCCGCATATATATGCTTTAAATAAACAAATACGGAACCACGAAATTCTTAAGACCACACAAACATGTGATACATTTAATTAATCGATAAGATGTTAATGCCTAGGTCACTCGGACATAACAAACACCAACAGTCACTTAGGAAAGCTCTTACCGTGAAGTGGTAAGTATTAAACATACCTTACTACCATGGTCACAATGACCAAACCTAAGGAACTAGTGACATTTGTTTAGCTCCATTCACATTTTTCTATACGATTTTTGACACACTTATTGACACGGCTTCCTACAGCCACGTACACCATTGTGGAGAAAAAAACGTACGATTCCGGTCACAAGATACGTTTGCTTAGAGCCCTGATCGTGGCGGAACATCGCAACAGATGCGGTAGGATGTGCCTCCACAACTCCATAAAAATAGTTCTTGTCTGTTGCCAAAAGATGTAAGGAATTGAACGAGTGTGGTTCCGTTTATTTACTTTAATGGCTCTGATTAATATTTATTGGTGATCTGGGATCGAGTTAGTTGTTCGATAATTTTAAACGTTTATTTTTGTTATAGTTGACAAATGTAAATTGGAAAAGAACGATAAGTGAATAATGCGCACTCTACACAACATAGTTTTGATATTCAGTTTTATTGTTGTCACTAAAAGTGGTAAGTAAGTAGTAAGTTTGTGATTCTCATTTGTCCGCGTTTGTTAATCATATTTTCTTTCTATTTATTGGTTATTCACGAACCTTTTTGTCACTATAATGTAACTTTCTCTGATCTATACAATTTTCTGGTCGTAAAATCCTAAAGCCAATTTTTTGTCACATTTGTTATACGACAAACACACAACCTATTTGAGAGACTATAAAATCGAAACACAATTTTACAAATAAATAAAATGATTAAAACATTTAATTTTGACAAGCTCTTCTTTTTGATGACATTTTGGTCTTGCATATCTTCCTCCATTCCCCCTTCTTCGGTAAGTACACAGACGCTAACGTCTGTGTACTAAGACCTGTTAGGACCTTAACATGTTTTGTTCAGCAAGGCCTCGGAGTCTCGTGGCTTCCACTCTACTGGTCAATCTTATGACAATAATTGTAATTAAATTTAGAACTGTATGTTTCGCGTGTTAGCATGCATGGTCACGTCGAGTTGACTTATGTAGAGCATGCAACGTTTCACTCGTAGTACTTCAAGTGTAACATGAATAGGCGTTAATGTTTTAATTAATCTTTATTGACTTGTTGTCCTTGTAACCTGCGTGTTTTTATTTTTTTTAATTTACAGAATATTATAACAAATCATGAAATATTATATTAGAAAACAAAATACCCATAGATAGCAGTCTAAAAATAGATTTCATGCTCAACTCGGTTTTTATTTCATCTCGAAAACAGTGCAAGAGACATTTACTTACATGTACTAAATTAAAGGAGTCCTATGATGTTCCATTTCTTTTTCTATGCATTTGTAATTTGTCTGACACGACCAATATTTTTAGAATTTATTGTTGTTATATTTCTTAATTTGTCATATACTATGTTTGATGACACAATTATTATAAATAAATAGGAATTAATAATTCTTTAATAATAAAATAACTCATGCTAAACGAATGCGTAATTAAATATAACAAAGTGAAAGTCCAATCATTTATTCCAAGGTCTATTAAAAAGGCACTTTTGAAAGTCAAAATTACAAGTTAAAAATATAAAAAAATTACTTGTTGGCCTTCCAAGCGGAAGTTTCATATGGAGAAGAATAGTAAAGAAAATCCATAGTTACTCTTTCAAAATAGTTTTTACAATATTTTATATAAATTGATTTAATAATTATATTTGTAGACTATGTACCTGGAATAAAAAAAAATCTAGGCGAATATACTTTGTCGTCTTCTAAATTAAATAAATAAATCATTTTTCCTATGTTACTAATTAATTAAGGATTCATTCTATATTCAAGCCTTCTAGATCAACAACCAAGCACACACATATATATAATAGTTTACATTTAGGCGCTAGAGCCTCACTGTAAACCAATGTATATAATTGTATTGTAATCTAATGTAAATGTGTATTGTATTCAATTGTAAATGACTATTGTAATCTATTGTAATATGTAATATATTGTAATGTTATAGACCAAAAATGTCTAGAGCGGGATCTAGGTATCGAAGGCCGATCGATAGTTTGTGTCTGCAATTCAGAATACTGTGACACCATCACGAGAGATCCACCAGCCGCCAGCAGCTACGTCGCATATACGACAACAAGGGTAATATATCTTTTAATGGCTTTATAAAGTACATCGTGGTTAGAAAAATGATTAAATCCTTTGACCGTGATGTCAAGTAATACTGTTGGGAATGGGCCTAATTTTGGAACTTATTATTGAAAAGATTTCTTAAGTATGCTGAGTTCCTAGACTTAGATTACTTATGCGGAGCTAGTCCCAATTGCTTTGTATACTATTCTAAAATGTGATTGGGCGTACGGTTCTGATATGTGTTAAGTGTAGGTAGGATAGCCTACTGACTTACATATTATATTGCGTGTCGAACTTAATATCTTTAAAAAACATATTTTTATGAAATGTCTCTGTTTATACCTCTTAGTAGTGATGACAATTACATAGACATAACATTTATGACTAACGAAACACACACAGAGAAACCCACAAAATAATAATAAAAAAAGAAAAATACCAAAAAATTATGGAAAAAAATGAATTAGGTACATTTAAGTGTGTAATGTGTGTGCGTTGAGGTTGTAATTGGCCCTGGCTCAGCATTATGCTGTGGAGCAGACGTGTGCCACAGCGCTGGTCATTCTGCCAGAACCCACAACAGTTACGCCCGCCTTCCACTGCGAGCAGAACGGACCCATTACGGACTCCGCTACACTCGTAACGATAATTTTCATACATTTTCATTTCCGTGGGTATTAGTTTGCGCCTCAGACGTAAACAATGAATATCTGTTATTATTTAAAACTATAGAAAATTACTGTAAAAAATATCTATAGTATACTAGTAGACTCGGCCAAGCGTTGCTCTGGCTAAGATTTTTGTTATATTACATAGTAGTAAACTATTCACGGGAAACGGTAGGAGAACTTATGTGAAAGGTAGATGACAGCTTATGTGAAACGTTGATAATTTTAACACAGCGCCATCTGTTAGAATTGTATCAAATAATAAACTAATATTTTGCAATAAATTAAAATTGCGACTATAATTTGAGATTTAAACTATCCTATCTCTCAAGTTGGATCGAACTGCACATGGTGTGCAAATTTGATTGATATCGGTTCGGTAGTTTAGGAGTCCATTGAGGACAAACATTGTGACACGAGATTTATATATATTAAGATTTGTGGCAGGAGATTTTAACGGCGTAACACAGAGTGAAGTTTACAATGAGCTAAAAACTCTATACTCTCTATAGTCAATGCTCTAACCTCATATCATGTCTTTTTATCATGTCTTTTTTCAGGCGGGAAAGCGCTTTGAGAAGTCAATTGGAAGAATTCAAGCATTTTCAAGGCTACAAAAACAGTTGAATGTGCAAAGAAATGAAGAAAATGAAAATGAAAGTGAGATGATATCACTACTAATACTTTTTTGTCAAATTTTTCATTCACTTCACTTGAAAGTCTATTCTATATTTGCCTCATACAGATTATTTGACTTTAACCTTTTCACAAAATTTCTTTGTCCTCGTGTCTCGTATCACTTTGTCGTTTAGTTTTTTTTTAATACACATCGATAAAGGTATATTATATACATATTACATTGATTACCTTAAAATATCTTTTTCAACGTTATCAATACATAAATACGGTTTTTTTCTCAATTCCGTTCAAAGAGGTTTTTTTACTCTATTTAAGTGTTACACGTATGAGGAGCGACTTTTAGTAATTTTTAATTATTGAATTTTAAAAATATTTCGTATTTGTAGTTAATTGGTAATCTTTTGGTGGATCGATCGAAGAAAAATACCGATATTTTATTATTAATTTCCATTATAATTTATTGGAAATAATTAAGTACGATTATTCTTATCTGATTATTAGAGGAAAAATTACTTTTTTGTCCACGTGCTGGTTTTATCAACCTCGATAATTTCAGGTCCTTTTTGGACAAGAACTACACTTGTTTTGAACCAAAATAATCGCTATCAAACAATCCATGGTTTCGGTGGCTCCGTGACAGATGCCGCAGCGTACAACTGGAACAAATTGTCAGAAAGGACTAAACATAATTTTATTAGGTAGGTTTGTCGCCATATTAGTTTTAAGTTTGTATTTATTTATATTATTTACGTTTAAATTATCTGGAAGAAACTGCTTTTAGCTGTAAGACCGCCCATTTAAATCCTTTATCACGTTGAACGCCATGGGGGTCACCGGTGACCTCATCATTCCTCTATCATAGCGCCATGGGGGTCACCGGTGGCCTCAAGCTAAAGACATATTCAAACCGTTTTTTCTCGCCGTCTGCCATACCCACTGTTGATTTTAAAGTACTATGTGACCGGCACTGCGCCGTAGAACAATACTTCGCATTGGGACAAATGTACCTAGATAGTACTTTGAAAAAATCGAAAGATTTTAAAAAAGAAGCAAAAATAAAACTTCGTTCCAAAAATGTTGGATATTTAACTCAATTCAGTCTTTATTTTTTAAACAAAAATTAGCAGAAAGTATGGTGTGTTGTGTTGTGTACCAATATTACTGAAAAATTAAATTTATCTTTAGAAAAACTAGGAAATTGCAAAGTATAAAAAAGTTGGGAAAATCCACAAGTGCACGCCTTACAACAACCCAACCCTTAGAAATATTAATATTTAGCCTTAATTTTGTCAAATAAATCAGTAAAAGTTGATGAGAAAAGATGTCAGAAAGAAAAATAATAACAAAACATGCATACAGGGTTCACAATTATGTCAACCTAAGCCCAAACCGTTTTACGGTCAATTTACGATGATTACGATTTTTTTTAAACCGACCATTTTACGGTTCTCTGCAATGCCGAAGAATAGGCATCTATTTGGTCACTCATATCTACAGACCCTTCGGATTTATTATGATCCAATATGATCTTCGGCTTCCGAATCTGTTTGCCTTTTTACTCTACCACAGCAAATTTGTCGAAAGCAAAAGCACGTCCCTCTTATCCTTCCGTTTTAACACCGTTACTCCGTCTTCATTCTCCACAGCCATTATTTTACCTTTCTACAGTTCTGAATTCTAGAACAGCCTAACCCTCTTGTTTTTTCGCAAAGTGCCAATTAAATGGGTTTGTTTCTCCAATAACCTAGTTCTAAGCTTGTATACCAGTTGTCAGTTGCAAGTAAGTATAACCTAACGTCTTTTTATTTTCGGTATTAGCATCTGTTCGCTATCTGATTCTGAGTGGCAATCATTGTTTCTCAAAGGGTTTGTTGTAAAATAATATGCTAACGCGTTGATTTGTTGCAATTCAGTCTGTGTAAATTTTAATTCCTCCATAGCTAAGCCAATACCTAAGGATCTCGTACATTATTAACGCAACCTAAGTTAAGTTCGTTATGTAGCGAAAACAAATTTAGTAGGAAACTAATAGAAAGAGCAAAGCAGAGGCAATCGTCGCAAGCGCGAGCGCACTAACACTGTCGAAGTGAATAGCGGGTGGCCGGCGGGGTGGGCGGCACGGCGCAGGGTAACGGAAAATGTCTTTTCTGTATTTGTGCGCCTTGGGATGCACCGGTGACCTCAGTTATATATTTGGCTGTAACTATGTAACCCATGGGCAGAATTTAATAAAAAAAAATTCTATTGGCGTTTAACGTGTTATGCAATCCAATTTTATTTTTCTCCTGCTTTGTATTATTTGATGTAAATAAAGTGTTATTACTATTATTATTAAACTCTAAGTAAAAACAAAACACTGTAAGAAATGTTTTAGGAGGTGTGACTGTATTAGCACGATTCAAAGAATAGTTTTTCTTTTACGATAAAACTTATAATTAGGGTGATTAATTGTCCAGACGATTAGTTTTCTTATTATTAGATAAAATAATACAATTTACCAGCATACTTATGCAAAGAACATAAAATAAATCACTCACTCCGCGACCCTCAATGTGTCTTGGCCTGTGAAACGAGAAATTTCCTTCATATAACCCCTAGATGGGGCAGAGGGCGTCCACAGTGAGTATATATCGCGTTCGGTCTAGAGCCTCGTATTTCACCGCGCTCCAATTCTTTCCAGCTCTCTTTACCTCAGGTTTGCTTGTGACGGCCACGTTTGGAAACGTTTTCTGTCCTGTGACACCTCCCTCTCATTGCTGGCTCTCACCTGCAGCCTATATTAATGTACCTACTTAATATGCTGTACACAATCAGTAACTCTCAGTTAGAGAGAGTATAACACGCAAGCGCAAAAACGCATAAATCAAATATTTGTCTGTCTAATGTCGGTCAATGGTGGTCGGATATTGGGGACACTGTTACATTCTTAGGGTCAGAGCTAGAGCTAAAATTCAGAGACAAGAGAGTTCTAAGTATGATTATGAATTATACACGAAAACGCGCAACACGCAACAATATGAATTCTTAAACAAATATTTATAAGACATACTGTACAAGCGTTTAATATTTGCCAAACTCACCGTAAAGACCTAGAATTAAGGTAATTTAATTGTTATTACAGTTCATACTTTGCTGAAGATGGGCTGGAATATAATCTCATTCGAACTCCGATAGGAGGCGCTGACTTTTCCACACACCCCTACACCTACAATGAGTATCCACGGAATGATGCTGCGTTAACAAATTTCACGTTTACTTATGAAGATTTATTCCTCAAGGTAATTTCTATTTTAAATAATGTTATTTAATTGGTATTAAAAGCGTGGAATTACTTTGAGTGTCATCTGCAACTAGATGGTCACAACAACTGGTCACTCACTGATAAACAAGCTAACAAACTAAGAGTATGTCGGAATAGTATCGAAAGGAGTATTCTAGGTCTGAAATTGAAAGATAGAGTAAAACTAGAAGAAATAAAGGAAATTACTAAGTTTAGAAATGCTGTTACTCCTAGTAAAAGATTGAAATGGAAATGTACAGGGGCCTTAGTCAAGATGCTTTAACAGTAGTGTATGTAGAACGTCAAAAACTAAATTTGTATGAAAACTTTTCGACACGAACTGTCATTTCCATACAAATTAAGTTTTCGACTTTCTACATACACTACTGTTAAGGCATCTTGACTAAGGCCCCAGGACACATTATGAGAGAAGATAAAGATAAATGTACGAAGAAAGTGACGGCTTCCTCGCTTTGACAGAAGAAAACGAGGAAGACAAATAAAAAGATGGCAAGATGATGTGAGAAGAGTAGCTGGCCCTATGTGGCTACGTAAAGCTAGAAACAGAGAAGATTGGAAGCCCTTAGAGGAGGCCTATGTCAAAGGACAAGCTGTATAACAGAAATCAACCGGCTTGCCGATTAATAATTAGTATTTATTTTTTATTTTTAGTGTTAATTTTTTAGTATTTCTCATTTTATGTACTAGTATAAGTAATTACAGCAATAAAGGCTTTTATTATTATTATTATAACAATTACAATCAGTTCGTAATACAAGGGCGTAGAATAGACGAGATCTAGCAAAAAACTTTCCGCTTTTCGCTGTTTAATTACCCAAATTTCTACCGACTTGTTGGCTTTATCTGTTGCGAAATATCAATTGGTACAAAAAAAAGATACCTAAAGTTAGATTGTAATGAAGAACGCAATAAGTACTAATTTTGTTTTGAAAAATTCCGTAGCCAGAAGAAATCTATCTTATTTTAGAGCGCATAGGCGAACGAGGTCTCGAAGCCAGTTACCTATAATGAATACCTTTCTTTTAAGATTCCGATGATCAAATACATCCAAAGAGTGTCGAAACAAGAGGTTAAGGTGATGGCTTCCACCTGGTCACCTCCAGTGTGGATGAAAACAAACGAACAGATCACTGGGTTCTCACAACTGAAACCGGAGTTTTATCAGAGTTTCGCAGACTATCACGTGAAGTTAGTATATTTTGATTCATTACTTTTCTCTCAAGTGAGAACTGAATTTGTAACAAGCTAAACGTTTATATAAAATGTTTTTTGCTTGTTTATTCTCATCTTAGTCACACCCTCGTCTTCTCATCAGATGTCTAACTTCGATACAAACTTTGCTCTTTATTAGATTTTAATTTTTATATGTAATAGTAGGCAAACGGGCAGGAGGCTCGCCTGATGTTAAGTGATACCGCCGCCCATGGACACTGACATGAATACTTTAGTGGGCAGCTCGTTCCACATAGTGGTGGTGCGCGGCAAAAACTGCCTTAGAAAACGCTCAGTTGTGGAACGACGGACGTCGAGGTGATACGGATTGATTGGGGTTTAAGATTATGGGGCTACATACTGGACCAGATTTAACTTAAGGCGGTTGGTGACTAGTAAAGTCCAAAAACATGTATGCAACATAAATAATATTGTGCGTTTTAGTGATCAGTTTATCTCCGAACCAAATCTATGGTGTATGTTATTAAGCCACGAAAGCAAATTACAATAAAACTATACAATTTTCATCGTGAGGAAACCGCTTGCCTTAGACCCAAAAAGTCGACGGCGTGTGTCAGGCACAGGAGGCTGATCACCTAATAATAATAATAATAATTTTTATTAATCAGACAAATACAGTCCATTGATTGATTAGTGAGTTAGTAACAATAGTTTCTTAAGATCTATGTTAGAGAATTAGTAAAAATAAGGAAAAAGTAGTTAAATAAAAACTATCAGGTACAAAGCCCTGCGGAGATGTCAGAGCAGTGTCGTAAGTAGGGGCACTCCATTCTTTTGACTATCATCCGTGAGATTAGTAAGTAGTTTACAAATGATCATGAAACAGATACAGAAATCTAAGCCCAGACCCAAAAAGGTTGTAGCGCCACTGATTTTTTTTATTGTGATTTTAAACATTAGGAGTCTCGTTATTATAATTATCTATTCTTCTAGGTTCATGGAACTATATGAAAAAGCAGAAATAGACATATGGGCTCTAACCACAACGAACGAACCTATCAATGGCATCATACCCTTCGTGACGTTTAATTCCTTAGGATGGTTTCCAGCTGAAATGGTAACTATTAAAAATATGGTTTATTTCTCCCATGGTAGGTATATTATACATAGTAGGTATTTTTATAATTTATGTGTAAAATTTGTGAAGACATATTTTCTTGAATATTTTAAGCATATGTACATTGTACATGCTGTTTTAGGACTTATAAATAAATATAATGTAGGTAAACTTACAAGAATGTCAATGCAATAAATACATTTTATAGATCTATTTAAATAATTCATATAAATTAATTCAGTCAAAAATATAGAATATTTTTATTATTACAAAGACCGAATTGGCATTTCTACAATTCCCGAATTAAAACGCAAACCTAAAAGGAACGTGATTGGTTTAACATGTATAACAACCTGAAGGGAATTAAAATCAAGCCGATTTTCGTGATATGGTATAACAATTATGTAATAATGACATAGTCATATGTGTGATTTCAGGGTCAATGGGTTGGAAAGAATCTTGGTCCAACAATAAGAAATTCTCGTTTTAATAAAACATTAATTTTTGCTGTGGATGACCAGCGCTATCTCCTACATTTCTACTTATTGGGGGTAATAATTTCCTATCATTATACACCAAATAAGAAAGTTCTTTAAATATTCTATTTTGTTTATCCGTTCAGTTTATTCTCATTAGTTCCAAGTAAGGCACGGGGAAGATTCATTGATTATATTTACTAAAGGTCATGTACTTTTTGTGTCCAAAACATGTTTAGTTTTGCATACTTAGTCATTTCTAAGCATTCGTTTTGAAAAGAGATGAAGAGAAAGAGAATCTGTACAAGCCTGATGTGAAATTAAACCAAAAAGTATAGATATACTAGCTGACCCGACAAACGTTGTTTTGCCATGTTTATTTATTTCTAGGTAACTTTTTTAGTTCAATAAAAATAACTACATATCTACAATAATAATTGGGGTTGATCGCAGAGTTTCGTTACATAAAAAAAAAACAAAAAAGAAATTGGGACCCCCTTACCACTTAGGCGTTTGAAAGATAGATAGTGGCCGATTCTCAGTTTGCATATGCATAAAAAAAATTTCATAAGAATCGGTCGAGCCGTTTTGGATGAGCATGGGAACGATCATTGTGACACGAGAATTTTATATATTAGATACCGTAATAGGTTGTATTATAGAAGTTAATGTTACAGATGGAAAATGCCGATAGCGACTCAATAAAATACATAGATGGAATCGCGGTTCACTACTACGGAAACTTTGCGCCTGCAACTATTTTTGATGATCTTCAATCTAGATACAATAAAATACTGTTAGCCACAGAGGCTTGCGAAGGTAACTTTTCAGTTCTGTCAACACTTGTTTTCAGCGTAAAATTAGTAGTTTTATTAAATTATCTCTCATTTAACGGATATAAAGGAAATTATAGCACATTTGAGTTCGAAGTAGAGGTTTTCAGTTTTCATCGACACGTCTTATGTAGGTAAGTATATCCGTAAATAAGTTTTATTATTAATCTAGAAAACAATATTAGGTATAACACTTCTATACTCAAATCTTTGAAATCCCAAAACTCCTCTTATCATATCATTTCGAATTCTCAGGTCCTTATAACTATAATATGTTACGTTCCTCCAATCGATGCTTATTAGAAATTCCATATCACAGCTCCTTCTTAGGCAGTTAGTTTTGGATCTCCGCCATTCAGTTGTGGAATAGGCTGCCCAACTCCATACAATTGGCTTACCTACATCTTTTAAAACTCTTCTGCATAAACATTTCTTAACCATATTAAGGTTTTTTTTTTATTTTTTTTCATAAGATTTGGTTATGCACTTTACCCATCATATTTCATTTTTTAGTTTTTTCTCTTAATAGGGTTCCCTGGAAGACCGCCCGTTGCATCCCTTATAATTTTTATGTATTATCCTATGTGTTCTTTTATAAATGTAACGAAGTGTGAATAAATAAATAAATCTAATTAAATTAATATTATATACACAATTTAATACCGCTGTCACTCGTCCTTAGAAGTAGATGTATGTTCTTAGGTTTTAAGAAATTATATTTGGGAAATAGCCAATGAATTACACAAGAATTGTTACAGGTCCAATGCCATGGCATATTATGAGAGTGAAACTAGGTTCTTGGGAACGTGCTCATCGTTACACCAAAAATATTATCGAGGTCTGTAAGATTTATCACAAAACTGACAAAACACTCTTCTAGGTATTTTATACTAATTTTAAATTCAACCCAGTTATCGACCGCAAACACCAGTTTAATGGTGTCGCTACTTCCAAGATAACATTCAAATTAATAAACACTAATTAGAAAGAAAATACTATTCAATAACAATGCCGATATACCGCCGATATGCCGATTGTAACGTAAAACCTTTTTGTAGGACTTAAATCATCATGTAACCGGTTGGATTGACTGGAATCTCTGCTTAGATGAAAAAGGTGGTCCCAATTGGGCCGACAACTTCGTCGACGCCCCCATAATGGTCTTTCCAGAAAGAGACGAGTTCATTAAACAGCCAATGTTCTATGCAATGGGCCATTTCTCTAAATTTATACCTCGAGGATCTCAAAGAATATCGGTTACTTATCCATTTTTGGAGTTTGGAAGAATTGACAATGTTGCTTTTAGAACGCCACAGGGAAATATAGTTTTGGTCCTTCATAATTCGTAAGTTATAACTATTTTGAAAATAGAATGTTAAAGAATAACTATGTATTCAGGGGACACATTAAAAAAAACTGTATCTGTTTCATGTTCATTTGTCAAACTAATAGGCAACTAGGTGATCAGCCTTCTGTGCCTGACACGTGATCCTGTGCCCAAGATGCCATCGACTTTTGAAATCTAAGGCAAGTCGGTTTACTCACGATATTTTCCTTTACCCTTTGAGCGAATGTTAAATGCGCACATAGACAGAAAGTCCATTGGTGCACAGCCGGGATCGAACCTACGACCTCAGGGATGAGAGTCGCACGCTAAAGCCACTAGGCCAACACTGCTCTAGACGACACATTAAGTCAAATTTAAAGAAGGTTGGGCCGGATTTCTGGAAAAATAATTGTTTCTGTTTGGAAAGCACATCACTTTAAATGCAAGTGTTTGGTGACAATGATTATAAGAGGAACAAAAGACCCTTTTTGTCTGGATTTCCGGTATGCTTTCAATAAGAAAATTTACGCTTTCATCTGCTTTTAAGTAATTTTAAATTATTTATGATGTAATTTAGTATTTTATTGACTGTATGTTATAAAATATTGTAACATTCTTTGCAATATTACAAGGAAGGTGGGGGCAGAAAATTAACAATTATTATTAAGAACAAAACTAAATGAAATTACTTTAAATATGGCTAATAAAAAAAAAATTATGAAGAACTTTTTCGGAATATAAACAGGTAAAGTACAATATACTGTTTCATATTTTAAACAGTTATTTAAATTAATTTTTACAGGAACACATTTGAAATGGATGTCAGAATAAATGTTGATGCCATAAGACATATTCAAATAAAGGCTGAAGCTGAATCAATTATAACATTGGAAATAAATACAAGCCTTTTTTAAAAATATTTTTTTATTATTATCTTCCTCTTCTATTTACACAATTTATCTACTAAACTGGACAACTCACTACACTTGAGTCAGAGTACTCATTTTATCTAATGGCCAAACTCTGCATACTACTCGACTGCGTATTAAGCCTTGAGGAACAGCTCCATAAATTCTTGAATCTGAAGAATTACTAGAATTGTCTCCTTCCAGCCATACATGACCTCTGGGCACATACTGACTTCTCATAAAATGGCCCTTTACTTTGTCACCAGGAAGTCCTGTAATTCGTTTGCATATATTTTGCTTTGGATTTGTGGGGCACTTTGCTATAATTATGTCCCCACGACGTAACCTTTGCATTCGAGGTGTTATATGTTCAGTAAATAATATGTTGTTGGTCTCCAAAGTTGGTTCCATTGATGGACCTGAGCACTGAAAATTGATGCTATATTAGTTGATACTATGAACGAGAAGTTATAATTCAATGTTTAAGTTTTTAGAAACAGAATTCTATTAATAAGTACTAGTAAATAAACTTCTACATGAGTGTAACTGCCTGTTAAAACATTGACATTGCTATGTTAAAAATACAGTTTATACATACCATTACAAAATCACCCACATATTCAAAAGTGCAGTGTGTAATACAAGCATATTGTAAAGCATAACCAGCAAATCCTAATGTCTTTCCTAAGATATTTGTAAAACCCATATTTCAATAAAGGATAAAAGAAATGATAATTTTTATAAATACACTATACAAAATTCATGACATTATTTGTCTATATTGTGCTTTTAATATACAGACTTAAAAGAAATTACACATTACTGTATGAAGTTCTTTAAATTACTACTAGATATTAGAACACAATAAATAATTATCAAAGCAAATGTATTTTTTGTTCCATTTGCGTACCTCTTCTGTTAGACCAAACCAAACCAATTAGCTAAACAAATCATTCTACAACAGCTGATCAAAACTTCACTGTTAGGTAGTATATTATGTATACATTTTTCTAAAGTAAGTATATCACACTTTTTCAGTTTTTGTTAATTGGAGATTTCTCAGTCTACTTCTAAAAATCTCTCACAGTTCTCAAATTTAATGTCCATAATAAATAAATACTAATAGGATTAAGAGAAAAAAGTGCAAGACGATTAAAAGTCAAAACAAAAAAAAACTCTTGTCAATGACAAGTTGTCATTGAATTATAAAAAAAAATATTAATATAGGATAAATATAATCAAATCCCATAGATATGCTGCGACAATTGACTTAGGTTTTTTTTTTTAAATTATGGCTACAAGACTTTCAGTCTTACAAAAACAATTTAAGCACCATAGTTATGACTTATAGATCTACAGGAATCTCATGGCATAAAACAAAAATATTAAATTGAAATTAAAGAAATAGAAAAATTGTAATTGAGAATATCTGAGGTTAGAAAATATTAAGAAATAATTCCTCTTACTCTCACTCGTTAGGGGCCTGTGCCCAGTGGGATTTATATAGATGATGATGATGATGAATGACTAAGCTATCATTTGAGTAACATGATAAATGTTATTATTTTTTACAGACTTATACTTAAGGAGATTTGTTTTGAATATGTTAAATGTCAATCAAAAAGGAGAGATATGATAAAAAAGAGAAAATGCTTTGTACCAAATTGTTGTCTGGTGTACAGGCCATCAAGATGTGTATCTGCTGACTACCACCAAAATATGAATAAAGACAATTTTACAAAATGAGTGACAGAGACGCTAATTCCAAATCTAACAACATTAATTAATTAATTGTTAATTGTTATGGAAAATGCTAGTTATCATTCCATACGTATGAACCACCCACACAAGCCAATCGTATCGCTTTTATAAAAGAATACCTCCGTGCAAATGATTTACATTATGATGATATTTGGCGTAAATTTTAACTACTTGAAATAGTGAAACAAAATATGTCTAAAGTATTAAAATCGCACGGTCATGAAATTTTAAAACTTCCATAATCATTGCATAATGAACCTCATAGAAATGATTTGAGGTACAGAAAAAGTTACTGATAAAAATGTAAATAGACCTGCAAGTGACATAAATTATTAACAAAAGAAGCTTTCTCACAAATTGGAGGACTGGCGAAAATGTTGTGAACATGTAAAGAAAATTGAAAACGATTTCATCAAGTATCATCGATTTCTTATAATACTTGAAATGCTGGAAGAGTGATTTATAATAAAGACCTCTTTATCTTCATCATCTGATGAAGAACAAGAAATGCAAGAAGAGTTTTTAGAATCGTTTTCTAGTTCTGATAATAAATTAGTATATAAAGTAATTTACAGTTTATTTATTTTTCAAGGCATATTTTCCTATCTTAAGAACCCGATATAACAACATTCTTCATACAAATAGCTAATATACTTCATGTTCAATAACACTAAAGACAAATAAAAATTAAACAGAATCAAGATCATTTAATCCAATTTCCCCAGTATTGCCCACAACAATTTTTTATTTCGCTATTTGCCATGATATTCCGGTAAAACTATACTAGATCTTAATTTAAGAAAATACAGTTAAACTCTTTTCAGCCATTTTTTTGTTTTAATGCTATAAATATACTAAGCTAAATCAAAAGCATAAAAACACTAAGCTTTTCCATCTGTGTAAAGTGTCAAGAATTAAACGTCAAGTAATCAAACGCAAAAGAGTGCAAATCTGCAATGAACCAAACCAATCAACAGACTCCAATCGACTTTGCTACTATATCTAGTTGAAGGTTGAAAAATGAAACTTGAAAATTAGTAATTTGTCAACTTTTAGTGATTAACAGTGTGTAGTTTTGAGTGAATCCAAATTATTAAAAAAATTATAACATAGAAGCATAAACCAACCTGATTAGAATATTAATGCATTAAGTACAAACGCTGTGCTATAAAGTTTATAACCATGTGTGCCTATTCTATTTGACTGTTGTAAGAATATTATCAATAATTTTATCAGCTTTCACGATAATTTCCATTGTTTTAAAAGTGGGGTTTTAAACAGTTTAAATAAAACGTTACGATCTTGCACAAGTATGACTCATTTAGCTAGTGGCCGTGCTTAAAAGTTTTTTGGAATGACGTTGAATCAATAACCAGGACTAAGTTATTGACATTGGTTTACACATGGGAACATACTGAATATTTTAAATTGTTAAGCTATTTTAAAATTGTAAGTAATACTTTAATCATTTTGTCGCGTATTTTTGTTTATTTGCTTGTAAACATAAATTACTACTTATGTTGGTTATTTATGATAATTGCTACTGCAATCAATTTTATTAGTTTTTTGTTGTCAACTTGCCTTTTAAAAATATATTAGTATACTTTATAGTACACTACCTATTTAGCAAAGTAGAAGTGCTTCATAATTGTACCTATATAAAAAATAGCTTTGCTTGTAAAAAAAAATTACTGTTTGGTGCTTAAATTTAATAGCAATTTAATGTTAAATGTATGATAAGCTGTATTGTTCCTGCTCTGCTAACTTTGTTATATTAATGAACGATTTCATTGTACACAGAAAAAATGGGAAAGTATACAGGAAAGAAATGCCGTTTATTATCTATGTTATGGCTAACAGGAAGCTTTTTCATAGTGGAATTAGTTGTTGGATATGTTACAAATTCCATGGCATTAGTAGCAGACTCCTTTCACATGTTGAGTGATGTTGCGGCCCTTGTTATTGCTTTTCTCTCTGTAAAGGTAAGTGAATAAACTTAAGAATATATTCTAAAAGTCGCATTTGACATTTACTCGATTAAACAAGATTTAAAGTAAAATGCTAAATGAAAGGATTGCAATATTATTAAATACTTAACTATCTATGAAATTGATGGGTTTACAATTTAAAATTAATTAAATCACAGTTAGTTTAGTAGTAAGGTGTTCCACATAGTAGTTTTTTTAATTGGTAGACTACTTTCTAATAGCCTTTGTGCATTCAGACATATTTGTGTAAGATAGTAAGACAAGGGCTGTAATTTGCATACATCCAAATTCTATCCCAATAAAAAATAACCTTAATTTTTTATTGGGAGAATTTGTATTAAATATAAATTATTTTAGTTCTATAATTTCACAAGAAAAATTGATAAAAATCATAATGTATTGAGTATAAAAATAAATCTATTTTGTATATATGTTTTATTACATAAAATATTTAATAGGTCATAGCCATTTATGCTTTATTTACTATAACACTCCCCCTGATTCATAAAAGAAATAAGACCAAACATACCATTTTAACTAAAAGCCTCTTTTCATCACATTTTAAACATAACTTGATAGAAAGAGACGAAAAAGTACTTTAGTTTAAGAAGCAATTTGACTAATTTAGTTTTTAAATGGTTTTATTTAGCTCACCCTGTTTGTTTTATTCTTGGGTCAAATTTAGTAATTCAAATTTCACCCTCTTCCTGTCAACCGATTAATCTGAAATTTTGTATACACTTTGGATTTTGGTGACAATACAATAAACTAAATAAATAAATAAATATTATATAATATATAACATTATATTAAAAACTGTATCTATTTTATTAATTAAATATATATTATATTTATATTATAGAATTGATTTATTTATATAAACTAACGGGCAAGGAACCTTGCAATAATGAAGCACTAAATGAATTAAACAGAATGCGAAATAAAAACTAAAAACTAGAAAATAAAAATAGGTAAAAAAACTTTTTAAGTTAAACGGTTTTATGTTAAACATACATTGCAATGTTTAAGATAAATGTACTAAAAACCAAAAAATAATAAAATAGATACAGTCGTGGGAATTATAAACATATGCATAGACTAGACTAAAATAAAACCGTGGGGCATGTCAATTGTCTGTTGAAACGATTCCTCGCCAGTCAGCAGTGTGAATGTCCAACGATAAACTAGTTGAAACATCTCTTTTATTTACATGGAGTGTATAACTATTGGAATTTCCATGAGCAAGAAAATAGTAAGTAATTTCCTGACCGTCTGCGGGCCAACTGCCTATTTTAACGACGAATTAAACGATTCTTCTATCGCACATTAAGTCGATAATTTGTAGACAATTGACGTGCCCCACGGTTTTATTTTAGTCTAGTCTATGCATATGTTTATAATTCCCACGACTGTATCTATTTTATTATTTTTTGGTTTTTAGTACATTTATCTTAAACATTGCAATGTATGTTTAACATAAAACCGTTTAACTTAAAAAGTTTTTTTACCTATTTTTATTATTACTTAAAAAGTGTCTGCCGACAATAACTATTTAGATTGTTATCAATAACAGTTAAGACATACATTGTGCTCATCAACCTAAATACTAAACAATGCTTATCATAATCTACATGGCACACTTCAGATGAAAAACAGTTCTAACTATTAAATATTAGGCATAAATATTTTTTATGCCAAAGTTAAGTTATAATTATTTATAGTACTTTTCCTCAAAGAATATTTTTATTGCATTATTGATATTGTCTGTTAAGATAATGTGTCAGATAAAGAATTTGCGTATTGATAAGCTCTTATTCAGTATAAAAAATATATATGAAAGAAAGAAAGAAAAACTTTATTATACAAGATATTTAAATTAAGTAAAGTGCACTGGCCTCCACACTAGGATTCCCTGTGTTGTGGGCAGCCAGTCTCTTCCTTTTGACATGTAAACACTATTTTACAAATTATATTAATGATTTCTACACATTTATATTTACACTATTTTTGCACAATAAGAATATTTTCTGTATCAGCATATGACAGGTTAACAAGATATTGTTTGAGTTGTTTAGTAAATGTATGTAATATATATATGCTGATGATTAATTATTAATATAAAAAAGTATTCTCTATTTACTATTTTTGACTGAAGAACTTTAAATTATTTAAGGACATCCATTAAGGACTTTCAACCATTTCATTTAACATACACTCAATGATTTTATCTTTACTCTTTGTTAGAGAACAAGCATAAAGAAATTTTTATTTTTGTCCTATATTTTCCACATTGCCTGGATGAGATCACTTCATAGGACACATTGTATCTCTTTTATTATGTTATAATGTATTTACACTTCTAGTGTATCCTATGTTATTATAAATAATGCATAATTGTCTACTTATCAGCACATGGCTCTCAACATCTTAATCAATAGAATTATATTTACAGTACAACTTTACTCTAAAGTGTTGTTTGAAAACAATTCATTACAAGTATTTCCTTCTCTTTTTATTACTATATATGAGTGAGCATTTTGTGACTTTGAATTGTTTATTCTGACTATCAAGCCCAAAGATTGTCTCTTCTAACAATAGGGCTCCTAATCAGAATCTTATATAATCTATAAATAGCTAAACTCGAAATCTGTTTTTTTTTTATAAAAAATACTATCTTACTATGATGATGAAAGTATTGGATAGCCCTGCAAAAGGGTGGGAATTTAAAAAAAAAAGAATATTATGGCGTGTTATTAATTAGATACTGTAACAGTTTTCAATGTAGTGATTTCGAAAATCGTAATTTTTCCTCAAATAGATAGTGCACTGATAAATCTTTTGATAAACAACCAATAACCGATACTTCAAACATGTTAAAGAATCAAGTCAAGTAGATGTAATAATTTTTATATGCGTTGGAAAATTGTCAAGTAATTTTTTAGTTGCCTAGGCCGTCAGTGACATAACAATAGGGAGACAGGGCTGGCAGAACTCCACGGGCCCCCGACCCAAGAGGGCCCTTGACCAAGAGATATTATGTTTTATGGATGAATGTGAAATCTCCAATACGAGAGAGGAGGCCTTTGGCCATTAGAGGGACATATACAACGTGTAATTGAGTACGCTAAAAATCTCGAAGTTAATTCCATGGCCTCGTCAAAAGAATTTGACACGGGACCCCGATGGTATAGTTACGCCATTGTAGGCCGTGATCGGTTTGCATATTTCCATTGAGGCTCGATTGCTGGTAAACCATGCAGGAAAATCTATATGCAACTTCCCTATATCTAGTGTGAAATAGATTTCCACTCAATTAATTTCCGCATTTTCCTTGTTTGGATTTTAATTTATATGAAAATAGATATGGATCTCGGATATCGGGCTTTTCACAATCGAACCTTGTCAGCCTTATGACGTCATCACGTACAATGAGTCAATGGGTAAAAATGTAGAGTATAGTTTTTATAGCGGTATTTTCCTCATTCTGTCTGAGTAAAGAACGCAATGCGTGGGATTGCAATTTCTTATAGGAAATTTAGTTGTAGGTATGTTCTATATGTTACATATGTTTATATTTTGGCATTTATAAAAGTATTTAAAGTTAGGATATCTCTTGCATCTGAAGGGGGATCTGGAGGGGAGAGGGGTGTTTTCATGCGTGTTCATGATATGACCCTGGGTGATTTCGCTCTATTTTTGATATTGTTACAAAATAGTTTTGGTTATTATAACAGATTCTTCGGTCATTTGACTACTGATACATTATAAAAACACAAATTTGTGTATACGGTCTGAGGGTAATATTCAGAAACGAGATTAAAACTCCCATAGGTCAAATAAGTATATCGAAGTAGTTTGCGCTCTTCTATTAATTGCATCTTTTTATCGTGTTAGGATTTAAAACTAATAATGTAAACATATTTATAAATTGAATGTCTCGTATACGGCGAATGATGTTTTTTACTACCCGTAAATTTGACTGTTCGTTATTTTGTCTTATAAAGAGCGTACCAATTCTGAAAAGGCCGGCAACGCACTCGCGAGCCCTCTGGCATTGAGAGTGTCCATGGGCGGCGGTATCACTTAACATCAGCTGCCCGTTTGCCCCGTTCTATAAAAAATAATAATATGGTATTTACGATTAGTTTGAATTAACTTCCCCTCCAATTTGATCGATGTTATCAAACGCTTTACCAGAATCCAAGTGTTCGAAACTGATAAAATATTGACGGCAGTATGCCCTCTAGAAATAGGCCAAATATATTATATTATATTCACCAACAGATGTCACCGAAGAAATGGTCAAAGAACACATTCGGATGGGCGCGCGCTGAAGTACTCGGTGCCTTAGTTAATGCAGTCTTCCTTGTGGCACTGTGCTTCAGCATCACAGTGGAGGCTGTTCAGAGATTTATCAATATTGAGACGATACACAATGCGAAACTATTGGTTGCTGTGGGAACATTGGGGCTGGTTTTAAACATTGTTGGACTATTCCTGTTTCATGGTATGTATTTATTTTATTAATGGTAAGATTTCGAGTCGAAACTTAGCTACTATTTATTTATTAAAAGTGATCTTACAGCTAACACATATCCATATTATAAAAGAAAACACAGAGAATATACAAAGCCAAAACAGATAACATTGTTAAACAAAATACATATATATATGAAACAGAAAACAAGGACATTATGAAATAAAATAAAAATACTGAAATTAAACCTTAATCAAACGACAATGTGTCAAAAACGTATTTTGAGATATAGTATTTATATACTTACTTATCTCGATTTAAAATGTAAAAAAAATACAATAGCGCTACAACCTTTTTTGGGCTAGGCCTCGGATTTCTATATGTTTCATGATTCGTTAAACTAATAGGCAAGTATCAGGTGATCAGCCTCCTGTGCCTGACATACGCCGTCGACTTTTTTGGGTCTAAGGCAAGCCTGTTTACGAAGTTTCCGTTCGCTGTTCGAGTGAATGTTAAATAAAATAGAAAGTAAGTTCATTGGTGCACAGCCGGGTATCGAAACTACGATCTTAGGGATGAGAGTCGCTCGCTGAAGCCACTAGGCAAACATTGCCCTTTTGAATGTTAACCTTAAAATTAACGGGGGCAGACGCATTATTCAGCTCTTTTCGAAATCCATACACAGGACTAGCAGATTAAATTTTGTATGTTCCTCGTATTATATATAAAGCATTATGTTTTTGATGATTACAACTCTTTTAATAAGCGTAATATGTATTATAGATACACTAGCTGACCCGGCAAACGTCGTTTTGCCATGTATATTATTTGTAGGATTTTTTTTTCGTTTAATAAAAATAACTAGAGTCTGGCTAATAAAAGAAGATAACGCAAAAGCGCGGCAAATTAAAAAAAAAAATTAGTATGGTATCCCTAAAAGTTTGATATATTTAGTGGATTAAACTTACTTGATACTTGATTTTATTTTATTATTTTTTACATTGATATTAACTGTATTTATTTGAAATTAATGCTGTATCATAAAAAAATAAAAACAAATTTTATCGTCTAAAAATAAATAATAAATTCATGGGGTGGACACCCCTTATCACTTAGAGGTTTGAAAGATAGTAGCCGATTCTCAGACTTACTAAATATGCATAAAAAATTTCATAAGAATCGGTCGAGCCGTTTCGGAGGAGTATGGCGACGAACATTGTGACACGAGAATTTTATATATTAGATAATTTTAATTTTAACCAAATTTTTTAAATATGTTTCGCCACTTCTTATCAATTTTAATTATAATAAATAAAATGTGACACCAGTTAGAGTCCTTTGAGTCTTTGATTTTTATAAACTTGCTAACGTGTTTTCTTAAATTCATCTCTGTTTAAACAAACTTTCCTTTATGTTTGTCATATATTAATGAGCCCTGTGAAGTTTATATTATTGTAATATTCAAAGTATAACACGCCAGAATTGTTATGATAATATACACGTTGGTTAATAACATGTACGGAGATTGTGGGAAATGCCTACACATTGATTCGTAGAATTTGTTTGCCGAATCAAATTTGTGAGACCCGACTCCACACAATAAATATCTTCTTAATTATATTTAAATGTAAATACTATGATAAATATAATTAAAAAACAGATAGTGTATATTTGTTTGGTTATATTGTGAAAAACTGCGATTGCAACAGAAATCAGCCAATTTATACGGCATTTAATAGCTCGTGAAAGAAATCAAACAAGTAAACGAGTTTAAAGCACGCCGTGCGACAGCTTTATAATTAAAGCCTGAAGATTCTCTACGGTTCCTGGGTTAGAGGATGCTTTGAATGAAAAAAATACAGTATTTAAAAAAAAAAATCAATTTACATTCTTTCTATGTGCGCATTTAACATTAGCTCGAACGGTGAAGGTAAACATCGTGAGGAAACCGATATGCCTTAGACCCAAAAAGTCGACGGTGTGTGTCAGGCACTGGAGGCTGATCACCTACTTGCTATTAGATTTAATAATGATCATGAAACAGATTCCGAAATCTGAGGCCAAGACCTAAAAAGGTTGTAGCGCCACTCATTCATAGTATTCTTAATCGGTACGAGTAATATACATTATAAAAAAGATTCCGACGATTCTCCTCTCCTATATTAAAGTGCTAATAAATGCTATGCACAGTGCCAAGACATAGGGGTCATTCACCCTAAAAGGTCATGAACTCTTACCCGAACTATCAGCTGATTTTGTGCATTACAGCAACTTAATCTGTAATCTGAATGTATCAATAGCGTATAATGATTACCATGACCGTCAAAGCAACGTTAGAATTTGTATTTATTGTTTAATAAACCTTGGCACGAAGCAATAAGGACGACATTGAACTGAACTAAAATTCTAATCATGAAACACTCACGTTTTTAAAAATGGAATGTAACAGTAGATTTTTACAACTCGTTTATTCAAAGGCATGTCCAATTATTTAATTTAGCTATTTTCAATTGTCAAGGTGACTTACAATAGGTGTTTGCCAAACAATAGACGCCGGCTTTGTTTATTGTCCCCGTATTGAAATTAACGCTTAGAAATAGAACAACCCGTTGATAACAAAGCTTACTATCAATGCGAACAAGTCGACCGATTGGAGCCTTTTATTTGTTTCCGCATTTAATATTTATAAATGTAGTCGATTATCGTATTCTAATAGAGGACAACGGATTATGTAGTTTTTATACTCTCCTTATACTAAGGTGACTATACTCATTTACTGAGTTTTGTACTTGTTTTATCGCAAACCGTACTCTTTTCAAATCCTGTACTCTTGAGTACTCATTTGTATAATTTTATAAAACATTTTTTAGATTATTTTAGTTGTTCAGGCACTAATGCTGCTGTTGAAACTTGAAATGGGATTTTCACTAGATAATGATTATTGGAGCAGTGAGAAGTCGCAACTTTCTGTGAAAACAAATTCTGCCATCTTAACAGTTAACTTTAATATGCAAAATGAAAGTCGCTCGTTTAGCAAAAAAATCCACTACGAAGAAAAATATGTTTTTAAAGGAAAATCAACTTTTTTCTTCTTTCTATTTTTTCACCTTTGTACAAAGTGTACTCTTTTTGAACAAAAAATAGTTGGTCACCTTACTTATACTTATATAGTACGTAACTTTAATGTGTTTACGAATATTGGAGTTGGTATCATGTATACTGTATAATCAAAAAATAAAAAATACATATTATTTATGGCTTGATAATACCTGTTGTAGCCTGTGCTGTGAATGTTTAAAATAATAAATTCCGGTTAATCTCGCTTAACTTAAACATAAAGGTCAGAAAAAATTCTGGTAGTATTTCTAGTTTAATTTTTTTAGTTAAAAAGAGATGAAACTTGGGCAAAAATCGTCCGTAATTTCATTAATTAGTCTTGGTTTGAGAAATGTACAAATAAATTCAAAATCAAATAAAACACCTAACGGTCAGTCTGCTTATTCGGTTCGATTTAACATAAACAAAAAAAGGTTTCCATCCGAGGTCAACATACCAAAATATTCCTGGAAGAAACAGTATTGGGTTTAAAAGTCTTTTTTACGTGTACAAGGTGTCTTGTGTTACTTCAGAATAACTGTTTTTAATATTTAATATAATAGTAAATAATAAAGCTCGTTTATTTCTTTACAAATGTTAAGAATATACAGATTAAATTCGTAATATATTTTTTTTCTTGTTATTTGTTATCATATTTGGAATTGATTTGCTCCAGTTCAAACAATTTGTATGACAATACTTGGCGATTAAAAAGAGTGGCGGACAGTTTCTTGCCAGTTCTTCTTACCCGCTCTACGCCCTTGACTTGCGAACTGGTAGTAAATGTAAATTTACAATTAATTTAACTTCTTTCTGACAGTTCACAAGTGTACTTGTTTACCTATATGAATAAAGATATTTTGAGTTCATCAATTCCGTCAGTACCTTTTATTGGGACCACTTCCTGGGTAAATGCCTCCTCAAGCTTTTTCCAAATTTCTCTATGCATGGCTGGCTTTCTTTCTACATTCTTTTCCTACTAACGTTTTCTAGAGCACCCCCTTCTTCCCCTTGGTCCTTTCCATATTGTCTGTAAAGTTCATCTTTTATATTGCTGTATGTCCCACCCATTGCCATTTCTGTTTTGCGAAAGTTTTTGTAAGCCGTCTTAAACTTTTGTTAGTTTTGTATTTTCCTTGTTTTAAGTACGCTTCTTTCCACTGCTTTCTTGCACGGAAACTTCGCCTAATATTTAATATGCGAGTGCAATATTTGATCACGCGTTTAGCACAGCTGAAATATAATTTTACAGTTGAATGAGTAATTAAAATTTTAATTTTATCTTTCATTAATGTCAATATTATTTCTTTCAATTTATGTTGTAGTAGTTGTAAGGAAGAAAGAAATAAATTTCTGTTCCTCCTCTTATAGTTTTTACTGATAAGTTATTGTTACATACAGTCAAAATCTGTTATAACGACATCGATTACTCATATTAGGTCGTAAAAACCGATAGTCATAACAGCCGATGACGTTATTAAGTATTTAATACAATAGAATTCAGCTGGGAACTTTTATTTTGGTCAATATAACCGGTATTTTGTTATAAACAATGTCATCGTAATCGGTTTTGACTGTAGTTGAATATAATTTGTGATATATTGATAAAAACTTATTTCTGAAATTCTACTAAATAATACAAAAACTCGCAGATGCTATTAATAAGACAAATCGTATTTAAAACATTTTGTATGTAAAGTTACCATAGTTCCTGTTAGTACGAATAAATCTTTACTCTTACAGAACACGGCAGCAGTCATGGCCACACACACGGCGGTGTTCCACCTCCATCGAATGTCAGACACCTTACAGAGTTAGTGAATAGCAATGCAGACATGGCCCTTGGTCATGCGACCACAGATAATGAAGAGACAGATGAAATGGTCCCACCCAAAGTTGACAAACTACCGAAGAAGCAAGCGCCGAAAAGTACAGACCCGGGGCACTTAAATATGAAAGGAGTGTTTTTACACGTGCTCTCCGATGCTTTAGGTAAGTTAAGCCACAGATATTTTTTTTAAATGATTCTGTCATTATTATAGATAAATATAGATAAACTAGCTGAACCGGAAAACGTTGCTTTGCCAGGAATATAATTTCTAGGAAACATTTTTTTAGTTTAATAAAAATACCTATCTGCTATAATAAAAATAGGTGTTGATCGTAGAGGGGTGAAAATTAAGGGTTGTATGTATTTTTGTATTTTTTATACCATACAATAAAAAAAAAAAAAAAAACTTAAAAAAAAAAATTGCATGGACACCCCTTATCACTTAGGGGTTTGAAAGATACATAGTAGCCGATTCTCAGACTTACTGAATATGAATATTAAATTTCATAAGAATTGGTCGAGCCGTTTCGGAGGAGTATGGGAACGAACATTGTGACGAGAAATTTATATATTAGAAGATATAAAATTTAGTATGAAAAGTTAGTGATTAATTGAGACCGAAAACTGTCAGATCTTCAATATATTGACATAATAGTCAATTAATTATTAAGACGAAAGGCTTAACGTGGGTGAAACCGCAGTACAGGTAGTTATGTATATCCTAATTTGCATTTATACATTGTTATGTACAAAAATAACACGAGAGTTGCGTTTTGTACGAATTTTTCTTTTGTTTTGTGTTCCCGTGATTCTAAGAACGTTAAAGGCATTGACCAATACGTCACGGACGAATAATTTACACCACCGCCTTCGGACTGTCGATGTACGTATCAGAATTTCTCTTGCACGAGGCAACTCTTGGTAACAAGATATGAGTATAGATAACTTTTTTGATATCAAAGAGTACAATATTTATATTCACATCCTTATCATAGTTGTATGTTACGTTTTTTTGAGTAAAAAAATATCTGGAAAGCCAGCCCAAAAAGATAAAAAATATTACTAAGTGACAAATGTTTTGCTCATATTTGACATAACTTTATAAACCATTTCGGATGTTGATGATACATATACTTCTTATATATTAGACATATTATATATATATAAGAGCGACGCCATCTTACTTTTAGGCAAGATGGCATCGCTCTAAGACGTACCTTGCTTAAAACACGTGAACAAAAGTCAGGTTTTTCAACTGTTAATTGTCATTGCACAAATACATATATTATATTTCGATTATATACAGTTTCCAACGAAATTTAACTCCACAATAGCATCAAGATTTGACAGACGAAGACTTGTTATTTGAAAACAAGCTAAGTCATAGTCGATTAGAATAATCTGTGATATTTTTGTGTCACGTGATATATATATTTTCTTTTTCTTCTGCGGTTTGCAATTAGCCTTAAGGCTATGAGCGAATCTGTTCTGTGGTGCTGTCATGTAGAGTGGTTTTCCATTGGAAGCATCTACTCAACTACTGTGCCTAGAGTCGCTACTGCCGGTCTTCTGTCTACGTGATATATGAAAATCAATATGGAACTATGGATTTTTTTGATAAATTAATCATTTTTTACGTGTTATTTTACTGCTAAACCTTTGTAATGATAATTCGTATACAGATTATTCTCACTAACACAAAGTTTTCTTACTTCCAAATAGCCCATTATGCGTAGTCTATTTATAAAGGCGATTGAATAAAAATTTTCGAGTCGTATTACAATATTACTACGAAGGTTCGATATATTTATTTCCGGTTCATAGATTCTTGTAGAATTCTGCCTTTCTCGCTGAAGGTTGTATGTATATAGGTTATAGTCATAGATAGCTCTATGTCTATAGCCGGCGTAAGCATGTATATTTTTCTATAATATTAAAAAAATATTATTGTGATGATATAAAAAAAACTTTTCAAAAGTAAACTTATCAATTGAGGCTCTCAAATTCATTCGTGAGAATGCCTAATGTCAGATATGATCCCAGGATAATTCTAAAATGATTGCTTCCGGTGCTTTCATGCTATTTTATCCGCAAAATGAAGTAATTATATTTCAATAAGACCGAGATTGGCCTTTGAATGTTTTTTTCGATTTGATAACCTTTATTGTTATTTCTTTAGTTTACGTAAATAAACTTATATTTTATTTAACTTTCTTAAGAAATCTTTGCTACAAATATACATCTCTTTACTCTGTAGTATTATATATTGCTAAAAAAAGGAATATATTTTTTAAACTAATTTTATCGAAAGTAATGTTCGTTCACCTTTTGTTAATACCCGTCTACCAATAGAGCAGCTGATACATTTTTGTGTCTGTTGCGTTGACCATTTTATATGATACTTATCTGCCCCTGAAACAATTATTATTCCATCAGATGTCCCTGGACCTACCAAGTTATATGCCACGGTATTAATAGCCTCAGCCATATAATTGACATCAAAAAGTGGATATATTTTTTATTACCACTAGATGCTCTAACGCTGTCTCAAAAGAAAATACTGATCTGCAATCACCTGCAGGGTTAGATTGATCTAAATATTTTTAGACTCGAAAGGCCCTAGTCGTAAGGAATTTTTTTCCATTTTATTAATAAAATTTCTAGTATTATTAGTATATTTAAGACCACGACCTTGGTAACCGTGAAATACTATCAAAGTCATGAACCAATCTAGATATTGGTGAAAACAGTAATGAATTCCGTACAGTAGTATTTGTGTATACTGATAGAGAGATACGTCGGAGGACTTGTTTTTATCTTTATATATATATAATTCTACTGTTCGTGTGTATGTCACTGAACTCCTCTTAAGCGGCTGGACCGATTTTTTATCGATTTTGTAGTACTACAATATTTGGTGTGTTCTATAATATTTTGTAGTGTTGATAGGATCTGTCTCTCTTTGTAACCTTGGCTATTTCGAAAATCGTGCTGTCATTGACATTAATGCTGGAATAAAATGCGATCAATTTTAACCTTGCTCTACTTTCTTCCTATCGTTTAACTGATGTGATATCTGGAATCATTTCACACACTTATCAGTTCGATACTGATATAGTCTAGTTAAAAGTAGCTTGTTAGATAAACTGTTTACATTTTCCTATAAAAATAACAGTATGCGATATAGCCTACCTTCTTTAAAGGCCGGCAACGCACTTGTGAGCCGTCTGTCATTGAGTGTCCACGGGCGTCGGTATCCCCTGTTCTACAAAAATCAACTCGAAGTCTCTCAATAACTAAGTCTAAGACAGTACATGTTCATTATATACGGTTATGTACTTTGAAATCTTTATGTTTTTCATATGTTGCATATGTGTGTGTGTAAATAATCTATGGTTTTTATTATACAACAATTGATGAATGGTGTAAGGAGTTTATTTGATTTGACGTCACACCATAAAAATATAATTCTGTACCAGTCTTATTTTAATCTGCCTCTGGTTCTATATAGCGGAACTTGTAAACACGTGAAGATGTAGGTATTTATAATCCGTACTAAATCTAGAACGAAGAGTCAGAACATTTATAAACCAGGGACAAACAAATATTTGTGATATTTTAAAATTTAGAATCGCGATTTAAAATTTAAAATGACATGGTCTAAGATCCCGATATACAAGGACCTTCACCGAGATGCTTATTTAATGAAACGTTTTTTTATATTTAATTTAATATTTCAATAAATATAATCCATATGGGATGCCTAGCAAATTTCAGTCCAGAGTACATATTTTAATTAATATTTAAAAAAAATTTTTTTTTAAACATTTCACCGGTATGATTATTAGATAAATTCTATACCAATCGAACGTATGAAGCCCATAGAATATACAAACGTTAGGTTGTTTTTAATCAATTAATTATTTATGTGTATATTTTTTATGTGACACTAAAGTATATATACATCTTTAGTAAAAAAGAAAGTTATAGTGAAACATATATAATACTACCCTGATTAAAAATATTGATTGAAAAAAAATAAAAAAAATTACTACATGCAAATTATAAAAAAATATTTTTTTTTAAATATTAATTAAACATACTCTGGACTGAAATTTGCTAGGCAACCCATATGGATTATATTTATTGACATATTAAATTAAATATAAAATACGTTTCATTAAATAAGCATCTCGGTGAAGGTCGTTGTATATCGGGATCTTATACTAACATTCGAAATTCGAAAAGTGGGTGTATAAATATTGACGTATTCTGTTCTGCTTGCAAATTTTAAATCTGTGAACTGAATTATAATGTGCGCGGTTTAAATCTAGTCCGGAATTATAAATAGCAACAGATTGAGAATAACAATGTTTTTCGATACGTTTATGTCGAAGACGTCATCGGACATTGACAGCACACTACAATTATATGAATGAATTGCCCTTGTAAAATTATTATTCTTAGAGGTATTTAGAGGTTATTGTAAATGATAGATCACAAAGTAATAAGATGCAGAGAGATTAGTAATGATACTTCTACCGCATTTACCATGGAGAGTGTTCAGATCAGTTGTTCGGATTAATACCTGCAGCTGAGTTTCATCATCGGACGTCGAAGTGATACGGGTGCAATTTCGTATTCTGCCTGTCGTTCGTTGAGCGTTTTTTAGGCAGTTTTTGCCGCGCACCACCACTATGTGAAACCAGCTGCCCACCGATGTTCCAATTCCACTTAGGGTCCTTCAAGAAAAGATTGTACCAATTCTTTAAATGCCGGCTACGCATTTGCGAGCCCTCTGGAAATGTGAGTGTATATGGTTAATCACATAACATCAGATGAGCCCCCTGCCCGTTTGTCCGTCTAATGTGGAGCCTTTATTGGAGCGTCTAATAGGATTTACCCTATGTTACGCTAATATGTATTAGAGAGGTTAACAAATTTTATTTGGAGTCATACCAACCTAGACACAGTTCGTTAACATAGCAATCGTTCTGGTATTCCAATCGAAATTATTTATCATACATTAAAAACCAGTACGGATAGTTTAGTTTAGGATTACTAAAAGATACTTAAACTAGTTATTGAAGAATCCTGGGTAATGGTTTTCGTACCAGCAGTTACAAGACCTTCGTATATGTGCAAGAGAATTGAATCTTTATAACATTGTATCTAGAGCTTTAATTCCTGTAATCTTTGATCTAAGTCCAAATTATTTTACAAATAGCATACGGTTCAATACAACGTGTAATTTGGTTTCAGGTTCAATAATAGTGGTTATATCGGCGTTAGTTGTATGGTTGACTGAATGGGAGTACCGATTCTACATTGACCCAGCCCTTAGTATAGTGTTAGTTTTATTAATACTTACCTCAGTCTGGCCACTATTGAGGGAGTCCGCACTTATTTTGCTACAAACTGTACCTACACATATACAGGTAAGATTTCATAATATTATTAGATAAATGTGTAAAATATATTTAATTTTTAAGAAATTCTGCACTGCACACTGCTAGGAACAGCTAGTAACTTGTAAGGTTCTACAGATATTAAACGATATATGTATTGTCTCTAGTTTAGGCGAGTTGAGTGGTGTTGGCATAGTGGCTTCAGTGCGCGACTCTCTTGAAGTAGTAGGTTTGAACCTTGGTTATACAGATATTAAGGAACCCGACATGCCTTATAACCGGACTAATACCTGCAGCTGAGTTTCATCATCGGACGTCAAGGCAGAATACAAAATAGCATCCGTATCACCTTGACGTCCGTCGTTCCACAACTGAGCGATTCTTAAGGCAATTTCTGCCGGGCACCATCACTGTGTGGAACCAGCTGTCCACTAATGTATTTCCGAACCAATTAGACTACGGCGCCTTCAAGAAAAGAGCGTACCAAGTCTTAAAAGGCCGGCAGCGCGCTTGCGAGCCTTCTGGCAGTGCGAGTGTCCACGGGCGGCGGTATCACTTAACATCAGGTGAGCCACCTGCCCGTCTGCCTCCTGTAACATATTAAAAAAAATTAGAAAAATTAGAAGCATTTAATGTATATTTCTTTTTGACGTTCATAGTGTACACCTATATGAATAAATTATTTTAGACTTAGATTTTTTTTGACTCATCGTCCCCAAAACTGTAGTGTTATGAGAGAAGCGCTGGACAGAAACTGGAAAAAGATTATCCGCTCCAGATGTTTCCTTCCTGATACAGACAAGAGCTACCGACTCAAGAGATATAATAATATAAAAACAAAGGAAAAACGTTTATTACGATGACCTATTTCTAGATCTGCACCAAATCGTGCAATCATATTTATACACACGTGTGCGGTTAGCCAAACAAAAGTTTTAGTGATAAAGTTCGTTTGGTTTGCGATAAGATATATTGCGCGTTTGAGTGTACGGACATTTCGTCTGTTTTTTTCCGACGATACCTTTGGGCTGGCTTGTTCGTGTAAAAATATTCAGATAGCTAGGTGTCACAATTTTGTTAATTGTTATGTCAGAAAGGTGTTTTGGCAAAGTTAGAATATATAGAAATATAAATTCTATGAAGTACTCTTCAATGTTCTTAAATCACTATCTACTACAGCGTACATGTTACCTTCACCGCACGCTGTGTATATGTTACCTTCTATCTAATTTTTTCTATTTTTGAAGTTATACTTCTTTAGGCGCGTTATGAAAAATTGATGAGAGTGAAATTTTACGATGGGCCGTGACACAAAATTAACAGAATGAAGTTGCCCACGGAAGATGCTACGGCATTGGACATAATTTAAAAACAACATTCGAATAATAATAAAATTTATGTTACACTTAATGTAAGAGAATAATAATAAATATTTATTTATTTAATTTTTCAAATGTAAACTGAACTTTTTTGACTATTATGTCAAAAAAGTTCAGTTCCTCCTTCCTCCTTTTCCAGTCTTTGATTATTTAATTGTAATTTATTATTTGCATGCAATCAAAAACTATTTTTAATAATGCCAAAGAAGTATAACTACATACATACATACATAAGGTAACCCTTTTTTTTCTATTCCGTGATATACAACTACCCCCTGAAGCTTTTGTATATAGAACAGGCCAAGGTAGCATCTACCCTAAAAGTGTTTACAGTGATTGGAAAATATTTTTTAAAGGCTTGAGTTGGGACCAATTTAAAAAATAATAATTATGAACGATTTTGAAAAATTTGTATAAACTTGAATTGAAATTAGATATAAATAAAACTAATAGTCTGATTCTCGCGTTTTAGCATCAATTTTAATTTATTGAACCTTTAGAAAACAATCTTTAGACGTAAACTGATAAACGTACGTACGTAAATTTTATTATAAGATACTATTCCATTATGAATGCCTCCATGGTACAAAGCAGCCAAATATATGTGTAAAACTAGTGTTATAAACGCTATATGCAGCGCTAAAGACTTAATTTCTAACGTTTGTCGTGACAAACCAGTCAAGTAATTTCTATGTTTTATGGAATTTGACGTTAAATTGAGGGACTGTTAATGTAAAATAAGTTTCTACTATCTTTTATTTTACTTTGCTACATTTATACTTTATATAATACTTTTATAACTAAGCTTGTCTCTCGATAAAGACCTCTAAATGTTGGGGACATTTAGAGATCATTTCACGTGACCCTCCTGTCTCAAATCATTCTTCTATCTACCCCGGCTTCTCTTATGTCATCCTCCCTTCGGCTCACCAGTCTTTCCTTGCTTCTCTTTTTATCCCTAGAGTACTGTTACCTTTTGTTAATTTTTCCTTTCTTTTCTTACCATCTCCCACCCCATTTGAATATATAAAATTTAGTTTACACATGAGGCATATCAAATACATATTTAAATGTTTGTGCAGGTGGACGCGATACAAAGGCGTCTGTTGGACGAGGTCGACGGTGTGTTGGCGGTACATGAATTTCACGTGTGGCAGTTGGCTGGTGATAGGATTATTGCCAGTGCGCATATAAGGTTTGTTATATGTATATTCATGTATACTAATATTATAATAGGAAATAATTTTATGTTTGAATTAAATAAAAAATGACTTAAGTAGTAAGCGATCTCATTCAGGCCACCTTAATACATATCTAATATATAAAATTCTCGAGTCACAATGTTCGTTCCCATACTCCTCCGAAACGGCTCGACTGATTCTTATGAAATTTTTTATGCATATTCAGTAAGTCTGAGAATCGGCTACTATCTTTCAAATATCTAAGTGATAAGGGGTGTCCAACCCAAACAAAAAATTTTTTTGGATAACCTTTGTTTTATGTGACATTAAAAATACATACAACCCTTAGTTTTCACCCCTCTATGATCAACCCCTATTTTTTATTATGATAGATAGTTATTTTTATTGAACTAAAAAAATGTTTCCTAGACATAATATAATATAAATATAGGGTAAAAAATAATATAGGTCTACATTTCAAAACAACGTTTGCCGGGTCAGTTGGTATGTATATTGTATATATATACCAGTAGCGCTAAAAACTGTGTTTCGATAGGGGGCCCCTTGTAGGTGTACCCAAAATATAATTTTAACAATACAAAACTAACACAAAATAAGTAAGAAGTACAGATAACTAAAAGGAAACAAATAACCATAAATGCCTCCACCTTACCTTAATCTATGTCCAATAAAAAATAATTTAATAACTTGCCACAGGAAAATTGATAGGTAATTTTTTTATTGGACTCGAAAGGATAGTTTTTACTCAATCGAAATATAAACTGAGTGGTACCAAGTTTTGAATTTGGAACCGTGTAAGTTTCAAAATAGCGTGTACACGTTTTACGAGTGTTTTCTTCCTGCTTCACATATTTTATAAACAGCTGCCGCACAGTGAGAACCTGGGGTACCGATAAAGGTCCATTGTGTGGTATCTTAGAGGGTATCTATCGTATAGGGCTTAGAATTTAGCACTTTAAACCAAGATCTCTGGGCGTGCTCAAGCTTAAGAATAGTTGACTAACATGATTCACCACAGAAAGTAATTCTGTTGGAAATAAGAAACTGGTATAATGTGAGGTAAACAGTTTTTTGTCTCAAAATCTTCTAAGTGTCTAATTTTTTTTGGATATAGGAATTAGTTTTAGTCTTTAAATCGATGCGATATGTTTAATTCAATTGATGCGTCGATTAAATGATTAGTATAGCGAGACACTATAGCTTCACGCTTCGAACATTTTGACAAACAATTTTAAAAGCAGTCTTATGAAAATGATAAATCATAGAGTAAGATTGCATCATTAATTATTATCATACACAATCGATCCAAGTGCCAAATTTATCAACTTCTTTTGGGATTTCCAAATTGAAAATATCTATTGATTTAATCAATGGTTATAAATTGTATTCTATTCCAATCTTTACCGACGTGACTTGCACTATAATTAGAATTACTTTAAGTTTTGGAATGATGAGCAATTCTAAGAGTGCCATTAATGTAAATCGAAAGATCTTTTCCGCCTTTCTGACGCAAACCTGGAGCTCGTTTTTCAGATTTGTGCAGTATTTAAATTTCGTTGGAGTTTGGTCCGGGAATACCTTTATATACTCCAAATCAATCACTACTATTTGACGACTCATTGGTCTACTAGTGGTTAGTACCCCTGACTGCGAATCCATGGATCCCAACATCGATGTGATGAGCATTTGGTGTTGTGTTTAGGTCTTGGGTGTTTAAATATGTATTTATATGTCTATCTATCTATAATATGTATGTTTATCCGTTGCCTAGTACCCATAACACCAGCTTCACCAGCTTAGCATGGGACTAGGTCAATTGGTGTGAATTGTCCAATTTAAAAAAAATAGCAATCCATGTAGCAGTAAATTTTCTAAACCGAAATATTTTAGCGACCTTATCCTTAAATTTATGGGAAAGCTTAGTCCTTAATACTAAGTAATACCGTTTTTACAATTCCTATTTTTTCTTCGTTTTCCTCATTTTTTTCAAACCCTTAGTCATGTTTTGGTAACCACACAATTACTTTTTTTTTCTCTTATTAATTTGTCTCGGACTTCACCATCAGTTTTTTCACTTTCTTATATCGAAAGCGCGAATAGGTTGAGATGTTTTTTAAGGAGGAGATATCAACAGTCTTTTTCTATAACTCAGATTTGTGCTTATTTAATTCAGAAATTTTATTGAAGTTATACTTCTTTTGGCGCGTTAGGGAAAAATTATGAGAGCAAATGAGTACGATGCGCGCGCACACCGTCACAAAAAACCGACACCCTGATGTTGGTATAGTTAACATGTCTAGTTTTTTACTATTTTAAGATAACTTTTTCTACAAACGTGAGTGACCTAATAAAATTTTTTAGCCTTTAGATGGGCTAAGATTTTCGTCTTTCATGCCAAAGTTTGAAGGGTATAACGCGTCTGGCGTTAGCATACAATTTTTGCAGTTTCCGAGAAGACTTCTCTGGTAATTTCTATATTTTTTTTTACCATAGATAGGACGTTGAGATTTCAACGAACTGAAAGCACACCAACTTTTTCGAAAAGCTGACATTTTGACGTCAGAATTTTCGATTGGAAATTAGGTGTTTCTTCGATATTAATTCAAAATAAAGTGCAGCAATTTATTTTAAGTCAAATAAATTACAGTATATTTGGGACATAAAAGGTAAGTCTGGTCACTTATCGTTTAAAAAAATAAATTTTTGTAAATGGGAATAACCAAAACTTCGTTCTTCGATTTTTTACCAATCTTAAAGGCTATCTGAAAAATGGGTTACTTCAATAGTTTTAGATCTTTTTATTAACTAACAATTTTGCCATTTAACATTTTTGATGATTTTAGTTTTGCCGGAACTCGGTAAACGTTTTTTACCCTTAAAACTATGAACTCAGTAGGTGCCTAAAAAATAACAAAACAATTAGACAATCGATTAAAGTATAAAAAATACAAGAAAGAGACAAAACACTGTCAAAGTTTAGTAACGATTTAAAATTTTTGCATCTAGTCTAGATGAAATAGTATAAAAATACAATACGGCTTATCATTATCATATTCTTATCGGTGTTATGCCAAACTACTTTCAAGGAGACAAATAATGATATTATTTATTCACGTTAAACATGAACAAAATTATGTGTGTGTATATTTTTATAGCTTTGTATGTTGACTGTGTCTGTATGTATGCAAATTACGGCTATTTGAAAATGTAATTTGAACGAATTAACGTGTATTTGAAGCTGTCAACATTATTCATTCGCAAAAATCGGTGGATATCTCGAAAATAATAGATCTGAATGACACTTCGACTATTTCCTCAGATAAAATATTATAAATGATAATCAATTTGACTTCTAGTTTCTGAGAAATTTCTAAAGAAATTTCCTATATAACTACTGAAGATCGTAAATACAAGGTAAAAAAATTTTTTGAAGTACTTACGTACAAGGCAGTGTTTGCCGTGCACCACCACTATGTGGAATCAGCTGCCAACTGAAATATTTCCGAACTAATTCGGCTTAGGGTCCTTCAAGAAAAGGGCGTAAAAATATCAGTTAAATTAATTTTATGCAAAAAATAAAACTGTCCCCATGGGTCCGCGTCGAGCCATTTTACGCTTATAAGCAGTTACATTAGTTTTGAACTTTCATGCGGTGATGCTGAGCCGTATTTAAACTGAACGAACTCTGTCAAATAGTATTTTAAGTTCTAGGTTGTCACCCCTAAAGAATTTAGCCGGATGGGTTATGCCTTGGATAGCAGTATTCTTTACAGCTTAGCTAACGTGTTATTTAATAAACAATACATCAATCAGTCGTATTTTGACTAATTGAAAACCAGAACGAATTGATAGTATAGTTGACAGATTAGGTCATTTAGTTAATGAACTAATTAGTTATGGTGTTTAAAGCGTAATTAAAGGTGACCTTGTCCAACTGTTCGGTAGAGGCAAACTACTAAGTGCTAACAAAGACCTCGCAGAACTAAAATGTAAGTATTTAATGGTTCTCTTAAATACGTCACTGCAGTAAGAGCGCAGGGGAGGCGCAACGACGGGCCCCCACTCGCCCATAAATATAGAATAGGAATTGAAACATATGTATATATTAGGTAATTTCTTAACAAAATATGTGTATAAAATAAGGTCCCGCACCACAGTCGGGGATATTAAGAAAATCATAAGCTTCTTAAAACAAATTCATTACACTGTTTGCACTCGAAACTGACTAGTTATGATGTAATAAATTCGGGATTTTGTTTCCTAAAAAGGTTTAATAGTTAGTGCTTTAACATATGATAAGGAACATGACGTAATGGTTATTTACAAATAAAAATATTTATCAGAGTGACGAAGAGTTTATTGCGAGTTCTTCTCGTCCGTTCTACGCCAGAACTGGCTTATAGTGCCATCTCCTTGCGAAGGTTGGCGATCATCATGGCTAGTTTATTTTTAAATTTTGGATGCCGCGCTTCTAAACAATGATTTGGTGCTTTCACCATACCATTGTCTATGGTTTTTCAACCAAGACGTACCTACGTCTGCGGCGAGGTCTCCTTTTACCTGCCTCTATGCCTTGTATGATTAGGTGAAGTTACCTCCAGTTTTGGTAATGTAAATTAAAAAGCATCTTCACTGACGTTCATAAGTGTAAATTAAGTTCTATATAAATAAATGATATTTTTATTGTATTAAAGAGAAACCTTTCATAAATCTATAAAATTGTTTACCGTAAAAAAATTTAAGACATATAAGCTCAAATAATGTTAAAAACTATTTCACTAAGTCACTATTTTGCAATATCAAGCTAAATATGAAATAATAGTGCAATGCGTTTCCAGTTTTGTAACGAGATAATCTTGATTTGAGAAATTTTTCGAAATGAATTTCCATTTGGCAGATATCCAGAAGTCTTTGTCTCGTGTCAGTGAACCAAATCTTTTTATAAATCCTGGAAATGATTGTGAATTAGCAAATGACAATGGTGTTTGAGGCTATTTGTTAGAATGTATGTATTTATTTAGTTATTAAGTTGACGACATCATACATAGTACTAAAACTATTGATTATTTAACAAAATCTTCCATCTAAAATGTTGACAATTAAAGTAAACATAAGTTTTACAAAGATATATAAATTAAAAAATACAATTAAATATATATTTGTTATGTATATAAGATATTAAAAAAAATATTATTATTATTAATAATAAAAATATTATTATTATTAAAAATAAATATTTATTATTAATAATTTAAAGAAAAAAGGATTTTAGGTTTTAATAATCACAAACTATTGTTCATACATTGCATATTTCTTTATATGCACGTTAATTCCAACTACATAAAAAGTTTGACTGCAATATATTACAAAAATAAAGTGTTTTTTCATAACAACTTTGGCGTAATCTTTATAGTCCAATAAGTGCGTGATAATGATATAAAATAAATCAGTAGCGCTGTAACCTCAGATTTCAGATTTTTTGATCATTTTTAAATCGAATAGGCAAGTATGTGATCAGTCTCCAGTACCTGACACACGCCGTCGCCCTTTTTTTGGGTTTAAGACATGTCGGTTTCCTCACGATGTTTTCCTTCACCGTCCGAGCAAATGTTAAATGCGCACATACAAAGAAACTCCATTGGTGCACAGCCGAGGATCGAACCTACCACCTCAGGATCGCACGCTGAAGCCACTAGGCGAACACTGCTCATTCATATATTCGTGATAATGATATAATCGAATTTCAAACTTTTTATTAAACACTTTCGGGGTCCAACCCATGGACGAAAAATATTATTTCCTGTGGTTACAATGTTTTTTTTCAACACTTATCTTTAATTCATATTTTATGATCGAATAATGAATAATAACATCTTTGTGACCAAGGGAGCGTTCAAGTATTACGTAACGCAATTTTTGGAAATTATTGAAACCCCCCCCATGAACTCGCCGTAACGTTTTTCAGTACCTACCCAAGTACAGTATCCAAGTCTAGTAAAACGTTTCGTGGCCACATAGTGACTCTTTAGTTACTATTATGTGGTGTAAGTAGAAAATAATATTAACAATAACGCGTAATTCAATCCCCGCCCCGCATCGTAACGTTTTACAAAAGGATAAAAATTCGTTACGTAATACTTGAACGCTCCCCAATGAGGTTTTGGTGGAATCAAAGGTTACACAAAGTTCAATGTACAATTAATAAATAATGTTATTTGGGCTATCGTTTATTCTGGAATAAACCAAAAACAAAACGATTACAGCTAGTCCCAAAAGAAATGTGTACAAGAGGAAGTATGTACTGTAGCATGTTATTTGACCTGACTGCATATAAAATGTGTTCTCATTATACGTGGCCCAGATTTCAAGTCGACTTATCTCAACTTTTGTATGTACATTTCTAATCACTTTATAATCACGGTTATATTTTTAATTCCTTTTAGTCTCTCAATTATAGGTTTAATAGATTAAAATTGTGTTTAAGTTGCTGCTTTTAATATTACTTGGAATTGTTAGTGTATTTGTCTGTAGTGGGAAGTTTATTGTATTTATTATATATAATAATTATCGCGATGTGTTTCTATAATCTTGATACACTATTATTGTCAGAAATCAGTCTTACACTGTGTTAACTAATGAAGATGTTATGATCAAGGTCTTGATAATTGGACAGAATATAATGAATAAAAAACAGAAAAAACAAAAAAAACAAAAAAGATCTACATCAAATTCGTTTAAGTTCAGTCAAGTATACTAAAATTATTTCTTTGTTTGAAGTCTCATATTTCTTTCTTTGAAGTCCCCTATCCAATTGGGCACGATCTGGGAGTAGTCTAAACCTACTGGTACACCATCGTGGGGCCCACGAATTTGCGATTGGACCCATTGCTGAAATTATTTTATTGTAAGAGATACATTTATTTAGCCTCTCACTCGGTAATACTTTCTAAGAAATAACATTCATAGCATGAAGATGTTTGAGATTTGCATTGCGTTGTTGTCTGTACTCGTTTCTATATGTATCTATACACTCACGCCTTTTTCGCTAAGGATTAGGTAGAAGGATCTTCACAATTTATATCTTGTAGATTTAAATAAGTTTTAAACTGAGATGCAACTGTTTCATTGAAACAACGATGCAACGGTCATTCTTTGAAATAGGTAATTAGGTGATATCTGTTTTTTATAGTATCCTAGCAGACCGGTCAAGCGTTGCTGTGGCTAAGGTTTTTGTTATATTACATAGTAGCAAACTATTCAAGGGAAACGGTAGGAGAACCCAGGAGTCATGGGGACCACCATGCTTTTTTGGTGGTTATGCTATTAAATTGTAGCTTATATGAGAAACGTTGATTCTTTCAACACAAAACCATCTGTTAGAATGATGACTGTCAAATAATAAACAAATAATTTGCAATAAAATAATATTGCGGGTATAAATTAATATGTAAGCTATCCTATCTTTAAAGTTAAATCAAACTGCACACGGTGTGAAAATTTGATTGAAATCGGTTAAGTAGTTTAGCAGTCCATAGCGGACAAACAACGTGTTACGTGACGCGTAATTTATATATATTAAGATGTTACATACAGTCAAAATCTGTTATAACGACATCGAAGGGACTACTCATATTTGGTCGTAAAAACCGATAGTCGTAACAGCCGATGACGTTGTTATTAAGTACCTAATACAATAGAATTCAGCCGGGACCTTTGATTTTGGTCAATATAACCAGTATGTTGTTCTAAACGATGTCGTCTTAAACGGTTTTCACTGTATTTACAATACCTAGTATGTCGTAAATATAAATAAAATAAACTCTTAATACATGTTTAGCTACATTATCTGTCCTTATCACTCTCGTGTAAATACATAACATTATTTTTTTAAGTCTGAGGCTTACATGAAAGTCGTCTTAGACTTTGGTAGTTTTAACAAACCATTTCGTATATAAATAGAATTTTTATTTACGTATTTCTTCAACAGATGTAGGAACTTATCAGAGTACATGAAGATAGCTGAAAAGGTGAAGGAATTCTTCCACAACGAGGGCATTCATTCGACAACAATACAGCCCGAGTTTGTGGAGTTACCCCTAGATGGAAATGAGGTAATTTATATTTAAGCTCCCTGTTCCCCATGCCCCACTCATTGCCATGTATTTTAGAGAATATAATTGTTGTGTTAATTTTACCCAATACAACCTAGATCTTATGGGGCCTCTACATGGGCTACACTTTTAATGAAATATGTGGCTACATCATTGCCGACTATATCCAGAAAATACAAAAATAATTTTAAGCCAGCACATGGCTAAACAATTTATTATATATTTCTGAAACAGTATGTGTATAATAATAATAATAAAAACTTTATTTTTGACAGACTTCATATATCGCTAGTCCCCACACTAGGGAGGCCCTGTGTTGTGGGTAACTAGAAAAAAATTATTAAAAAAAGTGATAAAAAATGTTTAAATTTAGTGTAAAAAAAGATGAGTTTGAATAGTGTGTATGCGAATATATTAGATGTAGCGAAAGTTGTATAATCGTGTGGCTCATTTTTGTCTTTACACGGTCTACATAAGCTTGCTTTATGGCTGCAATGTCGGACGAACTCATCGTCAGTGATCGTAGAATAATGTCGGATTGAAAAAACCAAAATCCACCTTTTATCGTATTAAATATTTGAGTCATGTAGTAGCATTGACTAAATATTGAACGGCTAAATAAAAAAATCCATGTTTAAATTTCAATTATATCAGCTAATTATTTCACAATAAGTGTCGGTTTACACGGTACGCTATAGAAACATGTGGTTTTCTAGAAAACTGTGTAGTTTAATGTTATTATTTTTATTTTGTTTCAAAACAAACCCTTTTGGCTGCTGTATGCCAACTTTCATAAGGTTACAGGAATATAAATTAAAACAATTATGACAAAAAACTGACATGATTATATTATTTTGAAATGGCTGTCCTTTAAAGTACTATTTGTCAGATTCACTATTCTACACTATGACGTCATACGCAGCAGCAGGGTTTTAATAAATAATGCGAATGCTTATTTCAATAGTCGTCAGACATTAGATATTTTAAGTCTGGAAAAAAGACTCGCTGAACAATTATTTCAAAACTTCCATTCAAAAATGACTTATTTTACCAATGATACAAATTACTAACAAGAGAAAAGTAATACCAGTAGTTGTCATCTTAGTAAGATGAGAAAAGTTGTACCTGTTGTCACGTAGCATAAAAAAAAATTATTCCGTAAAGCGAGACAGCAATAATATGGCTGAGAAATGTTGCAGTTATTTCGATTGTAAAGCGATTGTTCCGATATACGGCTGGGACATTAAACATTCATCGGACATACAAAAAATATTTGGCACTATATCTCGGCCATACTAAAAATATTGCCGAGTATTGGATACTCTAGCCGTAAATGCTGGCTGATGCTACTAGCCACACCCATGCAGCTTTACATATTCGTAAAAAAATTGCCCGTCTGGGAGCCCCTTAAGAAACGCACGTATTTTATATCTATAGACATATATATCATAAATTATAAATTACGCTCCTAATAACTAATCCTAATTTGACGTAATGTCATAGTCAGTACTTTTAACGTTGGTTTGTCTCAATTCGAAAATGACAGTTCGAACTATATATTAGTTTGGTATAGAAATTGAAAATATTGCTCATGTTTTGTATGTAAGAAGTTATTGTCTGATAGTTACAGAACGTATTGTCTGCGCTAAGGTTAATTAAAAAACAATCACAAGTCCATAGACCTTAATATCTTCTGATAGCGGAACAGATAAAACTAAATTGTACGTATTATTTATTTTATTTATTTGCTTAACGGTATTCCTACAGCTACTTACGAGTACTATACAATATTCAAAAAATTACACTATACACAAGCCTAAAAACGAAATACACATTTAAACACACACAAAGCACAGTTACACCTATACGTGTAGACACGTACAAATCGCATACTATTTGAATACCAGTGACTAAACTTTTTCTTTTATATATTTGACCAAAATGTATTTATCTTGAGTAGTTTAGTGTGCTTTTAAGTTCGGTAACGTATAAATGTTGGCCTAGTGGCTTTAATGTGCAAATCTCATCCCTGAGATCGTAGGTTCGATACACGGCTGTACTCTATGGACTTTCTAAGTGCGCATTTAATATTCGCTCGAACGGTGAAGGAAACAATCGTAAGGAAACCGGCTTGCCTTAGACCCAAGAAGTCGACAGCGTGTGTCAGACGGAAGGTTGATCACCTACTTGCCTATTAGATTGACAAATGATCATGATACAGATACAGAAATCTGAGACCCAGATCTAAAGGTTGTAGCGCTACTTTTTTATTTTAAAATTTCTAACTTTATTTTGTTCCTGTTGTGTGTTATTGTGATGTAAATACTAATAAACCACTGTTTTAGTATTACTGTTTCATCTCTTTCTGTCTGTCGTTTATGCTGTGATTAAAAACGACATGAGTACGATGTTAAACAGTGCATGGCTTTATATTTATGCATAAACGGGATAGATTAGTCACGTGACTTAATAGGTTATATTAATTATTCCTTTACTGTAATAATTTTCGCAGATGGTCAGCTCGTCAGCAGAGGCTCCGTGCGCTTTACATTGCCCGGTTAACGACTCGTGCCATAACGCAACGTGCTGTGGCCCGAACCAACAGGTAATAAAATTATTTCTCCCTGTAATCTTTTCTATAATGATCTAATTTACCCTTGATATATTTTTCTATTTTATTCATCCTTTCTGCTCTCATCTTTCTCAATTGTTGTGTTTGTATTTCTAAGCTAATATATGAACGTATACGTATACGCCCGTAGAGAATGCGTGCGCGTCCTAGTTTTAGTTTAATATGAATAGGTCGAATATTTCTTTTCTTTTCAATTACAGTTTTACAGTTTAGAAACAATAAGGGTTCGGTAATATTTTTTCAAGGAGACTCAATCGTCGGACCAAGTTGCCGTTTAGAAGATTTTATGAATTATTTTTGGACGATGTCACTTTATTTTTGTATCACATAGTATTTGTACTCCTGTTGTTGAATAGTTTTACTGTTGCCAATTGTGATCATGAATAAATATAATGTGCCAAATATACATGTATGTGTTGAAAATAGTAAAATATTTGCAATGAACTTTACCTAGTTTTATTAATTTTTTATCTCACTAGAAATCTTAATACGAATACAGTAAACCCCCGTATAACACGATACTCTTATAACGCATTTTCATATTACGCGTACGACCCTCGTATAACACGGTTATTCCCTCATATAACGCGGGATATCACACGTTATATTTCTGTGGCATTTATAATGATTTGTACGCATTTATTTTTCATAACGTAGTTTTTGTTAATATTCGATTTAAATCCCCTTTAACTAAAAAAGTTTGTAAGAATCAATTGTACATAATGCGTTATATGGGGTCATACAAGCGCGTTATGCGAGAATCCTATTACAACGCGTTTCCTATTACGGGGAAGCAACCTACCGTGTTATAGGAAGGATTACTGCACACGCTTATGTTAAGCACTGTGTCAAATAAATGTATGAAAAGTCTTGCGCTTGCGCTAGGGACTCTGTAAGATTATAAAATAAATAATAAATGGTTATACAAACGTTTTCATGCAAATACACATGCTAGCGTTTATTTTTAATAATTTAACAAAACGCGGCAATTATATTTTTAAAATATTGTTTATTTATATTATATTATTAACTATATTTAAAAAACCTTAGTGACAGACCACTGTTAGTTATTACGTGGATACAGCAATACCTACAAGCGACACGCCCCGCCATAGATTTAACAAGATTTAATTATGTATAATCTAAATGTAAACATTTGCCAAAACTAATCCAACATAGTCACAGATAAAAATTTAGCTAATTAACACAGAGTATTAAGTCTGTTAAACAGCTGTGTTGCTAGCCTATAAATTTGTCAACGATTTTCATTTGTTTTTCATATTTGAGTGGCTTGATTACGTATGAAATGATGACATCGAATGAATATTTTATGAAGTATTTTCGTGGAAAATTCTCCGTCAATTTAGTTATTACAGTTTCATAACATCAAAGGTCATTTACGGAAACGTTATGCCAACTAATTTAGCTATGTAAATTAATTATGATGTGCTTTTGTTTTTCTTTTCTAATGACGCATTTAAACGTGTGTATGTTTTGTTTAAATATGAATACTGTCAAGCGCTTATATTTGTGTAAAACGTATCGTAATAAGTAACTTGTACCTGTACATAATTGTTTTTTGGGTTTAAGACAAAGTGTTGTTTCTTCACGAGCATGTATTTGCACATATTAAGAACACTAAAATACAATGATTTTGTCTAGTAATAAAAGGCAATTCTTTTGGTGAAATTCTAAAAATCGTGGATATAATAACAACGTGGGCTAATACGCCATTTTAAGTGGACCACGGGAAAATGAGTATTGTAATCGGCGCTCCAGTTGGGTTTGAATTGGAAGAATATAGTTCGTTTTGTAATTAGTATTTTTTTGTTCTTAGTTTATTAGATTTATATTTTTACAAAGTTGCTTCTGTAGTTAGGATAGTTAATGAAATTGAGAGTTCAAACCAAATTGTAGACTATAAAAATATAAGTTTTGATTTGTTTAATTAGTTTTGTATTTATATAGAACAAATTAATACACTCTCTGACTCTTTTCATCACATCATAGACACAATCTGTGTGAAAGAAACAGATTATGTTACTTAATTACACTTTACCTGAAACAGTATTAAGCACACATCACAAATACACCCTCACGTACGTACCCTCACTTTCACACCATCACACAGCCGAATTATGTATTTTTTTTTTATTTCTTCCTTTCGTATGTTTGAACCTTTTTGTATATATCATTTATGTTAGATTAATAAATTTGAGTCTACTTTTAGAAAAAAGTTTAATTAGGCATTTACTTTTCTGCGATTGTAATTTGATGATAATAAGTAAGCGAATACTTCAATTCTTCCAGAAACAAAGTACACCATCGCCGACCGTCACTCCGTACATGTGCCGGCAGAGGAATATGGGATCCCGAACGGAGTCCCTGAACTCGAATCTAGGTACAGGGAATCAGGCAAATCCTAGTGCAAGGAATTTAGACGCCTTAGAATGCGGGTAAGACTAAATTATATTGAAAGAATTAAAATTGTTAGATCAGTTACGATCCAAAGAACCAGGGTAGTATATATTATCAGTGCATATTTTTATTTTAATATTATAATAATCCTTTATCGTGTAGGTATTTTGATTTTGTTCGCATATTTTGAAATTGTATCTAGTCACAATGGCGAATCTGTCATAGATAATTTTGTGAAATTTTTAATTACGTCAAATACATGATGTACCACATAAATTAAAGATCTAATATATAAAATTCTCGTGTCGCGGTGTTTGTGCTTAAACTCCTCCGAAACGGCTTGACCGATTCTCATGAAATTTTGTGTGCATATTGGGTATGTCTGAGAATCGGACAACATCTATTTTTCATCCCCCTAAATGTAAAGGGTAGTCCACGCCTAAATTTTATTTTTTAATTTTTTTATGATACAACATTAAAAAATACATACAACCCCTAATTTCACCCCTCTACGATCAACCCCTATTTTTTATTATAAATGATATACATGGCAAAACGACGTTTGCCGGATCAGCTAGTTATTTTATAATAACGTCATCACATTATTAAACTACAAATAATTTATCTCAATTATCAGAATAATACGTTTTTTCCAAAATAGATTTAGTCGATATTTTTTGATTTCTTTAGTAGGTACTTAAGTTTCCTTAGAAAAATAAAGCACACTATAAATAAGTAACATCGCTTTTTACACTTCACAGATAGACACTAAAGGGAGTTGATTCATGTTTCAGCAAAATCCTTCTATTCAGTAAGACAGCTGTCTGTAAGACAGCTTTCCCGATGTAGATTTTTTAATTAAAATCATACTATTATTATTTATTAGGCCAAGATGTGATGATCCGATATTTAGGATTTATATTGTGCCTCGTGCTTTGGAATTAAATTTTGTTGAATTTCAACTGACTGATGATTATAGAGAGATTATTCATTTTAGACTTTAGAACCGACATTAAAAATGAAGATTATATAGATGTGTGTGTCGTTGTAATTGGATAAAGAGGGTATAGTATGCCATTTTAGGCGTCCAAGAACGTGTACGTAGGTCTTGTACGCATTTCTTGCGTATGTATAAAATTACCTAGAGAGAGACAGAGGACAGGTAAAAAATAAGGTATTTCCTTCTCAGTTGTCAGAAGTTTTGGGTTTAATTTAGCTTTAACAATGAAAATAAATACAGTTAAGTGGAAATGGGGGGGATAATATGTGAAGAGAAACAGAAAAGTGGAGCAACAAAGTATTAAACTGTAAGGTAAAATGAACACAAAAGAGGAAGACAGTTTATATGGTGGATAGACCAGATTAAGGAAACAGAAGGTGCTGTATGGCAGAGAAGGACAAAAAGCATATAGAAATGGTGGGATTGGGTAGAGGTCTTTGCCAAAAAAGTAGAGCAGTGTTAGCCTAGAGGCTTCAGCGTGCGACTATCATACCAGAGGTCGTAGGTTCGATCCCCGGCTGTGCACCAATGGACTTTCTATGTGCGCATTTAACATTTGCTCGAACAGTGAAGGAAAACATCGTGAGGAAACCGACATGTCTTAGACCCAAAAAGTCGACGGCGTGTCATACACTGCAGGCTGATCATTACCTACTTGCCTATTAGACTTAAAAATGATCATAAAACAGATTCAGAAATCTGAGGCGAAGACCTAAAGAGGTTGTAGCGCCACTGATTTTTTTTCTTTTTTTTCCAAAAATGGGCATACTACTTAGAAATGAATGCTATGATAGAAATATAACTGTATTAAGTTAGTAAAAGTATCCGAAATAAAAGCCTTTTATTAATTATTATTATTAATTTAACTACATTTATTGTTTTAGGTCCCTTTTGCCATCACCTATGGGAGAGAACCGACTCGCAGTGTGACAGACGGCCTCCTAACACACAACTAGCTCCTCCCCAATACATATTAGTTGTGTTACAAATTATATATAAGTAATAATGTTTCGAAGTTAATTTTTTTCTGGACTTTGTTTTTCACATTTTTGTTAATAATATTCATATTTTAAAGATGACTATTAGATGTACCATAAATGGACTATTTTGTTAATTAATTTGGTTAACAAAACTTTTGGCGTACTTAAAACCTCAAAAAAAGATATAAAAGAATAAATTAAAAAAATAAAAACGTGTGGCACTCGGGGACTGCCGCGGTAAAGCTATTGCATTGCATTTTTTATCAACTTATGCAGTTATAATTATTTATTTATTTTTTATTATATGTAGTATTTGTTTTTCTTTGATATTATTTCAATCTACCACTCTACCAGACTCAGAATAAAACGCCTATATAGTCTGTCTCACTCTAACGCGTACCGGCTGCACCGGCCCCGCTCACTCTACGTCACCGATCTCGTCAGAGAGATGGGAATGCGCAGTTTGCGTTCTATCCCACTCTAACGCGTAAGGTTTTTTCGTTACGGAATTTCTTGATTCGGTCGCCGCGCTCAAAGCCCGCGATAAAATCTATGCAATAGCTTAAAAATTATACAAAATTAGAGCAGCGATCGGTGGGCATAATTGGAACTATTATTCAAACTGTACTAATTAATATGAAAAAGATTTGTAAGTTTTAAATTTACCATAAACTTACATTTAAAGTAACAGTATATTTACTTCGTTTTTTTTTTTAATTGTATGTCATAAATCATCTTTAAAATATGTTTTTTTTATAACGCACACTTCTACCACAACGTGTCAGTATTGTTAAATATGCTACCAAATAAACAATAGGAATGTGTTCTTAGATATAAGCGTTTCAAATTAAATATATACCCCCAAAGTTGTTGCCACGATAGATATGGAATTTATATCGACTAATCGAAGAATAATATCGAAATCTAATGAATTGATTTCTTCATTTGTACCTTCCGACTCTTCCGCCATTATTTAAATTCCGGAGCTGTCAAATATGAAGTTTGACAATTGCCAGTGCTTCATTTGTTTCATTGATAATTTTAGGTTTCATATAAATATCCCTTGATTTATTTATGAGTTTTTTAGATGAACCTTAAAAACATTAATATTATTCTTCGATCAGTTTAAAGTTGCTAGTTGCTAATTGAAAGATCAGTTCAAAAATTGGTAGTATAAGGAAAGTTTTTAGGTAGTAATTTCGTTAGGCTTTCTTCATTTAACAATTACGAACATTTTGATTTGTTTTGCCTAGATTCCTTTGTTTTGGGTTGGAAGGTACTCCAAAATATTTACAACTAGACAAATCTATGATAATGTGTCAACGACATTTCGTTACAATTTTTGTGGTAAATTGTTGCGTTTTGTCTTTGATTTCTATTCATAGGTAAATTTTTAGGGATATAAGTATACCAGGGTTGATATATTAGAATATTTCCATTTATATGCACAGTTTCAATATAAGTACAAGCATTGTAGTTATATACCATGTTTATTGACCTATTATTCTTATGAATATATATTTTTAGTTATCTAAATTAAAATCGAATACTTGAAGATAAAGTATTTTTAATTTGGCCAATTCGGGGTAATTAGAACATTAATCGAATAGTAATCGAGCAGCGCTTCGTATATATTTGAAACTAAACGGCAAATGTATAAAAAAGGGTGCGTGTACTTATGTACGCGCGTAAGAAGTTATACTTCTTTGGCATTATTAAAAATAGTTTTTGAGTGCATGCAAATAAATAATCAAAGGCTGGAAAAGGAGTCGTTATAGTCAATAAAGTTCAGTTTACATTTGAAAAATTAAATAAATAAATATTTATTATTATTCTCTTACATTAAGTGTAACATAAATTCTATTATTATACGAATTTTTCATAACGCGCCTAAAGAAGTATAACTTCAAAAAACTGACAGTCGACGTTTAAGAATACTTGACAACTATCGTAATGTATTCTTACAATGCAATATAATAGTTATAAATTTTAAACGCGCTTCCATAGTTTCTAATACGCCCACAGAGCGCTTAGATTAAAAAAAAAGTATCTTTACTTTTCTATTAGCTATTCGATTATTGTTCGTGATAGATACGTCTATTGACTATTATCTATGGCTGATATAAAGTTTACCCCTTCAGGACTGAATGGGCGCAAACGTATGTCTATATAATATACTATATTACATTCTTGTTAAAAATTCAGTACAATAAACCTGTCTTTGATTAATACTATTATATTTTATTTGACCGGATCAAGGCACGTATTTAATTAAAATCATTGTAAAATAAACGTTTCTACGCGGTAATTTAATAGACTAGTTTAAAAAGAGTGATATAAATATTTATTTGCTAGACATGTTGTTAAAATGAAACAGGAATAGTATTTTATATTTTTATTTAGATTGTTCCAAGCATTGTTCACACCAAATATAGTGTGCATTTCTAGGTTAAGTAATCTTAAATAATTTGTGACAATATAAAATATAATCATGTCTTGTAGTGTTATTTTATAAAATTAATAAATCGTTGATACAAATTTTTTAGACAAAAATAATAATTGGGAGAACATAGCTTTCGTATTAAGAATAAATTATAATCATAGATTATAAACTTTCCTTACGACCAGGCTAAGGTTTTTCGACCATACTGTCCTTTTTATTTTCAAAACACTAACGAAGATTCTCGAATAGAGACTAGTAATGATACACATGTATGTTACGTGGAAAATGTCATCATCATTCATTATTTGAATATTTAAAATGTAAAATAAATATAAAGCAGTTTTATATTGTCACAAATTGGAATATTAACAAAAATTGTTTTTTTATACTTAAAACATGTGATCGTCTTTATTATAAGAAAATTATTAGTAATTCATTAACAAAGATTCGTAAACAAACAATTGTTTAGATATGTTCAATGTTTTGTGGTCTTGAACGCCTTATCATTTAAATCAAATGTTATGATAGTGAAATATGTTATAGGTAAATACCAGAATAAGCTTTTCAAGTTTTATACTTTATTTATACAATTATGCATAATTTATAGGAGTGTATACTCGGCTAGGGCTCGGTCATATTTGGGTTTCAATATTTTGCAAACAAACTTTTTTCTGCGCTATATCGCAATCGACAGGCGTTTAAAATAGCAAGTTGGAAGAAAATTTTTTGTGTATAACGATTTATATTAAATAAGTGTTTGATAAAAAGCTGTATTCAATTTGCAAAATACTGAACATCCAATGTACCTATGTATGTTTGAGACATTGACAAAATACTGTTGTTATGGTTCGAATGTTAGTGAAATTGTGAAAATTTTCACAGTTAATAAAAATATATGAATCAAACAGTATTTTATTTTATCCTTTGCGATATTATTCTTTCTTCAATATTTTCATAAATTGCAATACATATTTTGTTTATTACCAAATGGAAGTAAATACTTAATAGCGTCAAGTATTAAATCTTGGAATAATCATTATAAATCTTTGAGGATATTTTTGCCTAAGGAGTAAATATACTTATACCCAGACTTATATTTTCCAACAAAGACCTGAAATACCCAGACTCTCTTTCACTCGTTTATCGTAAGGTAAGGGAGGAAACTAACTCTAGCAAAAACATGAGGAACATGTCTTAATATCAAGGTGTGTCTGGCTAAAACATAGGCCAACAACTTATATAAAAAATCTAAATCTTCAGAATAATATGCCACAAACGGCCTACCCTAATAAAATGTGATATAAATATTGGTGTGTCAGTGTGTGTGATGAGAGAGTGTGTGACCATTTACTTATTTTTGTACATCATTCCTGTAGAAGGCCTTTGATTGATTAAAAACGTCAATTTGAGAAAATCGATGATTGTAGAAGGAATTTAAAAGAACTTTTAGAGTCACTCGATAATCGATGTATGCTATATTTTTTAAATAAGAGGTATAAATGTCTGCAAGAAACTGCTTTAAGTCCATTTACATCCTTTATCTTCATTTATTAATCTTATTTTTCAACTGTGTTGTGGTATTGTGATGTAAATAAAGTATTATTATTAAAATTATAGACTAGCATCAAAGTTGAATCGAAAATTTATCGATACAAGAGAGCCGACGGCGACCTCACAGGAATTAGTCTGGTCTCTCCGTTCTCTTTCTTTATAACCCAATACTCTCTGCCATTGATAAACTTCTTTTTCGATTCTCCTTTGGTTTTTCCGAACAAAGACTCGTATGGCGGCGGACGGTTGTCATCAAATATAGCTGGTTCAATCTTATTTGGTCTCTTTTGGCGGAACCTTGGATGTATGGCGTCACTTTTGGGGTGAATGTAGCGTTTTAGGCATATCTAGAAATACGCAAATATTTTTTAAGTAAGCGTTATTAGTTTCCACCATGGCTACAGAGTCATAGATAACAGTAGTCACGTATAAATTGTTTATGGAACTGAAGGCCTCTACGATCTCCTGGGATTATTAGTTAAGAGCGCGCATTAGACTAGCAAAATTCATGATTTCACCCTCTAGTGACTAGTGAAACAAACGTATGCCTGAAATTCGCGTGAGAGCAAACTAAAGTGCTGTAATTAAATTTTTGGCTCCCTAATACTCGCCATGATTAAATAAAAACGAGATTAGACAAAAGTTAGAAGTAAGTTTGTATTTTATTTTTGTATAGAGAAATTTATATTGTATTGTGTTTTTAATTAGAGTCAACCATTGAAATTATAGTCAAGGATCAATAGATATTTATTGTTTTTAATTCAAGCATCACATACACATTACACAATTAATGACATTTAAATATGTGTGAAGCTGGAAGAAGGTCGCCAGGACAGAAAAGTGAAGAAGGCTAATATCCCAAAAGGGATTTTATGACTATTAAATTCCTGATGAAAAGAACTAGTAAAGGGAACAAATACACAATAATACATGTAAGAAGAAAACATAATTGTACCATATTGAAAACTGTAACTCTAACTGTAAATTTGGCTTTAGTGCATTCAGGACACATTTTAAAACTTGCTCAATTTAGGTTCATAGAATAGTAAACTTACTTCTGCAAGGAAGACAGCAAGAGCAGCAGCTAATCCCGTTATCATGATGTAATATGTCATCAGGAGATCCGTGTTACTCAACTGCCTGTCTTTTGATTGTAAGTCCAGAGGGCAGATCTTAGTATCGGGTAAGTTACGCAAAGAGAGGTGCGAAAGAATTCCCGAATGTATTACGCGCTTTATACTGGAAAATTGATTTATTGGATATTTTGGTGAGCAACTTCGTCTTACTAGGGTTATAATAAAAATAATAAAACTTTATGCATGACAGATATATGGGTCTGACAACATTGTTCTAACGCTATTCCCCTGCACTAGGGAATCCCAGTGTTATGGGTGATTACAATTATTCCGTGGTACTTAGTGCATGTTTATTTGTTATTTTTTTAAGAAAAACGAATAACGTCTAATAAAACAAAAGTCGACCGTCGAAGTTAAACCTTAAGCATACTGTAATATATGTACGTGAAAGGATGTGTGAATGTGTCACTCTGTATTTTAATTGTCTCTGCCTAGAATTGGCAAAATGGGGGGGTAATCTACACAAATATTCAAGATCTATTTGAAGTATAGTATAAGAAATATTAAGAAGAATCTGCACAAATGTTTGAGTTGCTTTAACTCAGAATTCTAAAATTCCACAATTGTCTACCAAATACAGTGGAAATTAATTATACTTACACCGGATTAAACAGCGATTTCAATTTCGACTTATGCTGATATGCAAACGCTCTCCTTTTGGTCATGAATACACCAGGTGCAACTACGAACGTGCATCTTTCAGCTTCAGGTACACCCAGCCTGGTTTTTTGTAAATAGTCGTTGTACATAAGGTATTGTAAAGTTACGCTTGGTTGGACTAACACCGCTCCTTCGGATACGTAAGTAAGGAACGAGGAAGTATCTCTGACTGACAGAAATCTACCTCGTCCAGTCGTAACTGTTTTTAGTAGGAAATTTATTACTTCATCCGGCTGAAAGAATAGAAATATTAGGAATAATTGTAAAGCCGGTTCTCTATAATTTCCAGTGATACCGCATCCGCATTTATTAATTCTACTATCAAAACCATATTTAAGTCTTCACTTGTTTCATACAACTCTTACATTTCCGATCCTCTGTACCTACTTCTACTGGGTACCTCCAACGCCTCCCTCTATTTGTACTTCTACAAACAATTATTATACGTATAACTATTACACACACTCCAGGCCGAGGTACAAAGGAACGTTTTAATTTATTTCCAGATTAGGAGAGGAAGGAGGTGTCACGTAGTGGAAATTTGGGTCTTGTTCGCAAAGAGCAAGACCGGCTTAGCTGTTTCGAGATGGACGGTGATGAACAGCATTGAGATTAGAGTTAATGTTCCAGAAGCCCACAGAAAGCGAAGAGGATTGTAGGTACAATGTGACGCCTGCTCTGTTTGCCCCGATGTCGATGAGATGATAAAGGACTAGCCGTAATGCATAACTTAGTTGCCGGCATCCACCAACGTCTAAGTGTTTAGGTTGTGGACGCGCGGGAGGAGATTCTCCAATGCGATGGCAAGTGCGGTAGTCTCTTTTTGTTTTGCATCTTCATATATTTTTCTAAATGTGGTGGGGATAGTAAAGTGGGAAGAAATATGAATGGGAGCGAAAAGATAGCAAGATATAGACAAGGATAAAAAAGAGGAAAGGAAGGGGCACCCCCTAACCGCACGAAACGCGAGTACAATAGAATAAACCTATTGCATTACTTCACACCGGTTTTCAGTGAGACAGTGGTATTTCCCCGGTCGAGCCTGTCTTTTCAGCTGAGCCCCGAAGGCAACACTATCGCACTCCTCCTCTAAAAAAACAGAATAAAAACTATTCGTAATAATAGTAGCAATAATCCAATTATTCTTACGTTTTTGACAGCATTTTCTACAGCGCCACCTTCTGGAGCCACCCATCGATAGTTTTTCTTATACAAATCCTGAACTGTTTCTATGTCCAAAGTGAATTTCGATAAGGTCAAAAAAGCGGTCAAATTTGCTGTATAGAATGCTGATAGTAAAATTATAAACAGCCACCATGTCGCAAATAAAACGCGGGTTGTGTCTGTAATAAATGTTTCATTATGTAAAATATGTATCCTTCAACATTCTACTCTCAATACCTAGAATATGATTTCGAATGTCGGATTAATTCAAATTTAATAAAAAAAATTTTCCATTTAAAAATACGCTTTAATTGATCAGTTCAATAATTCGTTCCGGTTGTTAATGCGTCCCATGCATAAAATGTATTCCACATTTTAAAGATATTCTACTAATATAATATTTAGGACAATATTGTAATCAACACAATAAAAACCATTTAGACATGTGCGTGTCTGCTTATTAAATAAATTATTATTATTATAACTATAAAAAATATTAAAATAATAATATGAATATGCAAAAAATAATAGTGCACTTTCTCCTTGGAAATAAAAATTAGTTGTATACTCCAGATATTATATGTAATAACAAAAAAAACAATAAATTAACTTTTATACAGTATTTACGATTTCATTAATCTACATAGTAATAATAAAAATAATTTAAAATAAATAAATAGATATTTAAAACGTATTTAAAAAGTTTGCTCTTTATTGGAATCTCTTCCACGCTTGAACTCGATATCTAAAGGTGCGCTTACACGAGGGCAATAATTGCTCGGCGACACGAATGGACCGATCTGGAGCAATTAATGGAGCAATTTCAATAAATTCAAAAAATTATTTCCGCGATATTGCTTCTGATTGCTCCAAATATTTCATATCGCTCAATGTCGCAGATACGAATTGACGAATATCCAATGGACTTGGAAATTCCTAGCAATTTTTGTATATGTCTCATTCGCACTTGTTTGTTTTGCGGCTTGCCGTCTTGCTTCCGCGGGGAGAGCGAGAGGTCTAAATAATAATAATTTCTAATTACTTTATTCAAAAGTAATTAAAAGTCTGTTCGTGACATTCTAGTAAAGTTTTTGAATAATATATCATCTAATTCTTTACACAATGAAAATTGCGGCCAAAAACGATCGCACCCAGATACGCCTTTCTTCTACGATTCCTTTTCTTTCTTTTTTGTTTCTGATTAATAATAAAAAAAGCGCTACAAGCCGCCGCAGCAAGAACAATGTCGTCTATAGCGAGCGAATACTTAATTGCTCGTGTAGGACAGTATTGCCTAGTTGATGAAGTTGGCCATATCGCTCAATTTTGTATTGCGCAGTATTGATCTTGTGGTTGCCGTAAATTGCTTGATGTAGTTGTGACGTCATAGTTGACGAGTATTGACTGGAATTGAGCAATTTTAGTTGCCCGTGTAAGCGCACCTTAAGGGCTCCCACACAAAACTGCGAATTCGCACCGCATCGCAAATATCTGCGAATTCGCACGAACGTACCGCAAGAATTTCCGATCTGCTTCGCATCGCACATTCTTGCGATATTATGTCATCCTTGGTGACGCCATTTTAGTCCGCTCTGAGACAGCTTTAGAGAAAGACGCGCGGTGCCTCCGCCGCCTTCTTTGTTTATAAAAAAAATGCGGAATATGATATGGATTTTTTAATATTTTTAATTGAGGAGCGTCCCGTCCTTTGGGACACAAGTGATGAACATTATAAAAATAAATTTATTAAGCAAGATGCGTGGAAGACCGTCTGTGAAAGTTTGCATCAGAGTTCATAATCGTAATAAATGAATGAACCCAGAATCTTCTTTTTCTTTTATATCTATTTAACAATAACAGCAGTGCAATAATCTTTTTGCGATCCATCTTACGCTTCCTAAAAACACGTCCAGTACGGCTGACTACGAAGGAATGGTCGCCCAACCAAATGGTTTGCCGCACTAAATCGTAGAAATTCGCATCGCAGTTTTGTGTGGGAGCCCTTAATGCCCAACCGTAGAATATTGGAAACATGAACCTGTTAATTTTGCTCTCTCTGCTCCTGTCTTGATTTATTAGCTATCAGTAAACTTTATTTAGGAATTAACACCCGAACTTTAATTTATCAATTTTTAATAAATTGAATAGATAGATAGATAGTACCGGTGACCCAAGAGCTGGTGCTTTTCTCGCTCAACGAATAAGGATCGCAATACATCTAGGAAATGCTGCCAGCGTTAAAGGTACATGTTCACTGCCCAGGGACCAAACTTTCACGAATTTGTTTTAATGTTCTTTTTCTTTCATTATTTTTATTATTACTACTAGCTGATCCGGCAAACGTCATTTTGCCATGTATATCATTTATAATAAAAAATAGGGGTTGATCGTAGGGGGGTGAAAATTAGGGGTTGTATGTATTTTTTAATGCTGTATCATAAAAAAATAAGTAATTTATTTAAAAATTTTAAAAAATAATTTAGGGGTGGACTACCCTTAACATTTAGTGGGATGAAAAATAGATGTTGTCCGATTCTCAGACATACCCAATAAGCACACAAAATTTCATGAGAATCGGTCAAGCCGTTTCGGAGGAGTTTAACTACAAACACCGCGACACCGAGAATTTTATATATTAGATGTAGTTTAAGAAAATTGTAAATACTGTATATTTGATTGTTATGTTTAGGTTTTATCTAAATAAAAATATTATGTGAATAATATTATGTAATACACGTTTGAAAAACACGAATTTGTATTCTCGCACGATCCAATAGGTACTATGAAATTATTTTATAGATAATATCGCCGTAATGATTACGATGTAAACATAATGGATGCAATGATAAATGATCGAGAACATACCTATAACCTTGTTTTATACTTAGGTTTTTTTTACTGTTAAATGCTTCTAATTGATGAAAAAATATTATATGCTATTGAAAACATAACTTGTTAAAAACCAAGTCTCGAGTTAAGTTCGATGGCGGTTTTTTGTATGCAGTGTTTAAATTAAACTCTTATAGGAAACTTAACTAAAGATAGGTTACATAACTCTCGCAACGCAGTTCTTATACCGTAAAAAGGTGTAATACCAAGTCGGTTAATTTATTCAGTCTCTACTTAAGGGACCTTCTGTCTTAAATTATTACATAATTAGCTATCCTTTCAACTTATTATTCTTCCTACCTACTGTCATTTCAATATTACAAATCTTTTATGATTCTAAATAAATACATTGACTTGGCCATTTGCTTCAATGTCTGCTGGAAGTGCCTTAGAGTTTTGATGATCGGTCAGTCAGTGAGTGAGAGACACAATTAATATATTTAATGGTTAGGTATAATTCTTAAACTACTGGTTCAAATTGAATGAAAGTTGAAATATACCGTGTTTATACACATGCTTGGTAAACATTGAGGCTACTTATTTTATCCACAACAAAATTATAAGGGAACAAAAATGGCCTGAGCTGCTTAGAGAAAAGGATTTTTTTGCTCCTTTGCCGCTTTTTGCGGGCGCACTACCGTGCCCTCATGTATAACCTAAAGTTTTATCCAACATCTAAAATCTCTAATTCGCCTTTATAAGAAAACCGAAAACGAAGAAAAGTTAGTAATGTCTTTCTTACCATGCCACAGCCACGAATGTGATGATAAATTACTTGTATGACCAGAAAGGTTTCTATTTATTATTGCTATCAAAGAATAGCAAAACACTTACTTGCAGAAGGAGACAACGAGGTACCCTGCTTAATAAAAGCTCCATACACAAACCAAAAGCTCGGAGATAGGCGAATATAATCCTCTTCTTCTGGCATTAACTTACTACGAAGTTTCGTAAGCAGTGTCAAGCACGGTCCATATATCATAACTGCTGCCAGGGTTAATAACCTAAAGAAAACAATGTACATTGATTGCTATAGATAATTAAGTATTTAAAAAATGAATCGATGAAGCCTCTGCGTCTGTGCATTTTATTGAGGTTTTTTTCTTCTAGAACAGTAATTATTACTGTTTCATCATGGCCTTATCTTTCGGAAGCTACTTAACTAAAACCAGTAGGTACTTACTAGAAGGTAGAAGAATTATCTTTTGTTTTATATAATTAGGCAAAAGAATCACGTGTACAAAGTAAAACTATTATAATATTACATAATTGCAATATTATAACACTTCCCTACACTTTAAACGCTGGATGTACCTACTCAAAAGATCATGCTTACGGCGGGAAGCGAAGAACACCGTGGATATTAGTTAAAAATCTTCTAAATTAGATTTTCTTCCCTTACCAAACATTTTCGTCAAAGGGTGCAAGAAGTCCAGAACCAGCCGCCGACTCCTTTGGGCGTCTTAGCATCATCATCCAATTACACTCATCAATAACCGTTGAGAATGTTACAAATTGATCTGAGTTCTTCATAATTGGAATAAATGCCGCTGCCAGATCAATACGCTGTGGACATCAGTTTTGTTTAAAAATTTTAACCCTGGTGTTGGCTCCTTTACCAGCAGGCCTACTCTGTATAAATAACCCAATCACTCAATGATTACCATCCCTAAAATTTGAATTTCAGTTCTGTTTCTTCAAAATCTGTGTGTTCCATTTCAAATTGATTCGAAATTAAGTTAATCGCTCTTGATGTTAGAAATCAGCCAGCAGGTTGTATTATTTTAGTTGGTCCGGAGCACGATGCCGTTCACACGTCTTCCACCACCACACCGCATGTGGCACCGCACTTCAAGTCAGCAGATTGGGATGTGATGCAGTCAGTCGGTTGGATATAGGGAAAGCCTTCAATCCCACAAGGCTGTATTCTATTCCCGACCCTGTTTCTTCTGCGTATCAAGGATATGTTGCAAACTTACCAATATTAATTGCAATGCGGTCGAAACCACTGGGGATACGATTAGACGTACAGGTATTTCTCGGGCAGCTGTCGATCAGTATGAGAATAAACATATGTTTATAGTCGAAACTCTGGAACGTGAAGTCTCAGACTAAGGTCGACTAAATCTAGTCCAATTTAACCCCAAGAAGTGTCTTTCTGGTTTGTTTTCTTAAAAGACACTCTCCTCAACCAGCATCTGAGTACTTGGCGTTGACATATCGAATGACGTTCAGTTTTGCGGTCATTTAGAACGCACTTGCGAGCCAACTAGCATTGTGATTGTCCATAGGCAGCGGCATCACTCAACATCAGATGAGCTACCGTTTTGCTGTACCTATTATAAAATCCCATAATTTTTATATTTAAATACTTACATTTGAGCCAAGTAGCCCAATGAGGGATTCCAGTGGTCTGTTATCGCTGTACAACATGTTCCTTTCCGGAACGACAACTTCGTAAGTGAAATTGAATTTCTTCTGTAATATATGTACCAAGTCGAATGCTGCTCCCCTGCCTATGTATGTGCCATTTTCAGTCCTTTCCACCCAACTCTCAGGATAATACTAGGAAAAATACCATGAAATATAGTAATTTGTTTCTACGTACATAGATATTGTTTTTCTCGGGTGACTTTTTTAAAACTCACTGTACTTGCTCGCTTTGCCAGTGCGGTCTGGCGATTGCGATGTTTTTGTATTCTATTACTATAAAATTCTTTCAATATCCGTAGCGCTTATTTGCAAGTTGTAATTTTGCCTTGGGTGGTATAAGTATTAGTAGGCGCGGTACTAAATCTCACATTCAAGTCGGGGACGTAATTGTCGCTATTGAGAGTTACAGGTGCGCTTACACGAGGGCAATAATTGCTCGGCAACACGAATGGACCGATCTGGAGCAATTAATGGAGCAATTTCAATAAATTCAATAAATTTCAATAAATTATTTCGGCGATATTGCTTCTAATTGCTCCAGATATTTCATATCGCTCAATGTCGCAGATACGAATTGACGAATATCCAATGGACTTGGAAATTCCCCGGCAATTTTTGTATATATCTCATTCGCACTTGTTTGTTTTGCGGCTTGCCGTCTTGCTGGGGGAGAGCGAGAGGTCGGGTGGGAAGTAAGGATAGGCGCGCGGCAAGAGTCCAGCGCGTAGTCAGCCTCTGTTTGTTGTGTTATAAATAAATTAAAAATAATAAATTAAAATGAAAATTGCGGCCTCCTTTGCCAAAAACGATCGCACCCAGATACGCCTTTTCCTTTTCTTTCTTTTTGTTTTAATTAATAATAAAAAAAGCGCTACAAGCCGCGCAGCAAGAACAATGTCATCCATAGCGAGCGAATACTGAAGTGTTCTGTGGGGACAGTATTCCTAGTTGATGAAGTTGCGCCATATCGCTCAATATTGTATTGGGGGCGGAGAATTGATGCTTGTTGCCGTTGCCGTAAATTGCTGATGTAGTCGTGACGTCATGGGAGGTGAGGAGAGTGTTTTGGGGGGGGGGGGAATTTTAGTTGGCCGTGTAAGCGCACCTTTACAGAGTACTAGACGTGAGCATGTAGCTATAAATACTTAACATATTATTTTCTTGATATTTAAGTTGATTGATGACGAAAATAATTTTAGATTAAATTAAAAATTGGTAAAAAGATTTTATGCTTACAAGTAAACACCACAACACAACAAGAGTTTATGCTTATAGGTTATTTTTTGGATTTAAACCAGTTCAAATTCCATCAAAATAGTTTAATTTTTTTATTAATTAATTAATAAGTATTCCACCCTGTTTAATATTTATTAATTACGAAGACTACTATCTGCGAAGGCACTTGAAACGTTATGTAAATAAGTTTACAGATTCACGTTTGTTTTTCTTAAAGATTAAAGTAGGTAAACGGGCATCTAGTGCTCTAGTTAATAAATACAGATAATATAACTTTTACGCTATTGCATAGATTTTATCGCGGGCTTTGAGCGCGGCGACCGAATCAAGAAGTTCCGTAACGAAATAAACCTAACACACGATGACGTAATATAGGTGCGGCCAATACGCATTAGAGCGAGACATAATGCATACTGCGTCTCACATCGGTTTAGCGTGATCGGATAGGCGTGTTAGTCTGAGTCTGGTAGAGTGGTAGATTGAATTAATAAAATTGAAAAAATCAATGAAAAAAAATACTGCAAAAATAAATAAATAATTATATTGTATAAGTTTATAAAAAATGCTATGCAATAGCTTTACCGCGGCAGTCCCCGAGTGCCACACGTATTTTTTTTTCTACAGCTGTGATACTTTTTGGCATTCAACACTTTTTGTCTTCAGTCGTCGTGACCAGGCATGCTGTACAGCACGCGAAACGTCGGGAAAAATTTTAAATTATGTAAAACAATTATAAGTTATAATATATAGCTTCAATCCTTTAAAAAAAGTGTTTGCTTTAAATGTGTAAAAGTTATGTTAACAAAAGACAATACAACGAATAATATGTTTTCCTTTCTTTTCTTTCTTATTTCGACTAGAAATATACCTAGATATAAATCAGATACCTACATTGATCGTTCCAATCCTCAGATGCGTGCCATTTACAAAATTTTCCAACTGGTGGCGTACTGGTTTAACATCTGGATCACAAAAAATTCACTTGTTATAGATAAAGAAATAAAAAAAATGCTTATCAAACTTTATCCAAGAATTTGTAATGCTGACAAACCAATGTGAAAAGACAAAGGATATATGAAAGTTTTAACACACATGAAAATAATGTTTTTAACTCAAATGTTATATTGTTAAAATCAGAATTAAATTTTGGAATTGTAAGGAATCTGTATTAAGTTTTCCGAAAACAGCGAAACAGTGAACAAAGACAATCTTAAATATCAATTAAACATATATATGCTTTATAATTATAATTAAACATTCAAACTTAGTTCAGTAAATCCACCATTTCTTTCTTTAAGTAGACGTTATTTACAAATAATTGTAAATAATGTATAATAAATTAATAACAGTGGGAAAATGTTGCCAGCGTTAAATGTACACAGCCACAGGGACCAAAGTACTTAATCTTCTATTTATTAATTTTTAATTACTATTATGTAGGTTCAGAATATTGTAAATACTGTAGTTTCGTATGTTGGAAGTATATATATAATAAAAATATTACCGTGCAATGGATTATCATCTATAGTTCCACAAAATGTCGCGTTGCAAACAGTAGAAAAGATAAGTTCTAATCCCGCCATTGCATGTCGTGTACTGATTACCGTAACACAAATATCAAGCGGTGACACAGGGTGGCGTAATGGAGGGTGGACATATAAATATGAAAGCTTTGATGGTAGGCCAATCTCAATAATCGAAAGTATAGTTAATTATGAAACTTTTTTATCTAAGTTCTAGAGAATCTTTAAGTACGTTAGCAAAGCTGTTTGGATTAGGTGAACGTATTCCATAACCAGAGCAGTGATGGCCTAGTGGCTTCAACGAGCGAACCTCTTCAATGAGGTCGTAGGTTCGAGCCCGGCTGTGCAGCAATGGAATTTCTTTCTATGTGCACATTTCACATTCGCTCGAATGGTGAACGAAAACATCGTGAGGTTTGACCCAAAAAGTCACCTACTTGCCTATTAGAATGACTAATGATCATGAAACAGATACATAAGTCTAAGGCCCAGACCTAAAAAGGTTGTAGCGCCACTGATTTATTTTTATTGTTATGCAATAGCTTCATAACTGAAAAACATAGAATATCTAGTCCAATTATGAACAGATAAGAAACTAAAAAAAAGAACTTCAAAGTAGAGTACCTTATAATTAGCTTTTGCCGTATCTTTTGTTAGTTTTAAATGATAAAAGAAAACAACTGTAATAATTATTATTTGTTTGCATACGCTTGATGTAGACCGACATGCCGTATAAGGGAGGCAATAAGCAGTAATGGTTTACGTAAATAACATGATATTTAAGTACAGGGTTACGGAACATTCAGATGTTATTAATTGATTCCACGTAACAGTAAAAATACAATAAATTTACTGTACATACTGCATAATCAGAATATTTTAATAAGTTTAATTACCTACTTTTGTCTATGACAACAGCGTCATCGTCGGTATCAGGAGGCTCAACTGATGTTAAATGATACCGCCGCCCATGGACACTCTCAATGCCAGAGGGCTCACGAGTGCGTTGCGGGCCTTTTAAGAATTAGTACGCTCTTTTCTTGAAGGTTCCACATAGTTGTGATGCGCGGCATAAACTGCCTTCAAAATCGCTCAGTTGTGGAACGGACGTCGAGGTGATACGGGTGGAATTTCGTATTGCATCTTCTTCAATAATTTTTATTTCATAAAGAATTAAGTAATCAGCCTTCTGTGTTTGACACATGTTATTAACGTAGTAGAAAGTGCTAATAGCGCCCATTAGAAGAAAATTATCGAATTTGTGTGCAGTGTACAGTAGGTAGTCAATAGTCCCATGCTAATCTGGTGAAGCTTGTGTTATGGGTACTAGGCAACGGATATAAATACTTATTATAGATAGATAGACCTAACACATATAAATACATATTTAAATACCCAAGACCTAAGCACAACACCAAATGCTCATCACATCTATGTTTGTCTCAGCCGGGGATCGAACCCGGGACCCATGGATTCGCAGTCAGGGGTACTAACCACTAGACCAATGAGCCGTCAATAGTCATTCACACATAATCATTGATAAAACCTTAGGGATAAGAATTGCACAGTTAAGCCTCTAGGTCTAGACTCTAGGGCATCACGGCTCTTTAAATATATTGTAATAAATAAATATATAATATATTATAATTATTTCACGAAATATGAATTACGCAATCGCTCAACCCATTAATCAGCATGTAACTTATAAATATTGATCTTATTACAATGGAAATTGTTAATTGAACCCCTAAACCTCAATGAAGAATGGCTCAGTTATTTGTGCATCTATATCATTACTCATTTTTCAAACATTAATCGAGTGGCGCTACAATTTATTGTTGTACAAAAAAAAATGTTATTTTTTTATTTCATAGACAAGTAGGTGATCAACCTTCTGACAAATATCATCGATTTTGAATTTGAAAAATACCGGTTTCCTCACGATTAGACCACAAGCCCATGAACAAAAAATACCTGTGAAATGACCCAACGTGAATTACGCTTAGAACTTAGAAGGCTGTTACTATATCTGAAAATAACTCTGAGCACTATTTTTATGCCGTCATTTCTGAGCGGTACATGTGAGTACGTGGAATTTGGTGGAATATCTCAGAAACTAATGAGGAATTTCGACTAATTATTAATGTACGGCTTTGTTATAAGTGTATAGATGATTAAAAATAAATGTCGAAAAACCTAGTGCCGTACTAAAGTGATGGTACCGGAAGTCGGTGCAAATTTTTAATTCGACGATAGTTGCAGAAGCAATATAGGTCATTTATTACTGTACGGCAATGGTGTAATTCCTTTTGGACACATATACAGATACTTTACCCGTAAACGCCGTACTTATTTCCAGCGGAGCGGTCGAAAGCCAAGGGTCGCAACATATCTCTGATTAGCATATAGGTGATGATGATATAGAACAACATAAAATTGAATGATCTTGAGAGTACTTCACAAATAGGTAACATTTTCCAGCATGCCGTACATTTTTTGTGGAACACATAGCCGCCGCCTACCAATACAGGGCGTCCCAAAGTTATGGGACATGAAGGGAAAGTACCTTAAATATCGTAGATAGGGTATTTTACTAAAAGAAGACTTTATGTTATTTTTAAAAGTTAGTAATTCTGCATTCAAAGATTTTCTGAAAATTACTTGCCTCGTCTGGGAATCGAACCGACTTAAATGTAAAAAAAAACACCCCTACTTTTATGCTGCCAATCGAAAGAATGGCCGAAATACAGGGCGTATTATATTTTATTAAAAATATCCTTTACCTCTCAGCTTAAATATACTTGAAAATCATATACGTACAATTATTAATGACCTTAAGGGACACGCCTCAAACGTCGCGGCGAAGTTTTTATCAGCTGTAAAGAATAATCTGGGAGTAAAATGTACGGCATCTGGTTTTTTTTGTTTATTTATATTTTTTATCATATAAAATAACAATAATATTTGAAAATATTACTCCCCATATTCCCCTAGCAATATTTTAAAAATCATCTAAATTTCGGAAATTTCATAAAATTTTTTATCATAATATTTTTATTTGTTACCATTTATAATGAACGGCTATAAGGTACAACGGTAATATTTAGTAACATAATGTAAAAAAACAAGTTGCCGTACATTATTCTATGATCTTAGAGCAGTAAGAACTCGGTAAATCCTGCAATGTCGATAAATATTAAGTATAATTTTTGTACGGCATAATTATAAAACATTATTGTCCGTGTTAAATAATATTTTGAACATGTTGCCGTACATTTTACAATGACCTTAGGGTATATGGGTGTAGGGGTAGGGTTGCGACCCTTGGCTTTAGACCGCTCCGCTGGAAATATGTACGGCGTTTACGGGTAAAGTATCTGTATATGTGTCCAAAAGGAATTACACAAATGCCGTACAGTAATAAATGACCTATATTGCTTCTGCAACTATCGTCGAATTAAAAATTTGCACCGACTTCCGGTACCATCACTTTAGTACGGCACTAGGTTTTTCGACATTTATTTTTAATCATCTATACTCTTATAACAAAGCCGTACATTAATAATTAGTCGAAATTCCTCATTGGTACCTGAGAAATTCCATTCACTCACGTACTCACATGTACCGCTCAGAAATGACGGCATAGTGCTCAGAGTTATTTTCAGATATAGTAACAGCCTTCTAAGCGTAATTCACGTTCGGTCATTTCACAGGTATTTTTTGTTCATGGGCTTGTGGTCTAGATGTTTTTCTTTCACCTACGACTGCGATGAGAGTCGTACGCTGGAGGCCAACAATGCTATAAACAATTTTTCAGGCATGTATGTAACCGAAATACTAGAAACACGTCTTAATAATTTTGAAAAATAAATTTTGGGTATTATTCCCGTATGTCAAACCCTTAGCAACAAAGCACAAAGCCTTTACTCAGATTATGGCTTTAAAGAAATGTTATATTGCCCTATGTTTTTCTATGTTGTGTACACGCGAGTTTTGATTGTGCTCATTGAATGACAACAGTGTTCTAACCTACGACCTTTGGTTTGGAGGCGCATGCTTTAACCACTACGTTAAAACTGCTCTAATAACTAAATTGTTAAAATGTTATTATACCTTCAACTACTAATTTGTATTTTTCAGTGATAATATGGTTCAATAGTTATAGCCTATGTATTGCTATTTCTAAATAATGAGATACATCATTAGGAAGAAATAACATTAGGAAAATGATGCATTAACCTACTTATAAATATAAATTTTACGCAGTTTGATAATATCCTAACCATCAACGAAAATTTATTTTATTGTAGTCTTTTTTTTTTCTTAAGTAGTAAAATTGTTTGATTAAATTTTTTGTCCTCATTAACATAGCGTTAGAATCAACACTAATTTATGCAGAAGGTACCTTCGTTTAAAAATAAAATTTACGTCGAATGGATGAATGTCTTCATTCGGTTTTTATAGTCGTTTAAAAAGCAGATAATTACAAAGTAAAATACAATGACGTCAAATCTAACCCAATAATAACTTGGCGATTTTCGGTTAAATAACAGTTATTTTTTACTAGGTGAAAGTATTTGTAATGCATATTTGAAATTACCTCGAGTGTACAACAAAAAGTTTAGGGTTTTTAATCGATTGGGCATTTATTTAATATAATTTGGATTTAATCGATAGCTATTTTTCTACGGGGAACGATCTGTATTCTGTAGGCATCACTGATCTAACCGCTGACACCGATGAATGTGACATTGACATTTGGCATGATGTATAGTGTATGCCAATTACCAATAACCAAAGTTAAACACTAAACAAGCGCAAAAAATAAACATACAATTACAACCTACAAATAAAGAAAAAAATACCTAAAATACTATTTATTATTTATGGGAAAGCTATACTTGTATATTGATCTATAATTGTACTGAATGTTGACAAAATGAAAGAAACCCAAATATCAAACTCTGAAAAAACCTTTGTACAAAAAATTATAGCTGGTGGACACGTGAGTTTATGAATTATCAAACATGTATTTATTATTTAATTGATTTGATCATCTCGAAACTAAACCCTTTTTCAGCGTTTAGATGGGCGAATTTATAGTGAAACTAGAAATCTTCAAATCGCGTTCGGCTCAGATTATGGAAGTTGTATGGTTTCACTAGGAGAAACGAAGTAAGTCCCGTTTCTATGTATATACTATATTTAGTTTATTATTTTATAAATCAACCTTTTTGTTATGCTGACTTTTTATGATTTCTAGAGTCTTGGCGCAGGTATCATGTGAAGTGGTTCAACCAAAACAAATTAGGCCAAATGAAGGTATCATATTCATAAACGTGGACATCAGTCCTATGGCTGCACCACAATTTGAGGCAAACAGACAAACAGATCACACAGTAAATCTCAACAGATTATTAGAAAAGTGTTACAAGGATTCAAAATGTATAGATCTTGAATCTCTATGTATTGTGGTTGAAGAAAAGGTATGTTGTACATAATTATATTCCATTAATTAATATAAGTATTACAAAAATAATGTAATCACATGTGTATTAAAAAAAATCTATTTAAGGTGTGGTCACTAAGAGTCGATGTTAAAATTTTAAACCATGAAGGAAACTTAATCGAATGTGCCAGTATAGCTACACTAGCTGCATTAGCTCATTTTAAAAGGCCTGATGTAACACGAGTGGGGGACAAAGTTATAATACATTCTATTGCTGAAAAGGATCCTATTCCAACAGTTTTGTACCACTATCCTGTGTGTTTGACTTATGCCATTTTTGGAAGCGAGTTAGTAAATTCATGATATTTAAGTCATACACACTATGAATTTTATATAATAGTAATTTTTATGAGATTTAACTAAACATATATTTTTATATAACAATTTCAGTATTCTTTTATCTGATCCAAGCTACATAGAAGAAGCAGTATGTATGTGTACATTTGAGGAAGGAAGTGCAGGTGGGGGCTTGCTCGTAGTTGGTATGAATCAATATAAGGAGCCCTGTTTATTAGATTTGACAGGAGCTGCCATACACAATGTTAATATAGTACATAAAGCAATACTAAGTGCATCGGAGAAAGGAAAATCTGTTGTTGATGTCTTGAAGAAGGCTATAATCAGTGATGATACATTAAGGTAGAATATTTTTTAGATTAAATATTAAAATTTAATCTAAATAAGACAACTTCCAACCCAGTATCATAGTTTTAACTTTAAGAATTTCATAGTGTAATTAGCTATGTTAAATTAAAATGAATCCAACAAAAATTATCAGTTAAATAAAAGTAAATACTTGTCTAATAAACAACTAAATTGATATTCATTTTATATTTGAAAAACATTAAACAACCAATGGCACAAAACACCTGATATGGGGGGCACATAAAAAGGTTAGGATACACTGGTCTAACTTCATCCATTAAAGTTTTGATTAATTATCTATCAACAATAGATACTTTGATTATTTGATGCCATATCTACTTTTGGCTCAGTTTAGGGCCAATACAGATGATAAACACTGCAACTATTTTACCACCAGTGTCTACAACTATTTATAATTGCACCTTATTGTAATTTTCTGTTTGATATCATTGTCAACAATAAAATATTGTTTACAATGTTTAAAGTGGTCCAACCATTTGGCTGAATTTAACTAAAGGAACTTCTAGAAAGGGTGATCTGAATAGATGAAAATGTGTGTTACTGTAGCATAAACTTTTATAAGATTGCTGTGAGTTACACATTATCCGTTATAAAGCCCAATGAGTATAGGATTCACTAACCACTTCCAGTTGTTACTTATTCCATATTTTGTACTTCTTTACTTCCCGTTTCCATCTAATTTTAACTCCAACCCCATCAGATGACTTGTGTTGGGTTTCTGCTAGAAGTGGAATAAGATAAAAAGTAATTTCTACAACTATGATATTTAATAAAATAAACTTTTATTTTAACCCTTTTCATATGAGTGAAAATGTACCCTTAGTTAGTACTAGAGAAAAATTTAGATGAACAATCATGATAAAATGGAAACAGGGGGGACACGGAAAACCAAGCAACAGACGCAATTAGGAAATGTACACTATTTTTTAAGATTTCAGTAAAAATAATGACACCAAATAAATAATAATATTTCTTCTCACATTTTTAATTAAATTCAATGTAATCCAGATGTTATCAATAATTTAAATAAACAAATATCCATTCAAAATTCCTTAGGCAGTTATAATTATTACAAATAATAACCCAATTTAAATGAGACCCATAATATACATTTTTATTAAAAAAATTAAATAAAAAAATTATTCCCAGACTAAAGAGAGTCAAGATTAATTATGCAGATATTATAACAACTGAACACAAGCAATCACTAATCAAAAAGGATCTAAGCATTTGCCTTAAGAATTATAATGCTAATGATATCAACCCAGAGAGTGATGTGGAAATGGATGATGATGTTCAAATAGTTGAACCTAGCAAATATGATGGTAAATATTTATTTATGCATTGTAATTATAAGCAGTTATTGGTTATCATCAAATAGGCATTCCAAAATTGATACAAATGCCTGCTTAACAATAATACATCTTCTGTTTAATATTTCTTTAAGTATATATACTTTTATACCTGACTAATTTTATTGTAATCTAATACAATCAAACCAGGATTATATCCTGCCATGATATATGGACTTTTAGATGACTATAATTTTGTAAAACCTCCTAGTTGTGGTACAAAATTTTGGTATCTATTTTATTGTAACTTACCAACAATCAAAAGGTTGTAATTATTCATATAAATATTATTTTATTTACACAAATGAGAATGATAAAACATACTAATAAAACTAATTATTTAAACAGACACACTATTGAACTTCTATAATTAAAAATTTTCAACTTTTTTCTTTCTAATATAATCTATATATTTCTTGAAAATTACATTTATACCAAATATTTTTTTACAGTTGTCCCAACATTACCCAAGACAGCTGAACTAAAAGTTAAGGCAGAAAAGTCAGCATGGATTGAGATATCGTCAGAAGAGGATGATTAAATCAAAATAATTTATACAATTATATGTTATTAAATCTCTTTAACAATACTTACAATAATATTAGTATTGCATTTCCCTTTTTCAATTAACAATCATTGCATTTTAATATAGAGTAGAAAATCTTTTCTACACTGAATAAATATTATGAGACCACATGAATGAGTACATTTGATAAACAAAACAAGTCATTATGCTTCACTTCGAAGACACTTAAAATTATTAAGTTCATAAGAATTATTATGTACAATCAATTTATAGAAATAATTAAATGAAGATTGGAAATTAAGGAAGAGAAATTACCTAATCTAATACTAAAAAGTTTAAAAGTTCATAAATAATCACTTGAATTTACAAAGAGTCAGAATTCATTCCATTTTTGTGATCTAATTTATTACCATTAGTTTTCACCATATAAATGAAATATGTTATAATCTCCTTTTCATTGACTGGTAAAGACTTAAAGTGCTTTTGTATTACCTGTGAACAATGATTTCTATTTAAATCAATAGTATAGTAACCATGACATGGGTTACAATTCAGAGTCAATTTAGGTGCTAACCAACTTCTACTTGCATGTAACATGGCCATTTGTTTCGACATGTGGGTGTAGCTTAAGTTATTAAACAACTTACAAAAGTAAAAATACTATTAAAATACAATTCATAAACTAAATTATCTTATAATGTGTTAAACATTAACTGAGTATTGAAGAATAATTTTAGAAATATGTATGCATGTGTATTGTGCAAACTGGCTCAAAGAGCTAATGTGATTCTAATGAATTTTTATTAAGAAATTAATAGGAACTTGGGAAAGGACAAAGGCTTCAATTATTAGATTCAGTCCCAGGCTACTAAATCTCCTACATCAAAGTGCTAATTATTGTTGTACTTACGTCAGCTAATTGAGACTTATTAAGTCCTGGCCTTGTGGGCACCTTGTAATGCTTCTTGTACCTCCTTAATGTATTCACTTGTAATTGAAACCAGTCTACCTCAGGAGAATCTATTTCTGCCTCATTACTGTCATCCTCCGAGTCTTTGTTCCTTCTCTGCTTGGTGCGAGCACACTGAATCATTGTTTTATGGTAATCACAAATGTATGTGTGCCTAGCCTATAAACATATTGCATAATTAGGACCTCTTAATTATAGTAATTATGAATGAAAATGTAATATATTTAAATGTAGTTCTAACCTGATGATCAATATTTAGTTTGAGCCTCTTTAGGGCCACAGTCTTTTGTATTCGCTTGCTGTATGACGCGTTGCCAGCAAGTCGCCTACATCGGTCACTGTCATCCACAAGGCAACATATTTGATCAGAATTACCTCTGGAATCTTCTTCTCCTGTACTAAACCCGTTGTTCATTTGATATTCCCGTTGAATCATATATAACAGGTATATTAACTAACTCTCTGAATTCAACTTCCTTCACAACGCTTTGTTAAACAGTTTACGTATTCACAAAGATTTTCGATTGAGGTTATGAGATGCAATAACAAAAACCATTTTCGATTAATAACGCGACAAATAACATAATTCGATCTCGAAGAATGTCAATAAGGACTTACTACTTTAGGAAAGCTCAACCATAATTAATTCACTGCACTTTTACCAATTTGGGATGCCCATGGCTCTGTTTTAAATTCAAAATAAAGTCAACTTTTTTACACTTTACATATAGTTTTGAAGTAATATCTTGCATAAACCATTACTATAGCTCATATTTACATAAACAATCACTTTTATTTCAATCTATAACACAAAATGGATGTTTTACCCGAACGATCACATTTATTGAAGTATACGTCTAGTCGCTATTACAAACGCAACAGCAATAGCATTTTTTCTTTTTATTTCAATTCAGCTCACAATCGCAAACAAAATACACAGTACACACACATTAAAAACAGGATAAACTTCGGAATTTAGGCTGTAACTCGTCTAGAAACCGTGTAAATTCGAATGTGTTGTTGAAAACTTCTTTGTGAAATAATCCCCACAAATGCTTCTTCTCGTATTAGTGTGAGTGCACTTCTATTCCTATGCATCAATACGTACTTATAGTTAAGTATAAACAAAAAATAAAGCCAAAGCTCTCTCTATGATTGGTTGCAAAATGGCGGGATTTTCAATTTACACCAATCAGTTAGTTTCACTAATGACATCGACTATTCATGTTTTCGTTACGATGTACGGCACAAAGTTCCCTACGTAATAAGCGCTGAAATCGTGTGATCGTTTTAAATAATAAATATAAAATTGCAGTCGGTAAGTTAAATAATATTTCAATTTGATATGTGTATTTTTTAATTCAATTAAGGCTTCATGAAAATATAGTATTTGTGCCTTTATCTGTGACTGCGATTAGGAGATATAATTTTTGTGAAGATATTTTTAGTTTTACATTCTAATTTTGTAAGCAAATGGCTGCCGAATGCTGCGACGAAGTAGTATTTAGACTTTACAGTTTGCACTATACTTGATATACGTACGTACGTACATAAACGCGAAGATACTACCACCTTAAACCTAGAATAAAACCAAATTTTAAAATATATGGTAGTTATTTTATTTATATAATCTATCAAACTCAATATACTTTCTTAATTGTGAAAAGTTTAATATTAATTACCTACCTACTTAAAATAATGCCGTAGGTCCGTTTGTTAATGTTTCTTATTTAAAAGTACACAATTGATGTGAATGTCGCATAAAGTTTCATTTAAATACCTTCAAATGACTAACAAATTGTGAATAAGTATATATTTTTTGGGGTAGAAATTAGTGCCCACGATTTTTTTAACATAAAAATGCAAATATCCTACGTTTTATTAGTTTAGGTCCATACCTTATGATTTATATTAACAATATGTATACAAAACGTCGTTTTATTAAATAAGCATTTGTAAATTGTAATAAAATTAAAGTTTCGTAATTTCCGTTTAAGGCGACTGCTTCTTTTTAATAAATAATAATTATACATGTTGATACATTTTTATTGACACCTGAGTTCATGAAGCACATTTTTTTATACTATTTGAAAATCTGTTAAAAGTCTCTCATATTATGTTTTTTTTAATATGTTACTAGTTATTACTACTTTTAAATTACATAAATGCACAATGCACATTCATTTCGATTTATACAAACTTATGAATTATTTGCTGTACAATTACAAAGTTACATAAAAAGTATAATAAGGTTAAGTTACAATTAAATATTATTGAACCACTGATATACACATAAATATCCAATGGGTTGCAATTGTTATTGTGAATACATTTCAAATGTAATTTATTCATAAATACTTTAATCACACATGTATAAAAATAAAACAGGTAAAAGTATATTAAAAAATGTAAACAAAGAATCTCTTGAATTCGAGGGCCGGGATGTACTAGGCTATAGGTACCTAATCGTCTTATTGACCGGTTGCTGGACGGGCTCGTTATCTCTTTGGGTATAGGCTGTCCTTTTCTTTGCCGTATCGAATATTTTTGTGACGGCCGCTGCGCGTTGAGGGCGCCACTATATTCTAGTCGTAGCGTCTTGTTACGCGACGTTGCCAACTGTATTGACTTTAGTACGGAGACAAAACGTTACGTGCTCTAAGTGATCAAGGTACATAAAGCCGGCTTTTCGTCGTTATAAACATTGCGAATATCGTGTTATATCAAACTTTAAAGTTGTGTAATAATTGGAAAACATGTACCTGGTCAAATTATTGTGAGTCTTTGTTATAAAATTATCGGTACAGTAGAATAAAACCAGTGGTTTCTAGTAATCAAGTGGGCTTTATGTTCAGTGTTATTGTTATTGTACAAGTATAAGTGTCAATATGGATTGAGAGTTATTCAAAGAAAATAATCGTAAATTTTGAGGATAAAGAAACTGGTTAGCTAAAAGCGGGGATCTTGATATGGGGGATCGGGGAGCGACGGGGGGCGCTTGGGGTGCGCGCGACGATGCCTCGTGGTGGTCAGGAGGCTCAGGTGAAATACAGCACCAACAACAGATTAATGAAGACATAGCAAGAAGTACTGCAGCTGCAACTCAGCAATTATACACATACAAAATGACTGGAGGCTTTTCAAACACTAGCGGAGACAATTCCACCCCTAATTTTGATTATCGATTAATAAATAATTCAAATACACGAGATGAATCGCCACAACAAACATGGTGGTACGCTTCAGGATCAGTTGAAAACCAACAGACCTCATCACCTACGGTAATAATTCGAAGTATCTTTGTATTGATATACCAACACCATTGAAAATAGACATTATTTTATAATACAAAGTATGTAAATGTAACATTAAGAAATGTTGACTGCATTTTTGACTTAAAATAAAAAATTGTCTTACTTAAACACCACGTGTATGCTAGCGATGTACGATTTCTTAATAAAATGAGTAATATCACTTTCAATAACTACTTTCAAGGTTAAGGTATTTATAAAGTTCGGAGACTTGATGAGATCAATGACCCTCCTACATAAGTTGAAATAATAGCATTGAAGAAACATTCGCCCTAATTTATTATAATATTAACTATTATTAACTAACAAATACATAATAATGTATGACGTCATATAACTTAAGATTTGAAGAAATATCACATCACATAATCAATAAAAGAGCATAGTATTAAAATTTATAAGCTCAAACAATAGTTAGGGATACGCGTACATGTAGTATTTACGTTGATAATACTGGTTAATTTTTTCTGTGCCCCATAAGTATATAAACAGGTTCTAACTTCTAGGATAAATAGAATTTTATGATTCAGTTAAAATCTCAGGAAATAAATTCGTTTTACTCTATAAATTAAGGTGAAACGTAATTCTTAGGAGTACTATTTTTTTGCCGTACCTACCATTTAACAAGTTCCAAGTATTTTATTATTTTAGTACATACTTAATTGGAGGTTAAAAATGAATTGAACATTCCATGAAATAGTTATATTTAAATAATATGCTTATAAAGACTAAAAGTGGGATTTTCAAAAAGAAAAGGTAAGATTCATGGCGGCGGATTTCCGTGTCTGTTTCATTGGTCACTTCTGTGTGTTTTATTTCAAATTAAAGGTCAATGTTTCACAGAGCCTTGAGCCACCATGGTTAAAACATTACATAAAACCAAGAAGTTCAAGACATCCTTTGGATGGCGACCCTGAATAGCTCGAAATTGGCATTTGATAATTTTATAAATTAAATTAATGCGTATATATTAAAGTGAAAGTAGTTTTGAGGGTCGTGTCCTTGACTCGTAATGAACTTATAAGTAATAGGATAGGGCAACACTCGATGGCGAGTACTTGGCACTTGCTATACTTTGTTAACTATTATATTGAAATCTTTGCAGTCAATTTTTATATGACAAAAAAATTACTGTAAATGCTAAAAAAACTAATTCTATTTAAATGTCCTACGTGGGATGATTTTTATACATCGCTCAATTATTATAACGAGATTACTGTCGCCTAATTGTTACTTATTATTTTAATACTTTTAAAGCGATGAGACCGATTGGGTGTGGCCGATTACGTAGGCGGACTCTGATTTTTTCGATTATCTTGGTTACATAGTAACAAATCTATATAATAGTCAAAAATGAAACAGTAATTTGACTTGAAACTTAAATATTTAAGTTTCGAGTCCAAAAAATGTATAGTATAAAACACTTATTTAAAATTTTTGATATTCTGTAAATCCTTGTAAATTGTGAGTTTTGACAATGACAATGAAGTAGACCACTTGAAGGCATAGGAATAATTACAACAAAAAATGGATCTCTATTATTTAGTGGTAATTTATAATTTGTATACACTATATAAATCGCTTTGAAATAAATGTTTAGTATAAATTATAGTTGAAGCATCTTGGACTTAGATTTATTTATATTGTTTCAGTCTCAAAATCAGTCGACTTCTGATTCTGAACAAAGTAACCAACAAGCAAATGGTATTCAACAAAGCCATCAAGTATTACAACAACAACAGCAGCAGCAAGCTCAAAAAGATCAGCAAAGTCAAATTCAACAGCAACAAAATCAGTTACAACAACAATTAGAACAACACCAGAACTTACAGCAAGCTATTCAGCAGGCTCAAAATTTACAACAATCATTACATCAGAACCAGCAACAGACATTGCAACAAATGTTGCAACAACAGCAACAACAACAATTGCAACAGCTCCAACAACAACAGCAGCAGCAACAACAACAGCAACAACCACAACAGCAGATAAAAATTGAACAAGCCAACAATCAACAGAACATAATACAAGTGACACAAGCTCAAGCTCAGGCTCTGGTTGCACAAGCTGCATTGCAACAGCAAGTAGTCCAAACATTGCATCAACAGCAGCAAAGCTTACAAGAACATTTACAGGCTGTCCAACAACAACAAATTCAAGCTGCTTTGCAAAGGCAGTCGGCGACATTGCAGGTAATTTTATTACTATATATGTGAATTCAGAGAACTTAATTCATATAAACAGTTTTTATACCATATTATATAATTTTTCATATTAAAATTTTTCTCTTAATAGTTTGGGGTAAGTAAAGATATTTGATATTAGGTCTATATGCTGCTATGCAGCAGGTCTAATATTATTGTAACTTTTACTTTTGCCAGATAATATGTTGATTCCATAAATATGTAAAAATTCCAAGTCTTTACGGGTTACATTATCATCTATACAAAAATGATGTCAATATTTGTAATGTTAGTCATTGCCAAGCTAAAACAAGTATTAACTATTATTGTATGATTGTATACAAGTGGTTTTCTTCAGCTTTGTACTTGATACACATAAGAATTCTTAAGAATCTTAAAATGTTGAATAAATCTCTTTGTATTACAGGAATTGCAGCAACAAGCCCAACAGCAGGCGTTGATCTCACAAAATACACCTAAAACCAGAATGCCAAGGTCAAAACCGCCAAACAAGCCAAGGGGAAGGATGACAGCATATGCTTTCTTTGTACAGTCATGCCGTGAGGAACACAAGAAAAAGTATCCTGATGAAAATGTTGTATTTGCCGCATTCTCAAAGAAATGTGCTGAAAGGTGGAGTGTAAGTACTTTTGATACATAGTGAAGTTCTCTACAGAAAGGAGGCTCGTTCGTTCAATATTGTGCTTGTATTTTAAAGGTTTTGTTATATAATAATTCCTTCGTTTGAATTAACTATATACCAAACAACTACTATTATTACATATATTACATTATTTAAAAATGTTTTACACCAATGTATATATATAATACAACAAAAGTATATGTTATGAAATGTCATCACAGGCCAAGACATCATAGCGTTAGAAACTTAATAATAATAGAAGTTAGTGGATAAACTAAATTTAAGCATGAACATTGATACCTAGGAGTTGATGAAATATATTTTTACTTAAAAAACCCAGAGGTTTACAATTCAACATCGGCTTGGAGAGTCTGTTCTAAATTACAAAGCTTCAAAGAATATATGCGACATTTACATTCCGAGGCTACAATTACTGCACCTTGAAACATGCTAAGAAAGTAATTTGAACCACTAAGGATATATACAACTTCTCAACCTTAACCACTGGGGCCTTCGGGCTGATGGGTGGTGAGATAGGTGAAGGATTCTCCCTTCAGATCAAAGGAAGAACAGCACCATACTTCCTCCACATACCTTTAATAGTATCTTTAATAAAAGATTTGTATGTATTTCTTAACAAGTACTTTAACATGCTCGGGAGCAATACATACTATAAACTAAAACTAACTTACAGACTACCTGCTGCCTTAATAAATAATTAAGAGGTGTTAAGCCTACCAAGACATTCTATATCAGAATCACAAAAAAATACATAGTAAAATAAGATCAAAATTAGGTGACAATATAGAACAGAAATGTATGAAGCTTATGCATGTAAACATATGCATAAAATTCAACACAAAATTATTTGGTGCATCTAATGTGTCACGTGAAAATTCTTCTTTTGCCATGAATTATATCATTTGTAGCATGTTTAAAGTTGTTCTCAAAATAATATAAATATTATGTATATGAAATATTATTATGATTGTAAGAAAATTGTATTACTTTATATTATTCTAGCAACAACAGTGAATTATGATTTTCTTTGTAATTTAAGTAGCTGGAAGATCGCTGGAGGCTATAAGATCCATATACGGAGTGGTTGAACAACTAATGAGTGTTCTGTCCTTTTCTCCCATGTCTAATTTCAAATATGTATTTGCCAAATCATTCATTAGTTAAATGAGGTTTATGGTTGTAAATGATGTTTTTTTTATCCTACTCTTACTTTCACTAACAAACTATACATTCACACAAAATTAATGAACATAAAGCGGCTTTATAAATGTACATTTCTGCATTTTAGTAAGAAAAATTTTACATAATCAAATACACACGAGCATTAAATTTATCCTCAATCCCACACGTAGCCGGAAAAACACTGGGTATGGGTGTCTATGGGCTGCGAAGACTGCCCTTTTTGGTCGTCCCGCAAGCTCGTTTGCCCCCCTATTATATAAAAAAAATAACTAATAATTTACATCTACCGAAAATCAGAACCAAATACGGTCGCAAAAATATAACCTATTTCGGAGCGGATCTTAACAGCCTCCTGAGATAAGGGATGTGGAGCCGTTTAGGATACGTCTGCGAAGTTTTTTGGTCAATGTACTCTAAGCAATAATAGCGTACGACGGTGGCGTTTATATTTTACTTTTTATGTTTTTAATATCATAATTTTTTGTAGTGGAAGTGAACCTAATCATGTTTTGAAAACACTTAAGTTTTTTTTAAATTTCAGTTTGTATGATTTACAGACAATGTCAGAGAAAGAGAAGATGAGGTTCCACGAAATGGCGGACCAAGACAAGAAGAGGTACGACTTAGAGATGAAGGACTACGTACCGCCGAAGTTTACGAAAGTGCGCGGGCGCAAGCGTCAGCAACCGAAGGATCCAAACGCACCGAAGCGATCGCTGTGAGTTATGGTCACGAATCTTGTGAATTTAGACTTAATTTAAAGAGATTTTTATTATTTGTGTTTCTTTGTTTTTCTTTTCATATTATAACGTATTTGTCTATAAACGAATCCACTAAACCGATTTTGTTGTCAAGTAAACTATTCATGTTATCTTATTTAATTATTTATTCCGTTTCAATCTCAAAGACGCCCTTAATTATATCAAACAATAATAATAATAGCATCGTGTACTTATATCCGTTAAAAAAGATTTATATAATGTATCGTGAAGTTGTGTAAAAAGGCCTCTTAAACTATACTTATGAACGTCAGAAAAGAAGTTAAATTAATTCTTAATTTACATTTACTACCAGTTTGCAAGTCAAGGGCGTAGAGCGGGCAAAAAGGACTGGCAAGAAACTTTCCGCCACTCTTTTTAATCGATAAGTTTTATCTCGCCCTGTAACCCTTAATTTGGGAAGAAGTGAATGTAAATTTAGATATTTGTTTAAATAATGAAGTTCATAAGTGTACCAATATGAATAAATGTTAATTTGACTGGCAAAACAATCACACAGAGTGGTTCTTTAGTTATTGGTTACTAAGCTTATGACACTAAGATAAACGTAAATTAATCAATAAAACTTTTTAAAAATTTGACGAATATTTAAATGATCCTAATAATCCTTGGGATTAATTTGCTCAAGTTCGAACGATTGGTGTGACTCAAAACTTGGCGATTAAAAAAATTAACATCTTTTCTGTTGACGTTCATAAGTGTACTTGGTTACCTATATGAATAACGTTATTTTGAGTTTGAAAAGGTTTCATATAGGATAACTTAAGAATGGCGCGTTTTTAGTATTAAAGCAATCATTACATCAAAATTTAATATAAAACGCATAGCATCAGCGGGCAGAATCCGCTACGCTTATAGTGCAGAAAAGTCGGTGTTAAAACAATAAATGAAACTTGCAGATCTGCCTTCTTCTGGTTCTGCAACGATGAAAGATCAAAGGTCAAGGCAAAAAATCCAGAATACACGATGGGTGACATCGCAAAGGAGCTGGGCCGTCGGTGGGCGGCAGCCGACTCCGATACTAAGACGAAGTATGAATCCTTAAGCGAGACGGACAAGGCCAGATATGATAGGGTGAGTTGGTAGAATAGAAAATTGTGTTTGTATCCCCAAATATTTGATAGATATGTCGGAGAAATATCGTCTCTCTATCGACATTGACAGCGGGTTTAGTGCGAGGACAAAAGGCACGAATAATTATCATACATTAAAATTACACTTAGGTTAAATTATATTTCAAAGCACCGATCTCACTTTCGCGGTCCATATTCTCAACACCACAATGTTCACATTCAGTGAATCAGAAATATCCTGCGTTCCCTGTACGCACTCTCAAAAGTCAAAATGGCGCCTCGACCCCACTTGAGACATTGGCTCTGCTCTGATTGGTCGTAACAATATACGTACTTTTATTCGATAAGTAATGATTCCAAACTATGAAACAATGAAATAAAAACAAATCAAATGAAGTTATTATTCGTAATCTCAATGATTAACCAAAACAACATTAAAAATCAGCGGTCATAACATTACCTGACATATAAATTATTTAGCTAATTAAATATTTAATAGTTAGACTATTTTGTAGATATTATATCTTCATTAAAACTTTCCGCAGAGTCCGCGATCGTTACTAGTAATTTTTCTTGATTCGGTTATGCACTTTACCCTTAGTATTTCTTTTTTGACGTCACAACGTCTAATAAATTGATGAACGCCGGCTGCACGCACGAAAAAGCATGACGCATTGTCCCGTTACGCTCATTGTACGCTTGCGCCGCATCCATCTCTCTTCCACTCGAAGACTTAAGTATGCAATCATTTCATCAATGTTTTGTTATGACGTTGTAACGTTGTTGAACTATCGTCCATAAACCGACTTTACACACAACAATTTTTTTAGTTATTTTTTCCTTACTAGCGGTGCCTGGAAGACCAAAAATTTTATGTTACTTATTTTGAAGTTTAAAAAATTTAAAAATTACTACAAAGCACAGTGGTTTCCAAATGTTATATTTTGTTAAATAAATAAATAAATATTAAAAAATATAGTTATAGACTGTTTATAATAACGAGTTATCTTTTAACTTGACGTTGTTGAATACGATTAAGTCCGTTAAGTTTCAATTCAATTTATAACGTCTCAATACTTTTCAGGAAATGACAGCATACAAAAAGGGTTCACTGGTATTGGGGATTCAGCCGCAGCAGATTATGGTCGAACCGGACGACGAAGAGGTTGAGTACAATGGTGATGATGAGTACAAGTGAATTCAATAAAAGTTTAAAATTCAATTAAATTAAGCGATGAGCCTAATGGCGTTTTGAGTTGAAATTGCAGAAGATAAAAATTGCGCAGATTATTATACAGTGTAAACGTGTGTTATAACAAAATCTCTATAACTTCAAATAGGGTTTGACAAAATCAATAAAAAAATTGGACTGTTTGCGTTTGAAAAGATCCAGAACTTAGGAAACTATATTAAGATTAAAGCAGGCTTAAACGTCCAAATCACCTGGCTGTGCGGAGATGGAATTTTTTTTCTATGTGCAACCTTTTTTGTGTCATGCCCCTTTAGCCTTTATAAAATTCTTGTTCCCCATATTTGTAACATTCGTAATTTTTAATATTAAAAAAAAAAATGTGCGTGTACTAGTGTACACACGTAAGAAGTGAAACTTCTTTATGACCTTATTTTTCGAAAAATGATCTACTATATGCAACTTTACAGAAATTCGTTAAATAAAGTTAAATTAGATAAAGTTTAACGAAAGTTAAATTAGATTATTACAGAATTTCATTAATTGCATTTACTTGAAGTAATCCGACTAATTTCAAGGGTTTCTCGCGAGATTTGCCGCCGATATTTTATTGAAAGTTTTGAAATGGCCATTCCATTCAATAAAATATCGGATTCAACCTGCGATCGATCAAGCAATTTGTAGTTGGTATTAAAAAAAAGCAACATGGCGCGTAACCGAAAACGTTACGATTTTTTACATAAATTTCTCCCATACGTCGATAAAGAAGTTTCACTTCAAAAATTGAGTTGTTCAATTAAGAAACTTAAATGATAGGTTTTAGGAGGAAATTACTATGAAATTGTTAACGAAACACAAACAGTGAGTAAATTTTCAAAACATAATAAATTTTATTTAATAAATTTTCGACCCCCTTAACAATTAATTTGATACAAAAAAGATAGAGATCCTAGTACTAAGAAAGGAAACAAGGAACAAATTACTTTGTAACCGTCCGTTTGAAAAAAATCTAAATTTTTACTTGATACTCCTGCTCAGCTGCTTTGTTATTAAATACGACAAGTCGAGCTGATTTCTTATGAATATTGCAATATTTTAGCGAGGCCTTTTTGATAAAGGTTTTTTTTAAATGTTTTGCGGTAGAAGAGCGCATGCGTCGTTGACTTGGAGTGTTGCTAGTTCGAGTCGGTGTTGCAAGATGAAAAAAATTGAATTATTATTTCTTTTAAATTTAAATTTGGCGTTTCAAGTTAACACTGTATAGTAAAATAAATTGACGCTTTTTGTTGAGAAAGCAATGGTTAAGGAATTTAAATTATTTCAGAAAATTGCTATATTTGCTAAAAATTTGACTCGAAATTCCACAGAACATTCTATTAATTCTGCAATACAGAAGAGGCAGCTATCTTAACTAGTATTGAGTGGTTTTTGTATTTGTTTTTTTTAATACTTTCTAAAACTGTATTTCACGAAAAAAAATCTCCTAATTCTTATTCAATCCAAACAATAGTGAGATAAATTAATTGGGGGTTTGAAAAGTAAAAAAAAAATATTTGAACATCGGCAAGACTATGATTAATCGATAAAAACTCCTTATAAAGAATTTAATAAACTCTTTCCGTTTACTAGTCTATACACGCTGCGATGATAAGAGAGAAACAGTTAAAACGGTGCAATAAGGTTGTTTATCATAATACATAATTCTTATCTAATGTAGGTAATACCGGTAGAATTTTATAGGTATTTTCAGAAGTCTGCTGACATTTAAATGTATTATTTGTCTTTGGTGTTTACTTTATCGTTCAAGTAACAGAATCTCAACTCGATGAAATACAATTTTTTTTTCGAATTAATGCAAAATGTTGAATTTATGAGAGGGCTCATCATCACAGGTTCATGAACCAGAATTTGTCGACTATTTTGAGGTTTTGTTAACTCATCTGCCATTAATGTTGTGAATACGTTTGATCGAAGTGGTCTCATTATGTAGTCTGTGGGGCAAGATAACGCGAATAGTTTTGTGATTTTTACTTTGTTTGTCAGTGTTCTATTTGATTGGTTAAAGTTAAAGATTTTTTGTTAATAACTTGCCAGATTGAGACACAAAAAAGCAGCATCTTTAGTTCATTCCGCGATTAACTGACATACAGATGGATCACAACTTTTGATGCTCACATGTCAACTGAAATGTGCAGGTTATTGCGCCGTCTGTCAGTTGTCAATACCTGACAGATGACACTTAATAAATGTCTGTTCTAGTGTTAACGTTTCTTGTTGTGTTCGCCGCGCCAAGTCATGTTTCTCATCTTTATAAGGTTAAACAACACTGTTGTAACTCCTAGGATCAATTATTGATAACCATTTCGTAATGTTAAACATTTTTACGTCAAAAATACGTCCGTGATCGTGTCGTTCAAATAGTATTCATATTTCGTTGATCTATTTCTTTGTATATAATTTATGTATAAAATTTGGTTTAAAGTATTAAAGATTGTTTAAATAGCACCTTAAACAACTGTGATATATACGAAAATTACACTTAAGGTGCAAGTTATGTTTTCGCATTATATTGCCTTGAGACGGAACTATAGCAATAGCTAGTTTTAGATTCGAATAGAGGATTCGAAGTCATTTAATTAAGCTACTGTTAAGCGACGAAATTTATTTTATTAAAACTGTACATAGTGTTTAGTTAAATTATTGGTTTAAGTAGAAATGTTAACCGGCGAACGTTAATTCGAAATATAATTTGAATTTCGAATTAATGGTTTGAGTACCATTTTTCGTGTAGACAAATACTAGGTATATTTTTGCATACAAAAGCCTAGCGGCTTCACATACTTAGTACTTAAATGTGTACATACATTCTCCTAATGTTTTGTTGATCGATTATACGAAGTAAATTAATAATTGTTTTATTTTTACATCCCTTAACAAAATTATATAAAGGTTTATTAAATTTTAACTAGTGATTGTTGTTATAACTGCATGAAATAGGCCTTGCCAGATCGTAAGTCTCTATATGTTTGAGAAAACTCCAGAGGGGTGATAATCTATTAAGACAATGTTTCTTTTCGTTAGATTGTGAATAATCCACAGTACAAAGACGAATCCGTCCGTCGTTTCTTTTCACCAATCAATTTAGCCAAACAAAATTAATCTCACTCGACTCATACACGCAGGGGGCATACGGACAGGAGGCTCACCTGATGTTGTGATACTGCCGCCCATAGACACTCACATTGCCAGAGGGCTAGTGAAGCGATTTATTATATTTTATCAGTGTATGTATCAGTGGACAGCTGGTTTAGCCGCAGCAACCTTAAAAATTCTGCGTTGTCGATAATTATTGTTTGTGAATGTTACATCGTTAATATTGAATTAATTTATATCGTTTTCTACATCTTGAAATGGTAGTAGTACCTTTTTAATTAAAAAGGTCAAAATCACAAGCTTCTCGTTCTTATAGCCAGATATACTTAGATGTACAGGAAAAGAAACACATAATAATTTGAAACATCATTTATTTGTTAAAAATAAATGTTTTGACCAAAAATAGTTATAATATTTGGGATCCTTATGAGTTATGAGCTCTACTGCCATCGGAGTACCGACCAGAAATGTATCAAGACATTGTAAAGGTAACGGTGCGATAACGATGCACCCGAATCTGATGATACTGATTATGCAGGAGTCTTGGGGGACCTTCATTGGAACACCTGAAAGTGATTTTAGCTGCCGGAAATGCGTCAAAGTATTTTTAATTTTTTTTTAAAGTTTTGTGAAATGTATTGAAATTTGTAAACAATCCACCATTATCTACTTTTCTATTGGTTATAAGTGATGTGACATTTTCGGTAAATTAATCGGATCGATTATTTTCTCATTTGTTATTTTTAAAGTTGAACCTAATTTAACCATTGCTTGTCAAATGTACATACATTACATTAACTTCGCGCGATCGTTACTAGTAATTTTTCTTGATTCGGTTATGCACTTTACCCTTAGTATTTTTTTTTTGACGTCACAACGTCTAATAAATTGATGAACGCCGGCTGCACGCACGAAAAAGCATGACGCATTGTCCCGTTACGCTCATTGTACGCTTGCGCCGCATCCATCTCTCTTCCACTCGAAGACTTAAGTATGCAATCATTTCATCAATGTTTTGTTATGACGTTGTTACGTTGTTGAACTATCGTCCATAAACCGACTTTACACACAACAATTATTTTAGTTATTTTTTCCTTACTAGCGGTGCCTGGAAGACCAAAAATTTTATGTTACTTATTTTGAAGTTTAAAAAAATTAAAAATTACTACAAAGCACAGTGGTTTCCAAATGTTATATTTTGTTAAATAAATAAATGTTAAAAAATATAGTTAAAAGACTGTTTATAATAACGAGTTATCTTTTAACTTGACGTTGTTGAATACGATTCTAAGTCCGTTAAGTTTCAATTCAATTTATAACGTCTCAATACTTTTCAGGAAATGACAGCATACAAAAAGGGTTCACTGGTATTGGGGATTCAGCCGCAGCAGATTATGGTCGAACCGGACGACGAAGAGGTTGAGTACAATGGTGATGATGAGTACAAGTGAATTCAATAAAAGTTTAAAATTCAATTAAATTAAGCGATGAGCCTAATGGCGTTTTGAGTTGAAATTGCAGAAGATAAAAATTGCGCAGATTATTATACAGTGTAAACGTGTGTTATAACAAAATCTCTATAACTTCAAATAGGGTTTGACAAAATCAATAAAAAAATTGGACTGTTTGCGTTTGAAAAGATCCAGAACTTAGGAAACTATATTAAGATTAAAGCAGGCTTAAACGTCCAAATCACCTGGCTGTGCGGAGATGGAATTTTTTTTCTATGTGCAACCTTTTTTTGTGTCATGCCCCTTTAGCCTTTATAAAATTCTTGTTCCCCATATTTGTAACATTCGTAATTTTTAATATTAAAAAAAAAAATGTGCGTGTACTAGTGTACACACGTAAGAAGTGAAACTTCTTTATCACCTTATTTTTCGAAAAATGATCTACTATATGCAACTTTACAGAAATTCGTTAAATAAAGTTAAATTAGATAAAGTTTAACGAAAGTTAAATTAGATTATTACAGAATTTCATTAATTGCATTTACTTGAAGTAATCCGACTAATTTCAAGGGTTTCTCGCGAGATTTGCCGCCGATATTTTATTGAAAGTTTTGAAATGGCCATTCCATTCAATAAAATATCGGATTCAACCTGCGATCGATCAAGCAATTTGTAGTTGGTATTAAAAAAAAGCAACATGGCGCGTAACCGAAAACGTTACGATTTTTTACATAAATTTCTCCCATACGTCGATAAAGAAGTTTCACTTCAAAAATTGAGTTGTTCAATTAAGAAACTTAAATGATAGGTTTTAGGGGGAAATTACTATGAAATTGTTAACGAAACACAAACAGTGAGTAAATTTTCAAAACATAATAAATTTTATTTAATAAATTTTCGACCCCCTTACCAATTAATTTGATACAAAAAAAGATAGAGATCCTAGTACTAAGAAAGGAAACAAGGAACAAATTACTTTGTAACCGTCCGTTTGAAAAAAATCTAAATTTTTACTTGATACTCCTGCTCAGCTGCTTTGTTATTAAATACGACAAGTCGAGCTGATTTCTTATGAATATTGCAATATTTTAGCGAGGCCTTTTTGATAAAGGTTTTTTTAAATGTTTTGCGGTAGAAGAGCGCATGCGTCGTTGACTTGGAGTGTTGCTAGTTCGAGTCGGTGTTGCAAGATGAAAAAAATTGAATTATTATTTCTTTTAAATTTAAATTTGGCGTTTCAAGTTAACACTGTATAGTAAAATAAATTGACGCTTTTTGTTGAGAAAGCAATGGTTAAGGAATTTAAATTATTTCAGAAAATTGCTATATTTGCTAAAAATTTGACTCGAAATTCCACAGAACATTCTATTAATTCTGCAATACAGAAGAGGCAGCTATTAACTAGTATTGAGTGGTTTTTGTATTTGTTTTTTTAATACTTTCTAAAACTGTATTTCACGAAAAAAAATCTCCTAATTCTTATTCAATCCAAACAATAGTGAGATAAATTAATTGGGGGTTTGAAAAGTAAAAAAAAAATATTTGAACATCGGCAAGACTATGATTAATCGATAAAAACTCCTTATAAAGAATTTAATAAACTCTTTCCGTTTACTAGTCTATACACGCTGCGATGATAAGAGAGAAACAGTTAAAACGGTGCAATAAGGTTGTTTATCATAATACATAATTCTTATCTAATGTAATACCGGTAGAATTTTTATAGGTACTTTCAGAAGTCTGCTGACATTTAAATGTATTATTTGTCTTTGGTGTTTGCTTTAGCGTTCAAGTAACAGAATCTCAACTCGATGAAATACAATTTTTTTTTCGAATTAATGCAAAATGTTGAATTTATGAGAGGGCTCATCATCACAGGTTCATGAACCAGAATTTGTCGACTATTTTGAGGTTTTGTTAACTCATCTGCCATTAATGTTGTGAATACGTTTGATCGAAGTGGTCTCATTATGTAGTCTGTGGGGCAAGATAACGCGAATAGTTTTGTGATTTTTACTTTGTTTGTCAGTGTTCTATTTGATTGGTTAAAGTTAAAGATTTTTTGTTAATAACTTGCCAGATTGAGACACAAAAAAGCAGCATCTTTAGTTCATTCCGCGATTAACTGACATACAGATGGATCACAACTTTTGATGCTCACATGTCAACTGAAATGTGCAGGTTATTGCGCCGTCTGTCAGTTGTCAATACCTGACAGATGACACTTAATAAATGTCTGTTCTAGTGTTAACGTTTCTTGTTGTGTTCGCCGCGCCAAGTCATGTTTCTCATCTTTATAAGGTTAAACAACACTGTTGTAACTCCTAGGATCAATTATTGATAACCATTTCGTAATGTTAAACATTTTTACGTCAAAAATACGTCCGTGATCGTGTCGTTCAAATAGTATTCATATTTCGTTGATCTATTTCTTTGTATATAATTTATGTATAAAATTTGGTTTAAAGTATTAAAGATTGTTTAAATAGCACCTTAAACAACTGTGATATATACGAAAATTACACTTAAGGTGCAAGTTATGTTTTCGCATTATATTGCCTTGAGACGGAACTATAGCAATAGCTAGTTTTAGATTCGAATAGAGGATTCGAAGTCATTTAATTAAGCTACTGTTAAGCGACGAAATTTATTTTATTAAAACTGTACATAGTGTTTAGTTAAATTATTGGTTTAAGTAGAAATGTTAACCGGCGAACGTTAATTCGAAATATAATTTGAATTTCGAATTAATGGTTTGAGTACCATTTTTCGTGTAGACAAATACTAGGTATATTTTTGCATACAAAAGCCTAGCGGCTTCACATACTTAGTACTTAAATGTGTACATACATTCTCCTAATGTTTTGTTGATCGATTATACGAAGTAAATTAATAATTGTTTTATTTTTACATCCCTTAACAAAATTATATAAAGGTTTATTAAATTTTAACTAGTGATTGTTGTTATAACTGCATGAAATAGGCCTTGCCAGATCGTAAGTCTCTATATGTTTGAGAAAACTCCAGAGGGGTGATAATCTATTAAGACAATGTTTCTTTTCGTTAGATTGTGAATAATCCACAGTACAAAGACGAATCCGTCCGTCGTTTCTTTTCACCAATCAATTTAGCCAAACAAAATTAATCTCACTCGACTCATACACGCAGGGGGCATACGGACAGGAGGCTCACCTGATGTTGTGATACTGCCGCCCATAGACACTCACATTGCCAGAGGGCTAGTGAAGCGATTTATTATATTTTATCAGTGTATGTATCAGTGGACAGCTGGTTTAGCCGCAGCAACCTTAAAAATTCTGCGTTGTCGATAATTATTGTTTGTGAATGTTACATCGTTAATATTGAATTAATTTATATCGTTTTCTACATCTTGAAATGGTAGTAGTACCTTTTTAATTAAAAAGGTCAAAATCACAAGCTTCTCGTTCTTATAGCCAGATATACTTAGATGTACAGGAAAAGAAACACATAATAATTTGAAACATCATTTATTTGTTAAAAATAAATGTTTTGACCAAAAATAGTTATAATATTTGGGATCCTTATGAGTTATGAGCTCTACTGCCATCGGAGTACCGACCAGAAATGTATCAAGACATTGTAAAGGTAACGGTGCGATAACGATGCACCCGAATCTGATGATACTGATTATGCAGGAGTCTTGGGGGACCTTCATTGGAACACCTGAAAGTGATTTTAGCTGCCGGAAATGCGTCAAAGTATTTTTAATTTTTTTTTAAAGTTTTGTGAAATGTATTGAAATTTGTAAACAATCCACCATTATCTACTATTCTATTGGTTATAAGAGTTAAGAGATGTGACATTCTCGTTTTGTATTGGTTATAAGTGATGTGACATTTTCGGTAAATTAATCGGATCGATTATTTTCTCATTTGTTATTTTTAAAGTTGAACCTAATCGAATATATAAACCTAACCTAACCGGTCTAGATAATAATTGGATTTCTGGACAGCTCCGGCGCTACGGGAAATGCAGCCCCTCCACCCTTGCGTACCAAAGCACAGGCATCTTATTCAGGCTCTTCCTCCGCGCCTCCGATTATTTATATACACTCTAGGGGTAAGGCAGACAAGACCACGTGGATAGTGGGGTGCTCTGATTCGGTTTTGGGTACTTTTTGAATAATTAAAAAAAAATCGGAACAATACACTAATTGAAACATGAAGTTAATGTAATGTATGTACATTTGACAAGCAATGGTTAAATTAGGTTCAACTTTAAAAATAACAAATGAGAAAATAATCGATCCGATTAATTTACCGAAAATGTCACATCACTTATAACCAATAGAAAAGTAGATAATGGTGGATTGTTTACAAATTTCAATACATTTCACAAAACTTAAAAAAAAATTTAAAAATACTTTGACGCATTTCCGGCAGCTAAAATAACTTGGAGGTGTTCCAATGAAGGTCCCCCAAGACTCCTGCATAATCAGTATCATCAGATTCGGGTGCATCGTTATCGCACCCAACCCTCAAATATTACAACAAAAGCAACAACAACAACAGCAGCAGCATATAAACAATAAACAAATCAGCTATCAGCAAAACATAAGGGACACAAGCTCAGGTTGCTAATATTATATATTATATAATTTTTCTTTTTAAAAGTTATGTAACTAAAGATTTTTTAAATTACATCTTTATACTGCTGTGCAGTAAGGTCTAATATTATTGTAACTTTTAGTTTAGCCAGATGTTATGTTAAAGTTAAAGTCCAAGTCTCTACTGCTCATTTATGCAGACTTGTCTACACAAAAATGGTGTCAATATTATATAATTGAATGTATTGCTAAGCTATAACTAATATTAACTAGTGTTGTGTGATTGTATACGTTTGGTTCCTATCAGCTTTGTGATTGTGATACACATAACAATTTTAAATATAAAAAAAAACCAAAATTATGAATAAATCTCTTTGTATTACAGGAATTGCAGCAACAAGAGCAAAAACAGGTGTTGATCTCACAAAATACACCTAAGACCAGGATGCCAAGTTCAAAACTACCAAACAAGCCAAGGGGAAGAATGACAGCATATGCTTTCTTTGTAGAAATGAAGAACTACGTACTGCCGAAATTCTCGGAAGTGCGCGGGCTCAAGCGATAACAACCAAAGGATCCAAACGCACACAAGCGATCGCTGTGAGTTATGGTCACGAATCTTGTGAATTTAGAGTTAATTGAAAGAGATATTTTTATAAAATATTTTTATAAATGTTCTTCTCGTTCGTTCTACGCCCTTGATTGGAGAGTAAATGTAAAATTAGAAGCATTTAATATGTATTTCTTTATTGATGTTCATAAGTGTACATTGTGTTACCTAAATGAATAAATTATTTTGACTTTGATTCGAAGTCATTTATTTAAGCTACTTCTAAGCGATAAAATTTATTTTATTAAAACTAAATAGTGTTTAGTTAAATTATTGGTTTAAGTAGAAATGTTAAAAAAAAAGTAGAAATGATAACCGGCGAACGTTAATTCGAAATATAATTTGAATTTCGATTTAATGGTAATATAAATACTAGGTGAATTTTTTGCATACAAAAGCCTATACTTACATGAAGCCGCTAATTTGACTCAAGCAATTTAATTTTAAAATCAATATTTTTTTATGTCATTAGTGTCATCTTTTTTATTTCTGCCAAATGACTCTATCGTACGAATAGCCTAAGCATTAGCCAGCCAGTTTATTAAATGTTGTAACAACACTCAAACACACATTTTGTACCGCTTCAAACTCGTTGAGGTATTTCAAACGCGGGCTAGGCGCTGAATGTGATTGAGGCGGTGAGTCGTATGTCATGAATGAGTGAACGGTTGAGATGAATTGTTTTGTCTTATTCTCCCATCCCAAGTAGGACAATGACAATAGTTAAAAATCGTGTCTGATGAGCAACTGATTAAATCGATATTATTGAATGAGTGACAGTGACTGTTCACTGTGACATATTATTGTAATTGGTTTTTGTTTGCATAAATAACTTGACTTTTTGAAGTTATACTTCTTTAGGCGCGTTATGAAAAATTGATGAGGGTGAAAATTTACGATGCGCGCGCACCGTTACACAAAATTAACAGAATGAAGTTGCCCACGGAAGATGCTACGGCATTGGACATAATTTAAAAACAACATTCGAAAAATAATAGAATTAATGTTAGACTAAATGTAAGAGATTAATAATAAATATTTATTTATTTAATTTTTCAAATGTAAACTGAACTTTATTGACTGTAATGACTCATTTTCCAGTCTTTGATTATTTAATTGTAATTAATTATTTGCTTGCAATCAAAAACTATTTTTAATAATGCCAAAGAAGTATAACTTCTTACGCGCGTACATAAGTAAGTACATGTGTTACGTAGCCCTATACCATAGAATCTACATTTCGCAATATATAAAGAATAACACGTCCCTAACGTTACATGGTGTCAGCGGAATTCGTATGTCGCAACTTACACGAGTTACACGAGCCTCACGTTGCATAGTGTCAGCAATTGGTGCCTCTTCGAGCCTTATTATTTCCATATTCTAGGTGCATTCAATTTCCTTACTTCGGGTTGTTTAGCCGTATTTTAATTATAGTTTAATCAAACCTCAATGAAAATGTGTCATTTCATACGTTCACCAGGAAGGATGAAAAAATGCCTAAAGTGGTTGTCAAAGGTCTTCCAACGAACGTGATCGATTGCCTACCAGCGGAACTGGAGTCCCTTGGCTTTGCTGGCGCCACTGCCACCCAAGTTAAGCTGAGCAAGCCAGTTCAATGCCCCCCGGTAATAATACAACTTCCCACAGGGACTGATATGGCAAAGTTCAAGCAAATAAAGTACCTGGCTAACTGCGTTGTTGTGATCGAGCGCTACAAAACTAGTAGCAATAACTGCACCCAGTGCTACCGATGCCAGGGTTTCGGTCATGCTTCCCGAAACTGTAATAGACCCGCTAGATGTGTCAAATGCTCTCTGGAGCATCCAACTTCACAGTGCCCCAAAAAGGGCTTCATAGAAACTGTTCGTTGCTGCAATTGTGGGCAAGATCACGCAGCAAATTACTCGCTGTGCAAGGAGCGGGTTAAGTACCTTGAACGTATCAAGACCAAGAGAGATTCGTTTCGCAACGCCATCGTGAAATCAACCCACGCGGCTACGAAGCAAAGCGTGCCCCTCCAAATGTTTCCCGTTCAGGCAGCAGTGGCTCCAAAGTGCCATGATTCTCAACCATTGCCAACGCGTGTACCTCTAAGGACTGCCCCACCGAGTGAGGACCGCACAAACACCCGCCAAGACACGACGACGAGTGAAATGCTTCAAATTCTTTCAACTATCAAAACCCTCAAGAAGGACTTCATAAAATGTGATACTTTCATGGACAAAGTAATCTTAATTCTGTCTCACCTTGGTCACTATGTTTAACCTCAATGAACTACGTGTATTTTATTGGAATGCCGATGGTATTCACAAAAAGCAGCAGGAACTAGCTGAACTGGCGGTAAGAGATCTCAACGTTGACATCATCGCACTCAACGAAACTAGATTAACAAAGCGGCTTACCCTTCAAATTCCAGGCTTTTCCTGCTATCGACTCGATGGCCGTGCCGATGGCTCTGGTCAGGGTGTTGCTATCTTGGTTAGGGCTGATTTAGAACACTATCTTGTTTTAACCCCGCCAACCCTTAACTTAGAGGCCATAGGAATATCCCTTTATTTAACCACGGCAAAATTACCATTTATTCCGCTTACCAGTCACCCAATATGCCCTTGCTCTCTAGTGACTTAAACGCCCTTTTTTCGTCAAATAATAAGATACTAATTATGGGTGATCTCAATGCTAGGCACCCCTATTGGTCACCTGGTCCAACTAACACCCATGGTAATACAATCTACGAGCTCATGCTCGACGATGAAATGATTGTCCATGCCCCTAGTGAGCCTACCCTAGTCCATTACAATGAAAACAGGCTAGCGACCAACCCCGATTTGTTACTCACTAAAAACATCTATACCGTTGACTCAATTGAGACCATCTATGCACTTTCCTCCAACCATCTCCCAGTATTTGTACGTCTCGCTATTAAAGCGCGTCGCAAGCCCATTCTTAAGCTAAATTACGCAAAGGCTGACTGGAATGGTTACCGCTCATATTTAAATAAAAATATATCTTTACACAAAGCGAAATACCTTCAACAAGATATTAATGCTGCATTAATAAACCACCGTGACAACCTGTGGGATCGTAAACTTAGAAAAGTTGACAATCCGTGTGCCGATTTATGGCGCATTGCCAAAGGGCTGAAATCAACTTCTCTCCCATCTTTAGCCCCTCTCAAAACTAAAGATGGTTCCACAACTTTAAATGCTAAGGAACAGTGTGAAGTTTTAGCTAATACCTTTTCTCACAACATGTTGCTCACCCAAAACTGGATTAGTGACGAGCAGTCCGCTGTCGATGCCTCCTGGTACTCCCTAGACAGCCTTCAGCAAGACGGTTATCAAATTCAACTGGTTAAACCAGCTGAAGTAGCCAATTTTATATCTTCACTCAAAACTCGTAAAGCAGCTGGACCGGATGAAATCTCGAATCATCTAATCAAACGACTACCCCAAAAATGTATTGTGTTGCTAACAAAATTATTTAATGCCTGCTTACTGACTACATATTTCCCTGAGGCTTGGAAAATAGCAAAAGTCATAGCTATACACAAGCCGGGCAAAGACCCATCTGATCCTGTAGGTTATCGCCCAATTAGCCTCTTACCCTGCCTAGGCAAACTTTTCGAAAAGATTTTATGCAACCGACTTCGCAGAGCTACCGAACACATAATAATTGATGAGCAGTTTGGCTTCCGTGAAGCTCATTCATCTACCCAACAGCTCGCTAGAGTAGCTGAGACTGTGTCTCATGGACTCAATTTGCGTGAATCTACAGGCATGTTCCTCCTAGATATTGAGAAAGCCTTTGACACAGTCTGGCACCAAGCCCTTATCCACAAACTGCTAAAAATTGGCGTACCTATAGCAATAATTAAAATAATGAAATCGTACTTAACCCATAGATCTTTCAAGGTGCACATAAATAGTACACTCTCTTCACCTAAACTTGTCCCAGCCGGAGTCCCCCAAGGTTCAATTCTTGGCCCCCAGCTATTTTTACTATACCTTAACGATATACCCATTCAAACACGCACTAATCTCGCCTGTTTTGCCGATGATACGGCATCCTTTACTTCCTCCAAAGACCTGGATTTGATCATAAGTCGCCTGCAACTTTCACTCGACTTATTGACCGCCTTTTTCAGGAAGTGGAAATTAAAAATTAACGCCTCTAAAACAGAGGCAATTATGTTCTCCGGGACTAGATCGCTGCCTACTCGTACCCTCAATATTGAAGGATATGCGATACCATGGAGTCGCTCTGGTAAGTACCTGGGTGTCATATTAGACAACAAACTCAACTGGACCCTTAACACACAATACATCAGGCTCAAGAGCATGAAGGCTTTGAATGCACTGAGCCCCATCTTAAATAGAAGATCGTGCCTCAGTAGCAAAACAAAGCTAAGTGTATATCGAACCTTAATACGACCCTGCATAACTTATGCCTGCCCAGTATGGAGCAGTACGTGCCCTACTAATTTAAATAGCTTACAGGTTGTCCAAAACAAAGCATTGAAATATGCATTTAATACTCCGTTTCGAACAAACCTCCAAAAATTTCACAATAAAATTAAGTTTCCGACTATTTATCAGTTTATATTCAAATTATCAAAAAAATTCTATTTACATAACAACCGAAAAAGTAAAAATAAATATATTAATAACCTTTGTAAAACGCGGATGAAAAATTTACCTTACATCGATAAATACAACAGATACAAATTACCCCATCACTTGTTTCTTGAGTGCGATGAATAACTGGTTATCAGTGGCCCGCGCAGGTGCGCGAGTGTTGGCCACCGCGTCGCGCGCGACCTCCGGCCTTATTTTAAATATATATAGACCTGGATTACGCGTGCGTTGCGTGACTGATGCTCGCGCTAGCCTTAGCGGGTGACTGTTCCTATTGTGATTGCTTGCCGTCCACTCTTTTGTTCTCGGTGCTACCCCATTTATTGTTAGAACTATATTTAGTTATTCAA